AGTTTCAGGACAGGCATTCCATAACTTTTCGAGTAATCAGTCAAAATGCGTGGTACGTTAGGTGGAAAATCGCCATATTTGGCACATTATACAGTCCTGACCCCATCTGGAGTCAGCCCCACTTGCCTGCTTGTGTAAAATATTACTTCCTCATAGTGCAAAATGCTTTTTTTGAGTTTTTTCATTTGTATGTTATCCCATATTTATATGAAAAATGGCTAGAATAGCTTATTTTTGCTCAGTTTTCCATCGCATTTCATTTCTGTTTGCACCTATATCCAGAATATGAATGATCTTAGCTTCATGGGAGAATCATTTGGGATTACCTGCATGTCCTGGATCCTAGGGTTGACAAATAACTTCTACCTATGCACCCTGAAATTTTGTTGCGGGTTTCCCTGTGAAGTATTCCAGGCTATTTATCCTGAGCCCTTTCAACGTTTCCTTTATGCTTCAAAAGTACTTTTAGCATACTTTTGAAGTACTTTTGTTAATAATTTTATTAAAATAATTTCTCTTGAGTATGGTATCATCCAATACTTGCTCGCGGCAATCCAGATTTTATGATTCACTCTTGGTCAATTTCCTTGATACAGTAATATGGTAGCTAAAGTGCCAGCTCATTCTTAACTTGCCCGCTTTGCCTCTGCTCCAAAGTGCACCAAGAAATTGAGACTCAGGGCAACAGAGCACCATTATTCACTACTCAAGATAAATTATTTGACAGTCCTTACATGGCTCCTTTGCTCTCCTCTTGCCCAACTTCTTCTAGTATATTTTGGAATGGTTGCTAATTACTATAGCTCTCCTAGTATGCTCTTTCTCGAAGATTTGCATGTACTGAAAGCCAGAAGACCTAGACAACTGGGGAACCATCGTTCCTTACACTGACCCTACCAAACTCTTTGTAGTTCATACACTCTTTCCTATTTGGAAACAAACTAACAATATCGAAAAGCTGCACAAAGCTTGATCACCATGCTAAAAGTACTGAACACTTTTGTAACGCATGTCATGCTAGTTAGCCAAAAATTCATTAGCCCCTATCTCACTAATTAGATGGCTTTGAACAAAAATATTTGAGCTCTGACAGTTTCTCCTGAAGGCCAATCACTCCACCAAATTTCATCAAAATCTGTGACGTGAGTGGCGATTCTTGGTTGAATTGACATGGAATGACCCTTTACAGAGCAGAGGTACAGAACCTAGTTCAGTGGAGAGAGATGAAAAATCTTATTTTGAACCCCTCCAAAACAAAGAAGATAATAATCGACTTTCGTACAAAAAAAACAACCCCATCTCCCTCTTATTAACTACAAAAGGGTTGAGATGGTGAGTAGCTTCAAATTTCTTGGTGTCACTATTACAAACAATCTAAGCTGGCACTTTAACACCAGGATCATCGTCAAGAAATCTAGCAACGGCTTTTCTTCCTTCGTAAAATGAAAGATTTCTCCTCTAATTGTCAGATTTTAATTCACCTTTTTTTTTTTAAGTTTTCTTTTTTAATTGATTTCACATATCAATATTCCATCAACATTTTACATGTATTGAACAAATTTCCAACTGTATATAATATTTTCATATTTCTCCATCATGGAGCAGAGACAAAGTTAGACATAAACTTTTAATTACAGTTACAGTAGAATAACTGTGAAGTAAAATGAAATACTTTTCACTCATGTCCTTTTTTCACTCCTCTCTATCATTGTCTCTTTTGTTATGCCCCACCTGAAGGCGGCCCTGAGGGGCTAACAACTGTCCTCGTCTTTTAACCCATTGAGTTAACATAAAAGTGAGTTAACATATTTATAAGTTAACATTGAGTGATTTATTGTGACCAAATAATAAAATTATGAACTAAACACAAAGAACCGCAGGGCAGCAGTTCCCCACCAAATGCCTCTGCAGACTGCAGGCAGCTCTTGGTCTTTAAAGTCCCAGCACCAGGTGAGTCTCATTGTTACTCAGTGACTTCACCTGGGCAGCTATGGTGAGACAAAAGGGGGAACACACACACACATACACACAAAAAACACACAGCCGTAACACTTTTCTCCTGTTGGAGGGTAAACATAATGAACAATGAACAAGTTTGAACCAAGGGGGCCAATAATCTACAATACACAATGTCTTTACTGTATAAAGTCTGAGACACAAAATCAACACAGTTTTTCCAGTAGTTTTTAAAAGGATCTGTTTTTAGTCGAGATGAGAAAGTCAGCTTCTCCATTCTATATTTATCCATCATTACCTCGACCCAATCCTCTATTTTTGGTGCATCTGTTATTTTTTAATTAACTTTTATAGATGTATCATCAAAAGTATTCTTACCTCTTCGTCCACAGTTTGGTTTTCTAACGTCATTGTACAGGACTAAAAATCAATCTGACTCAGAACATTATCGGCAGTGACCTGCCTAAACTTGATGCACTTTATAACTCGAGGCTCCTGGGCTTCAAAAATAGTGAGCAACACCAGTCACCTGTTCTTCTCCCCTCCAGTAGACAGTACCGCTCAATCAAAAGCTCTACCTCCTGGTTTTCAGATAGTTTCTTTCCCTTTGCAGTGAGCAGCCTAAATAACCTCTAGCCTCAGGGCTGCACTTAATTTTATGTGTGTCTCAGCACTTACGATCAATAGACGACATTATTACTATTATTACTTGCAGTATCCTTCTATCCTTAACTTTAACTGTAATTCTAACTCACCTTAGTCTATGTTTCTATGTAACTTACTTTGTCTGTCTTGACTCTCCTCTCACAAATGCTTTCCAATGTGTTTTTTTCTGCAGATGGCAAATAAATGACTCTGACTGATTTATTTTACAGAGCTGAGTGTTCAAACTGTTCCCAAAGACTTTTACACTGAGGAGGGAGAAAAACAGAAATGACCAACCATGGATGACCTACCATCAACGACAAACAGACTCATGATTTCACTGACCTTATATCACAGCTTTTATTTTGAAAATCTGATTTTTGTCTGCTGCAGTTTCCCGTTTGTGTAAAAAGCACCAAAGTAGAAAAAGAGTTGTTCGATGTTACCTTCCTAATGTCGTCCAGGCAGGTTATCTCGGGGCTCAGACCTCCGTGAACACACAGGAACTGCTGGTTAAGGAGAGCGGCCAGAGGCAGGCAGTCGAATGCATCCATACAGGCGTCATACACACGCTCAGAGTATTTGATTTTACCTGCACACATATAAAACACACACACACAGGTCAGAACACACATGCACACGCACACACACACACACACACACACACACACACACACACACACACACACACACACACACACACACACACACACACACACAAACACACACACACACACACACACACGCACACGCACACAGGGTGGAGGTTTTTTTCCAGAGAGAAGCTGCAGGACTCACACTCTTGTTTGAAGGTGAAGTACTCTGTGAGGTGTCGGCACTCGTGGTTCCCTCTTAGGAGGAAGAGGGTGTTGGGGTGGTTGATCTTCAGAGCCCACAGAAACAGTACACACTGCAGGGGTAAACAAACACACGCACGCACGCACGCACGCACACACACACACGAGGGAGGTGAGTCTCACAGAGCAGCTTGAATCATGACTTTAATTTACTTTCATCAGTTTATAATTAGGAATAACCAGGTCATAAATCAGACCCTGATCTAGAGGGTGATGTCTGGATCTGACGGTGTCGACACCATCTACAACACTTCCTGTCTGACATTAGAAACCAGGTTTTAAGAGTCCTGGACTCGCTGATAAGGTCAGTTTGCACTGGTTTAGTCAGCAGCAGATTTAACAGATCCTTTTTCTCCAGTCAAGAAAAAAAAAAAACAGAAAATCTAAAATTCAAAAAAACTTCTGAACCTCGGCGTACACTTCTGCTCAGCTGTGTTCGGAAAACTGAAACGTCCTTTTACACAAATTTCACTTAATTCAATAATTAATTCTTTATTCATAGAGTCCAATAACAACTCCAATTTATTGATTGCAGATGCTACACTGAGTGAAACGAGTAAAAGACGTGAAGTTTCCTCCTGCTTCAAGAAAACACTCAGTACCTTATTATTATCATTATTCTTATAGAAACTCTGGTTCTGGTTATGGAGCTCCTAACAAACAAACAAACCCACTCTCTGTCTCTCAGCTGTCAGTCATCCTCTGTGTTTTTGTGCAGCTTTAAACCACCTGTTCAATTTCAGCATTTCTGTTTTATGGAGGCGTGGAGAACAGGAGAACAGGAGGAGAACAGGAGCTGCATCTGACCAGCTGTTCCTGCAGAAACCAGCAGGCTGGCTCACTCTGCAGCACTATTACATCACCATCATGTGTAACTCTGTGGAAATGTCGCAGTATCACCACAACAACAAAAAACACAGAAATATGAGCGGTGAAAGGCCCTCAGGAGGAGCTTTGAGAGACCGGAGAGGAGATGTCCAAGAAACCACAAACTAAAGCTCGCTCTGTTTGAACAAGAGGAGGTCAGAGCAGAAGACGAAACCTAAAACACACCAACAACACACCTAAACACAACAACAACGTCAGAGTTTCTACAGCAAGTTAGAGATAAGAAGAGCGAACAAAGACGACAGGGGAGGATCTGAAGATCACTCATTCACAAAGTTATCTTCTCTGAGGTTTTTAGTGGGCTGAGACAGAAGCTAGTTAGACTAAACCTGGAGAAACCACAGGGACCACAGTGAGGGATCAGGGACCACAGAGGCCAAACCAAGACTTATGAGAGATAACCTGAGGTCTCCTCCCTAATAATGAGTCTGACTGTCAGCTGTTAATCTGTGTGTTGGTCCTCAGATGGTTCAGATCTCTTCTAGGTGTCATAAATAAAAACGGAATAAAAAAACACAGCAGCAGCAGCAGAGCGACGACACTCTAAGTGAATTAAACTAACCACTTAAATACAGATGACGACTACACTAGACTACACTCTCTGTGCCATGTGAAAAAAAGCTGTGAAGTTTGCAGAGAAATGTGTTAAGTGTTTCAGAGAGGCAGAGTGTCGACGTGTTAAAAGGTTAAAACTGAAGAGAAAATGAAGACAGAGAAACAGAGTTTATATTTTAACGGGAGGTGATTTAACAGGATGTTACAGATAATCAGTTTTTATGATATATATTTAAGAGTGAGATGATAGGATGTTACACTAACAGAGAATTGGAGTTTTTATTTCATATATTTTACTGTGAGGTGATTTAACAGGACGTTACAGATAACTAGAGTTTTTATTATCATAGATTTATTAGTGAGGTGATCTGATAGGATGTTGAACTAACAGATAATCAGAGTTTTAATTTAATATATTTATCAGTGAGGTGATTTAACTGGACGTTACAGGAACAGAGAATCAGAGCTCCTCACAGAGTTTTCTCACTGACTCTGGCTCCACTCTTCATCTGCGCTCTCTTTATGAAATCCATGCAGACAGCTTTGTTGGTACATTTTTGTGTACTGGTGCATGCTGGGTAAACTGCCTTTAGTCTTATGTAATCTCATTATCTGGACCTCCAGTAGTTTCTTCTTTATTCCAGGCTTGTTTTAAGTTGCTCTGACTGAGTTAGCGGGTTCAGTCTCTCTCTCTCCTCTCTGTGATTTCTTTGATTCTGTTATGAACTTTCCTGACTCTCACAGAAGTTTGACTCTCAGAGGTCCCACTTTGGTGGGATGAAACGTTTCAGTCAAAGACACTAGGACAGTTAAACTGAACAGAGCTGTTTTAGTCCATGACCGGTCTTTATCTGAAAAAAACTTAAAATGAGACTTTTAATGCTGAGGAAGAAAACAGAGTTTAAATTTGTGAAGAGGTTTTAGAAACACTCATTTTAACTTTATCTCATAAATTTGTGTTTAGGTTTGATATCTCTGAAGACCGCTCAGGTAGATTCAGACATTTCTTTTACTGCATTAGTCTTCATTCTTTAAAATCCACCTTATATAATGAGAAAAATATTCGGTTACAAGCCCCCCATGGCCTTTGAGGTAATGTAGCTGGACAATCTAAGGTCCTTACGCACTGGGAACGACGCAAATATACGATGCAAAATTATGAAATATTCAGAGGCGAATTCTGACGTCGCAACAATGCGCATTCTGACTGGTCAGAAGTGGACACACGGTATGCGAAGCTTTAGAAAATTTGACCGTGATATGAAAAATAAATGCTGCAATATTGCAGGACAGGAAAACGTCACTGATGTGAACACTTGTATTGACAGGATACGGGTTCGAAAAAAAATATTGACGTCCGAAATAATGGCACGAAAAAAACGTTCTCGGCGTGAAAGGACCTTTAATGCAGGAAAATGTACAAACTAAAGACAGATACTTGACTGAAATACTTGCAGCATCAGAGAAGGCCATCACGAGGAATTAGCGTAAGGAGAATCTACCTAATCAGAAAAACTGTCTGGACATGGTGGGAGAACTTGATGAAATGGAGAAACTAAAACACGCTCTACCACTCCAGCAAGAAACAAACCCCCGAAAGTGGGAAAAATATAAATCTATTGACACTACTTTAAAAAAATGGACAACTTTGATAGAGGCGACATGGACAGTTTTCTTTTCTCTGTGAATGGCACTATGTTCTCCTCTTGTAAATATAGTTTAGTTTATTTTCTCCTCATAAAAAAGACAGTTAAGACCTAGAAGTGCTAAAACTTTGGAAACCTAAGAGGCAAAACTCAGTAGAAATATACAGTGAGCTGCTAAAGGCTGAAAAATTTGTGTGTGGGAGTCCGACTGGCCTGAAGTGTCTGTTAGCTTAGACCTGCAGCACCTAGACTGCTCTCTTTTCTCTCTGAGACTGTTAGTTGGGGCCCTAAGACACATTTTACTTCAAGTCATGCTACAAATGTCCCCTTTGGTATGGAAGTACCTTAGGGTCATAGGAAACATTTTATCCAAAGAGACAAGTTAGATCACCCTTCAATTTTTTTTTATAGACATTTTAAAAATGGCCGCCGACAATAAACCGCCAATACACCAGACCCCATATCTTTTCTTCTGTTGGAGCTATAATCATAAGATTGGTGTCAAAGTGCACATTTTTGGGGTCTAGGAATTCAATTAAATAGGTTTCAATGTAAAGAAAACCCAATGCTTCATTAATTACTGTGACAGTGGGGGGTAAAATATGTTAAATTCATGAAAAAATGTACGCTTTGACAGGGTAACTTACCCCCCCACCCCTCCCCCTAAACTGAGATTTACTGTTCCTTTGGCATGGAAGTACCTTAGGGCCATAGGAAACATTTTATCCAAAGAGACAAGTTAGATCACCATTAAATTTTTTTTTAATAGCCATTTTAAAAATGGCTGCCGACAATAAACCGCCAATACACCAGACCCCATATCTTTGCTTCTGTTAGAGCTATAATCATAAGATTGGTGTCAAAGTGCACATTTTTGGGGTCTAGGAATTCAATTTAATAGGTTTCAATGTAAAAAAACCCCAATGCATCATTAATTACCATGACACTGGGGGGTTAAATATGTTAAATTCATGAAAAAATGTACGTTTTGACAGGGTAACTTACCCCCCCACCCCTCCCCCTAAACTGAGATTTACTGTTCCTTTGGCATGGAAGTACCTTAGGGCCATAGGAGACATTTTATGCAAAGAGACAAGTTAGATCACCCTTCAATTTTTTTTAATCGCCATTTTAAAAATGGCTGCCGACAATAAACCGCCAATACACCAGACCCCATATCTTTGCTTCTGTTAGAGCTAGGGCTGAAACGATTACTCGAGTAACTCGATTAATAAAATTCCTTGAGGCAAATTATATGCCTCGAGGAATCGTTTAAATCCGGAACCATGTGCAGCGCACGGTGTTTGACACGGACGGTTATTTCTGTTGCGCAGCAGCGTGCTCTTTCCGCTCCTTCCGCTGCCGCGCGTTTCATAGACATAATAAAAGGGTAGACCCCGCTGGGGGTGCTGCGCAGCGAGAAATGCGGCCGCCATCTTGGTCAGGTCAAGCTTCCCATACGCTCCGGTCAATCATATTCATTCATTCAGCGATGCCGGAGCACTGTGCGGCGTATTCCTGTGCCAACAGGCGGACAGCAGAGAACAGGGCTCAAGAAATAACTTTTCACAGTTATGATTAAACGTTTTTTAAACATTACACTTGACTGTAGAGTCATTTGTAGGCCAAAGAGGAAGACTATCGGTCAACTCCAAAAAGGAAACAGCATTTGCGAACAGCTAGCTTATTCACAATAATAGCAACTTTGGTCGATTATCAACAGATTTGCATTAGATTGAAAAACTTTTGTTTGAGAGAGGTTCTAAGAAACGTTAAGAAATAAAATAGAAAGAAAAAGGAAGAAAGTGAGCTCTGTTTTATTATCTGTTTTATTAAAGATTTCTTTGTGATGATCTCCTGTTTCATTTTGAAGATTTCCTAAGGACAAAAACTTGAGGAAGAAGTGGGAGATTGCTGTTAGAGGGAGAAATTCGCAGCAAGTGATTCCTCTGTGCTGTGTAGCCAACAAGCAAATTGATATGTAGTTTAGATGCTGTCCTGTCATGCTGTTCTTGTGTTTAAATCTTTTTGATATGTAGGCTATATATTTGTGTGTATTTTCCAGTTATTAAAATAGTGCTTCTATATGACATTATTTGTGTGTGTCTACAAATGGATAAATAAAATTAAACTATATAAAAAATTATAATCAAATCAATATATATTGAATTGGCCTATTAATACCGCCAGTTATTAATAATTATTGAGACATAGCAGGAACCTAGCTCTAAACCTAAATATATCCTTGATTAATTGTTATACTATAATACAGCCACTGCTGCCATGTTCTAAAATATCATTTTATTCATTCTGAGTATTTGAAAACGCCAAAAAAAAATATGGCCTCGATCATGCCTCTTTGAATGGCGTTTGCAGAGAAGAAAATTACGTAGTATTGAGCGAACTATGATTCATTAATGCGCTCGGACTTCATTCCGCCGGTTAAACAGCGGTGCAGAGTGAGGCGGATGACCGGACCAAGATGGCGGCCGCATTTCTCGACAGCGCCCATTCGTGGTAGCGGCCGATGCGGGGTCTATCTTTTATTATGTCTATGGCGCGTTTGGTTCAATCATGGAGGGAAACGAGGACAGACAGAGAGAGGAAGAAAGAGATGACACGCAGAGGAAACGGCAGAAAGTGTCTAAAGTGTGGGACCATTACACACTGAAAAGGAAAGAAAACGCCGTGCAGTGCGTTCACTGTAAGGCGGAGTTGGCGTTTCACAACAGCACGTCGTCAATGCTGCAGCACCTTAAAAGAAAACACCCGGTCCATGCATTAAGTCCACTCTGAGGCAAACGTGATTCAATGCAAAGTATTACAGTGAAAGCAAAACATTTCTTATCCGATTACTCGATTAATCGACAGATTAATCGATAGAGTACTCGATTACTAAAATAATCGATAGCTGCAGCCCTAGTTAGAGCTATAATCATAAGATTGGTGTCAAAGTGCACATTTTTGGGGTCTAGGAATTCAATTAAATAGGTTTCAATGTAAAAAACCCAATGCTCCATTAATTACCATGACAGTGGGGGGTAAAATATGCTAATTTCATGAAAAAATGTACGTTTTGACAGGGTAACTTATCCCCCCCACCCCTCCCCCTAAACGTAGATTTACTTTTCCCTTGGCATGGAAGTACCTTAGGACCATGGGAAACATTTTATCCAAAGGGACAAGTTAGATCACCCTTCAATTTTTTTAATAGCCATTTTAAAAATGGCCGCTGACAATAAACCGCTTATACACCAGACCCCATATCTTTTCTTCTGTTGGAGCTATAATCATAATATTGGTGTCAAAGTGCACATTTTTGGGGTCTAGGAATTCAATTAAATAGGTTTCAATGCAAAAAACCCAATTCATCATTAATTACCATGACAGCGGGGGGTAAAATATGCTAATTTCATTATAAAATGTATGTTTAAACAGGGTAACTTACCCCCCCAACCCTTCCCCTAAACGTAGATTTACTTTTCCCTTGGTATGGAAGTACCTTAGGACCATAGGAAAGATTTTATCCAAAAAGACAAGTCAACCATGTCTGCAGTCATTTGAAGCTACTGAATCGATTGGCATCAATCTTTCCAAAGACTACATTTCCCAGCTTTGCAAAAAGCCGGGTGTAAAGTGTTCGTAATCTGTGCGTTTTTAGGTGCAATGCCCCACAGACGAAGGCAGGATGCTGCATCGTACACTGATCACTCGGGACTCTCCTGTAAACTTTCTCCACCACTTATAAAACTTCTCTTGAGTATCTCTTGAGTATCTTCTGTATTAAATATTGTAATGAGACAACTGCTTTCTGCTATCCACCTTGAATTCACCCCTCAAAGGAATGCAGGCTCCCCTGGTTTGGACAGGAAATGGGGGAGTAACGGTTTGCACACCAAGTTCCCATTTACGACCCAAGAAACCATTGGGGAGGTGATAGTGAATCTTTAATGCTTCCCAAAAGGACAAGTTGCTTATCAACCACACAGACCCATAAACACGGAGCCTTTCTCCCTGGCTGGGAAAGATCAGAATTGACACTTCAGGATTAACCATTGACCTAAAAGGAAAACAAAGCATTTGGCGCCAAGTCTGAAAAACCAGATACCTGCCATAAAATCTCCATGGCTTTCTTTACTGAGCAGAAGGAAGAGGATGCCTGAAAATTGTTTAACTTCATGTTTAATGGACATGTCACCAGAATTTTCTGTCTGCACACCACATTCTTAATGAAATGGTCTTTTTCCCAATTTTGTAGCATATCCACAAGCCAAACTGTTAACTTCACAAATTTATTCCAGGTTTTCCATGGATCAAGAGCTCCTCCTAGTGGTGATGCTTGAATATGGTTTGATCAGAGCCAAATGGCAGGAATCTAATCACGTGTATTTCTTTCCTTTTGTTATACACTTCGTAGCTTAGTAAATGGTATTCCCAAGATAGGCTAGTAGTTTAGAAGTAGTAACGTGAAACTCGTTTAGACTCAAGTTAAGAGTTTCTGAATGTATCCATACTATGTTTTGTCTACCTCACACAAATCTATATTAATCATCTATGAAGCTTGATTGACAAGGTTATAGTGTTGTCAAATATTATTACGTATGTGTTTCTTATGCTGGATGGTGTTTCTGTTCGAATAGATAATTTGTTTTCTGTCCCTCTCTAACTTTTAAAAGTCGTTAATCCTCTGTAGTATCAAGAAGGCAGCCGATCAAAAGTTTACTGTTTTCAATGTCATGCTTTAATGCATCTGCTCATAAGAAACAATGAAGTGAAATGTGATCGTATGTGATGTTACAAACAGTTTAATCATAGTGAGTGAGTAAATTAGATCTAGCTCGCTTTTACTATCAAGTTGAGTTAATTCGCTGCCAGTCGATGGGCTGCATTGGGGAGGTCTCCCCCCCTTTTCTCATCTTTGGTTCACGCCTACGGTGAATCGCTTAAAAGAGTTGAGATTTTGCCGCCTCTTCAGTCTTGTTTTGTTTTAGTCTTGTTTAGTTTGTCTTCGTCTAGTTTTCTTTTGTCTTCGTCTATCGTTCGCAATTTTTCCCCGCGTTTTATTAATTGCCTTAAGCTCAGATTTTTCTTCTAAACTTGGACGAAACATTCCAAAGTCCCTTTAAAGCCTCAGTAACAAGCTGCGCGCATAAGATAACCTCAGTCTAAGTCTTTTTATTTATTTTTGTTCGCTAAAGTGACTCCTGAAGATAATATCGGCTGGCCAGCGAAATTATTTTCTTAAGTTATTGGCGCGAATTAATCTGCAACCAAGCAAGTCCTGAACGCCGACCAGCATCATCTGCCAAGCTGCTTTGCCACCTGGTTCCGAGAGGCCCAGAGATCCGAAGTATCTAACGGCGCTGACACGGTCCTGAAGCTGAGATCCAGACACGGCGGAAGAACTCCCCGCCGAACCTTCAGTATCCGGTACGGTAGCCACAGAACTTCAGCTGATCCATTCCAAGGGTGCCGCTGAGAACCGACGTCCAAAGTAGGCTAAATCATCGAAACTGCTGTGATGAGAACTGGGTGATGCCGTCAACCGTTCAGTAGCTTACTCTCATAAGTTATAGTTTAGTTCTCCAAATTCCTTTTTAATTTACCCTCGTAACTCCGTTAACGTAGGTTAAATTTCCCCTTTATTCACTCACTATTATTAACCTCCAGTCTTAGGTTTAATTTAAACCATTCCTTCGTTTATTCATTGGATGTGCTTTGATTTGCTCATTATTTGATCATCATTTATTGACGTTCTGTTATCATATAGCTTGTTAATAAATTGTCCATTTAATTTTAAGTTGTCGTCTTAGTGGTCTTTCAGAAAGTAGTCCCTGAATGAAGAATTCCGGCCTCAGATGAGAGACTGATTTAAATCTGTTTAAGACTGATCCAACGTTTAATTACTCAATTGAACTTTGTTTCGTCCCTTTCCCACCAGAAAGGTGGGTGGTGCCCCTTCAACGAGTGCATAAATGTCATAATTTAATTTGATTAATTTTCGACATTTATTTTGAATTTGAAATCGCTACAATAGGAAAGTAATACAAACCTCAAACTGAACCTCAAAGTGTCTCAGATTTTCTGTCACCTCTGATTTCATCCAGCTGTCACAGACCCTGGTATAGAATTCATGTTTTGTGGCAGCAACTGGCTACGAGAGGTGTAACACTCAGCAGTCATACAGACAGATACAAATGCAGTCAGACAGAGACACATAGGGCTCTATTTTCGTGTACGCTGGTGAGGCGACGGAGGGCGGCGGACCCCGCACAGTTGTATTTTTGTCTGGCGGAGCCCGGCGTACAGCCAGTTTGGTATTTTCGTGGACTGAAGCGCACGGAGGCGAACCGAGATCCGCCAAGCTGGGCGTGGTGGCAGGGGGAGGTATCGACAGAATCAGCGGGCGCAGTGACATTTTCGTGCTCGCCAGTGGCGTGTAAAGTGCGCTGAAAGCTCGCCGATTCAAACCTGGTCAGCTTTCAGCGCAAGCGAAACGCAGCTGGTCTAGAGGTATTTTGGTAGACTGGCGGCGTATCGGCATACGTCACTGATGCCTCACCGGCAGGTTTCCACAGTGTCAGGCACATTTCAGTGCAATAAATAATCATCAACAACTAATAATCTGAGTTAGTACATACATTTAGATCTATATAGATATATTCTGATCTATATCTGATCTGATGAGCACGTTTGGCATGCGTTTCGAGACACAACCTGACCGAATCAACACAGCTGAAACTGCATTAAATTAAGTATCTAGTAAATAAACACACATGATGAAGTTAACAAGATATGTGATTCGTCTCCCTCCTTTTCTTTCTTCCTCTTATTTCTCGCGCAGCTCAACCTGGACATGTCTCCGTGTCCTCTCTCCGTCCTGCAGTGGCTGAACAGATGATTTGTTTCAGTGATCAGATGAGTTATTTACTTTAAGCCTACATGCGGATATTATAATATTCAGTTTTGTGAGGCAAATTTATTTTATATGCCAACATCTATGAAAGAAAGAGCCAGGCCACAGAGCGCGATGCGTCATTTACGCACAGATGGTTCCGATTTTAATGCCATTTTTGGAGTTAATGTTGTGATCTGTGTGCACAACCCACCTTTGTCACGTGAGGTTTGAATATATGCAACTTTATGTGAGTGTCTTTATTTGTGGAAAAGGGTGTTTGTCTTACCAGTGGGTCCAACATTACACACACCAAATCCATCTGTGCTCAGATGAGAGAGTGTGGAGGACGCCCAATGCAGCGCTTACAGTGACACCTGTTGAGGAGCTGCCTTCTGTCACCATTGTGTGGCATAACTGTCTTCAGACATCTCTCTGACTACTTCCCGAAAATTGTACTAAGCCTCGCCGGTGGCGGATTTAAAGGCAAGGAGAGGAGCTTATGTGATTGGTGAAAACAGGTCTCGGCTGTGTTAAACCCACTCCACGCCCTCTCTCCTCCCTTCCTACGACTTACGCTGCTGGGAGGCGCTGAGTTAGGGAGGGGGGATACTTACGCCGGGCTGCGCCGCTCACCAAAATACCAAATTGTGCTTGGGAACGCCTTGTCGCCGCGGCGGACCTGACTTACGCCGCGCCTGCGGCACGTCTCCGGCGAGGCACGAAAATAGAGCCCATAGAGTACATAAGAGGCTGTACCATTTTTCTTTTCTTTTTTTCTTTTTCTTTTTTAGGGGGGCATTTTTAAAGTCACCTTTTTGACACTTATTTTGTTCATTAAATGTGCATATTTTACCCCCATTGTGAGGGTAATGAGAAGACTATATATTTTTTAGTCTGGAGACCTTTTCATATGGATTTCTTGATCCCAGAAATGTACACTTTGACACTAATATTAATATTATAGCTCTCACAGAAGTGAAAATATGGGGTCTGGTGTAATAGTGATGTATTGTCGGTGGTCATTTTTTAAAATGTCTATAAAATAAATGAAGGGTGATCTAACTTGTCTCTTTGGATAAAATGTTTCCTATGACCCTAAGGTACTTCCATGCCAAAGGAACAGTAAATCTCGGTTTAGGGGGAGGGGTGGGGGGGTAAGTTACCCTGTTAAAACGTACATTTTTTCATGAAATTTACATATTTTACCCCCGTTGTCATGGTAATTAATGATGCATTGGGTTTTTTACATCGAAACCTATTTAATTGAATTCCTAGACCCCAAAAATGTGCACTTTGACACCAATATTATGATTATAGCTCTAACAGAAGCAAAGATACGGGGTCTGGTGTATTGGCGGTTTATTGTCGGCGGCCATTTTTAAAATGGCGATTTAAAAAAATTGAAGGGTGATCTAACTTGTCTCTTTGGATAAAATGTTTCCTATGACCCTAAGGTACTTCCATACCAAAGGGGACATTTGTAGCATGACTTGAAGTTTACAGCTTATTTTTTGGGCTTAGGGAATCCACTATGTAGACAAACTTCTCCTGCTGGTTTGTTGGACGGGTAAAGGAGGCTGTGAGGCTTTAACTTTAACACAACAGCAATACACACACAGATTTACACACAAACACACACAGATTTATACAACACTTTCTGGACTGTGAGCTGAAACAGGAACTCTTTCAGGGAAAATCCTTCGTTCACTGTTACCTGAGGGTCACACATGTTGTGTGTTTGTGTGCGTTTGACCCGTGTGGTCAAGTGGGTCACTGTAAACAGTACATGGACCTCATTTCTTCTTCTCCTTGTTGCCGTGGTTTCCACAGAGGTTCAGATGCCCCTCGGTACTTCAGAGGGAGTCCTAAAATAGAGCATGTGTCTGTGACACACAATTTTCTGCTAGTTGGAGCGGTCTGGAGATAACGGAGGTCTAAATTAATCTGGTTCAATGGAGCGCCTGTTCCTCTAGAATCAGTCTGACCCGGATTCTGACGTTCAGATTCAACCCTGGCTCTCTCTCTGTGGTCCGATGGTTCTGTATTTTTAGTTCTTTATCGGCCTTTCTCAAAGATCCGGTTTTATATACTCTGAGCCCTGTTCTGATGGTTTCATGGTAAAGTCGCAGGTTTCATTCTTTAGGAGGATTTGCAAGATTGTAGTGCGATCACTGAAAATTTCACAGAGAGTGACAGGAGGAGTGTGATGATCGTGCTTTTTTCAGACTTCCATCTTGGTCTGCAAACACAGAGCGCCATGCAGATCTCTGAAACTGAACAAGGCTTCATGCAAACTTCTGAAAGCCCAGAGGCTTTCTGGATGACGTCTCTAGTCTGTGTCAATGTGAGCGGACGGGAGAATCTGGTTGAAACTCTGAAAGTAGGGCTGGGCGATATGGGAAAAAGTTTATCACGATCCAGTTAAATCCTGGAGAACGCATTTTTCTCTTTTTTAATGCTGACTATCGAAAAAGCATATCGACCATGTTTTATATTGATATTGAGGGAAATTCCTCTTCGATTTATCTACTGTTATCGTTTTATCGCCCAGCCCTATCTGAGATGTTTCTGAAGTTGTGTTGAATTGAACCAGAGGAGGAGCAGCAGCTGCAAGGACAGGAGTCTGACTGCAGGACAGTCTGGATCAATATTGATCAGGAAATCAAAACTGATTAGCTGATGTCGGAAGAGTCTCTATATGATCTGAACTTCGTTTAATTCCTGCAGTGGTTCTGAGCATCAGGTCGAGATTATAGGATGTCCTGTCCCGTCATGCTGCAGACCATGTGGGTCCGTGTTCTGTGTACATGTTCTGTAAGAGTCCTGACCTCCAGACATACATGTGGGTCCTCCAGAGTCCCTCATGTTTGAGTCTTTAGTGTTTTCAACCAGATGGTTCCTCCTGTGACCGCCTTCAGTCTTCCTCCATCCTGGTCACCTGATGATGTTGTGAGCTGCTCTAAGAAGAAGAGGAGCTATTCTGCGGAGGATCTATACCGCTGATTTAACCCTTTCCTCAGTCGAGGAGGGTTAGTCCTGTTCTCAGTCTGGTTCTCATAGTTCTCATTCTGGTTCTCAGTCTGGTTCTCATAGTTCACAGTCTAGTTCTCAGTCTGGTTCTCATAGTTTTCAGTCTAGTTCTCTTAGTTCTCAGTCCAGTTCTCAGTCTGTTTCTCATAGTTCTTAGTCTGGTTCTCATAGTTCTCAGTCTAGTTCCCAGTCTAGTTCTCATAGTTCTCAGTCCAGTTCTCTCTGGTTCTCATAGTTCTCTGTCTAGTTCCCAGTCTCGTTCTTACAGTTCTCAGTGTGGTTTTCAGTCTAGTACCCAGTCTGGTTCTTAGTCTAGTTCTCAGTCTGGTTCTCATAGTTCTCAGTCTAGTTCTTATAGTTCTCAGTGTGGTTCTCAGTGTGGTTCTTAGTCTGGTTCTTAGTCTGGTTCTCAGTCTAGTGTTCATAGTTCTCAGTCTCGTTCCCAGTCTAGTTCTCAGTCTGGTTCTCATAGTTCTCAGTCTAGTTCTCATAGTTCTCAGTCCAATTCTCAGTCCAGACTCTGACCAACTTACTGAAGGTCCGTCTCTGTGGTTCTGACAGGAGGAGCTGATCCAGGATGTTCACTTATCCTCCCTGCAGCTCATAAAGACGTCCACAGATCCACACACCCAGAACACTCTGACTGTTTTGGAAACGGGACACACTCACACCGAGGCTGAAGGCAGGCGTGTGTGTGTGTGAGTACACTTGTGTGTGTTTAAATGTGTGTGTCAGCAGACAGTGTGCCTTTCATTTCCTATGACTATTTAAAGACGCAGGACTAAGCCCTGCTCCAAATGTCAGAAATACAAATACGAGAGAGGCGTTGGCGGCGGCCTCCTACCTCGATGCTGAAGTACCCTCGGTCCACGTAGTCGCCCAGGAACAGGTAACGGGTGCTGCTGGGAGACCCGCCCACCTCGAAGAGCTTCATCAGGTCAAAGAATTGTCCGTGGACGTCTCCGCACACTGGAAACAGAGAAACATGGATTTAGAGGAACTTCATGAAAAAAACCCACTGATGGAGAGTTTGGACCTTTTCAGAATTCACGTGCATGCACACACACACACACACACACACACACACACACACACACACACACACACACACACACACACACACACACACACACACACACACACACACACACACACACACGCATGCACACTTATATATACATATAAATAATTGAAACATTTTAAAAAACGTTGTAAACCTTTTCAAAGATCTGCCGTTTCCCTGAATACAGCAGGAATTCGAACCCTCATCTGTCTGTCCGTCTGCTGTTTGATCAAAGGCTTCTTCAGGTGGAGACAGCAGTTTGACCAACAGGGTCTGACTGTCAGACACACGAGAGAGATCCCCACACTTGTCCTAAACAGCCGATAAAGTTGCAGTAAAACTCTGCCTAGAGCTCTGAGTGTTTGCTGCCCCACAACATCTGAAGTACACCTGTCCAGGTGAGACCACCTCTACAGAGCTGCAGGGATGGACTTTTAGCCCACTATAGTTCAGTCCAAACATGCAGTCTAACAGCAGCCTGACAGTCCTCTTCATCAACCAGGATCAGGCTCTGATGACCACAAAGGGGGGCTCATCATCCTGGGTCTAAAACTAGTCCTGAGTGTTTTCCTGGTCTTTGTAGCTTCTGTTTAACCCCCAATTTCCACCGCATCCAAAACAGCTCCGATCCGGAACGGCAGCGATTTTCACCGTCCGCCAATTCCTACTGGATCCATTTGTGAGATGAATTTCATGGCAGATTACAGACAGCAGGAATCGCGAGAACTCAAAAGAAACCACGGTTCACGTTCAACCGCGCGATAATGAGTTGTCTCAATAAAGACAGACACATAGACATACAAGCAGTAGATTGTGTCCTCCCAGAGGAGGAAATCTACTTCTAGACTTCTAGAATCAGCATCTCCTCATCCATGGTGTCATTGGGGTGAAATGACGTCTAAAAACCTTTCACTTTTAGTCTCCGCTCATTTGCATGGTGTGAAATACGATCCTCCTGAAAGTGAGTGTTTTATTTTGAAAAGAAGCCAGATGTTTTATTTTGTGTCTGTGCCAGACTTCCTTTCCAGCACGGGTTAATCTGTGCTGAATTTATCAGGCATGCTCCGGCGTCCAGAAAAAATAGAACTCTTGCGATCAGCTGAGGAGTCTGGCAATCCACAGAGGAACGGAAAGAAGGCGGTGGAAATTGACGTTAACTTGAACGTTAACGTTCAGAGGATACAACCTTTTTTTAGACGTTCAGGATGTGGTGGAAATTGGGGGTTAAAAACAGAAAAACTTTATTAAGGAACAGAACGTGGTTTTGGTTTTAGGCTGTACTGGATCAGGAGATCTGGGTTTATTGTGTCCCTAAAGGGACCTCATTTAGACCTCAGCCCCACTCTGACCTGCTGACCTCAGTCCATCTGATCCTCCTCTCTCTGTAATCCTGACTGTTCTGTAGATGATTTAAACTTCAGAGGTTTTAAACAGGTCCATAAAACTTTGGTCTGGTAAACGCTCAAATATTAAAGTCAAAGTTACGAAAAAAACATCTCGACGCGATCCAAACTCCAAACTTCAGAAGGAGTTAAACTCGAATATTTGAAGGTCTGACATTTTTTCTGTGAAACTTCAGTGACTGTGGGCAAACTTTGAGGTGAACTGGTTTGATGGCTTTATTCATATTTTGATCAAATAAATTTAGGGACAAAAAAAACTGTAAATATGAAACTGAGAGGAGGAGAAGACAAAGGAGGCGGAGTGAGGAGGAGGAGAAGGAGGAAGTAAAAATAGTCAGGGTGAGGAGGGTGGAGGGTGGATACCAAGCCACATGTCAGAGAGGGCAGCTGTAGAAATAGACTCCTGCTCTCACACACACAGACGGGGGTGTACCTGTAATGGGAGCCTCCACCTCCAGCATGCATTTCTCCTGGCGGAGGATGCTGGCGCCCTCGTTGATGATCCGCAGAGCTGCATCCTCCTCCAGCCGACCTTCCTTCACCAGGTGGGCCTTCAGGTTCTCCACACTGGGCCTCCCGTCCACGTACAGGTCTTTGACCGACAGGCGGTTACCGGGAGGATATGGCACCGCTACAAACACAGACAGACGGGCAGAGAGAGGCGGGTCAAAAAACACTGAAGAAAAAGTTTACTGAGAGGACAGAAGGGCGGATCTGGACCAGGACTAAAGTTTTCAGAAAGATCTAGGTCCAGGATTAGAAAGTTCTCTCTCTGAGCACCACTACAGAGGGGAACACCAGACCCAAAAACCAAACCCAGAACCACTTTATCTCAGCCCAGAGTCAGGTCTTCAAAAGTCTGTTCAGAACTTTTTTAATGAGACTGAGTCCACCTGAGACCCTGACTGCACAGATCCACCGGAGCAAGTCGGAGCGCGATCCGGGACCTCTTTTGATCGGATCCGGGACCTATTTCAGCCGCTCCGGCACCTGTTTCATCTGCTCCGGGACCTTCCCTGTAGAGGATGACTTTTTTCGGGAATTCCCGTGGGTCGCGTAATCCCCCGGGAATCCCACGGGATAGGAGTCATTTTTTTATTAATCCCTTGATCGGGACGGGACGGGAAAAAAAGCAACGGGAGTGGGCAGGAGCGGGAACAACATTAAACTAGGACCCCGTTGGGGCACTGGCGGGCCCGAGCTGTGTCGCGTCCCCCCCCCAACGCGCTGCCTCCCCGTCCCATTTGTTTCCTCTGGCCATCGCCCTCTCTGGTAACGCCCATCACTGCAAAGACCCTTTTCCTCCATCGGCGTTTGCTGTTCTTCCTGCCAGTGCGTGTTGCTTTCACTTACACTTGCCACAGCCAGCCTCGTGAGTGCCTAGCCTATTGGATATCACTGTCACCTACACAGGACAGTCATTACCTTTCTATTAATACTTTGTTTTTTAATTTCACATGAATTTCCATATTGTATAAACAACTGGAAAAAACTTGAGCCCCTGCCCCTGTATAATCATGTGCACGTCTCTGTTCTAGCTCTAAGGTGAATCTTCACTGCTCATGTTCTCCTCAGAAGCAGTCACCTCACTCCCCTCAGGTTACTGTACACATGCACCAACTGCCTGCTTCAGGTTTGGATGGAGCTTCATGGTTGTCTTTTGGAGAAATGACCAGTCAAGTTGTGTTTGAAATTTGATTTTTTTCAGGGGCAAAAGGAGCCTCTGCATTCTTGTCAAATATGTAAATAGCATGTTTTTGCAGGTGCTAAAAACCAGACTCTGAGTGTGTGTGTGTGTGTGTGTGTGTGTGCGTGTGTGTGTGTGCGTTCAAGTCACATGACATATTTAACCGGATGTAGCTGCAAGACGGAGCCTCGTTGACTCTCCGTTTCAACTTATCTCAAAAGTGAGGACCTCAACCTATATACCAGTTTTTAAATTGTGTTGATAGGCCAAATAAAACCAGAGTTATGATAAATTATGTCCGCGATACTTGTTTTCTGCTTATTTTGATCACGTTCTGCGCTCGATCGCGCTGTATGAGACAGGAAAACATAGCATGCAGACATTAGCGACAGGTCTTACAGGCGGAAAAGGCTTGCCAAAGGAAAAAAAAAACACACCACAACATCTCTCCTATTGGTGGAAAACTTCACCACAACAACCAATCCAAAATTATATGGTGACTGATTGACAAGGGGCGGGCACTTACGTTCTTCCTGCAATATGAGAAGGGAGGGAGGGACTCTCAGCAGGGATGCAGTCTGGGACACGTAGTTGCAAACCTAGCGACTTTGTTGTTAGATTCGATGACTTTTCAGACCCCCTAACGACTTTTTTTTAGAAAGAAAGTGACTTTTATCGACTTCTTCTGGAGTTTAGAGACTCTGACATGAAGCAGGCTTTCCTTACTGAGGAGTTAGCAACGCTGCTAAGGGTGCAGAGCCACACATGCGCTCCGAGCTCTGCATGGGAGACTGAAGCTGACAGAGCTGCAGCAGTTAGCAGGTTTCACCCTCAGAGACCACCAGGGGTTCATGTTGAGGCATTTTTAGTTTTTTTTTTTTTTTGCCATAGACACTGTCAGCACAATCTGCAGTTACACTAACAAAAATGCTGCAAAAAACAAAGAATTATGGAAAAATTACACATGGACTAACATAGAGGAGGATCTACACAAGTTTTTTACATCATGTTTTACATCATGCATCATTTACATCATGTTTTTTTGTAGTGGCATAAATAAAAAGTGACATTTGTGAGACTATACAGTGTTTTGTAAATAATTTTACAAAGAACACCTGGGCCATTGCCTGCATTTTGATGTAAATAGAGGTAAATTACTATGTTCTTTGTTAAAAATTTGCATATGTTTTGAAGTTTACAATTTTTATTTGAAGTTTAAGTTTTAAAAACAGTTCATCACACATATTTGTGGTTTTCACAGTAAAAACGTTACTTTTTTCCACTCGGATTTTATGTTTTGTGTGTGAATTTGGGTCCAATGTGTAAATATAGTATGTCAAAATGATAAAATAACTGTAAATTGACACAGGTGAGGTTGTGCTGAAAAAAATGATACCAGGCAAGGCAAGGTAAAAATTTTGTAAGAGGAAATATAAAGGTAAAATCTAAAGTAGTCAAAAACGGCCAATAGTGACTCACAGACTCCACAGACAAGTCCCTTTGGCGCCACTCAGTGGGCAAAACTACTTTGTCTACTGTAATGTATATTTGGGTCATCTTTGGCGCCCCCTAAAACGTAAACCATGGGGTGCAGCGTCATGATTTTTACAACTTTGAATGGCCATGGAGTGTAGATTGGCCTGAGCAAATTTGGTGTCAGTGGGACGAAAGCCTTAGGAGGAGTTAGCCACATTCCAATGTGTGCGAATCGGCAAAAAATGCAAAATAGCCCTTTTACCGTACATTATACAGATACGCGCTCTTTGACTTTTTCGTAGATCTAATTGAGATACACATGATTGTCAATTTTTGTGTCATTTTGACAAAGCGTACAGGCGTGACACTCAACAATGTGTATTTTCACCTTAGGGGACAAGAAAAAATGGACTTTTTTCTCCTGCCATGGGGGGGCGCTCTTTTGGGGAGTAAAAATTCCTTCACAAATGTGTTGATGGCTGGACATTGCATCATCCTAGAAAACCTGGAGGCCAGTGAGGGCAAAAATAAAAAGTTATAAGACTTTTAAATATGTGGATTTTAGGGTTATCTTTGGCGCCCCCTAGAACCTAAACCGTGGGGTGCAGCGTCATGATTTGAATAACTTTGAATGGCCATGGAGTGTAGATTGGCCTGAGCAAATTTGGTGTCAGTGGGACGAAAGCCTTAGGAGGAGTTAGCCACATTCCAATGTGTGCGAATCGGCAAAAAATGCAAAATAGCCCTTTAACCGTACATTATACAGATATGCGCTCTTTGACTTTTTCGTAGATCTAATTGAGATACACATGATTGTCAATTTTTGTGTCATTTTGCCAAAGCGTACAGGCGTGACAGTCAACAATGTGTATTTTCACCTTAGGGGACAAGAAAAAATGGACTTTTTTCTCCTGCCATGGGGGGGCGCTCTTTTAGGGAGTAAAAATTCCTTCACAAATGTGTTGATGGCTGGACATTGCATCATCCTAGAAAACTTGGAGGCCAGTGAGGACAAAAATAAAAAGTTATAAGACTTTTAAAAATGTGGATTTTTGGGTTATCTTTGGCGCCCCCTAGAACGTAAACCGTGGGGTGCAGCGTCATGATTTGAATAACTTTTAATGGCCATGGGGTGTAGATTGGCCTGAGCAAATGTGGTGCCGGTGGAACGAAAGCCTTCGGAGGAGTTAGCGAAATTCCAATGTGTGCGAATCGGCAAAAAATGCTGAATAACCCTTTAACCGTACATTTGACAGATACGCGCGCATGGACTTTTTTGTAGATCTTATTGAGATACATGTGTGTGTCAATTTTTGTGTCATTTTGACAAAGCGTACAGGCGTGACACTCAACAATGTGTATTTTCACCTTAGGGGACAAGAAAAAATGGACTTTTTTCTCCTGCCATGGGGGGGCGCTCTTTTGGGGAGTAAAAATTCCTTCACAAATGTGTTGATGGCTGGACATTGCATCATCCTAGAAAACTTGGAGGCCAGTGAGGGCAAAAATAAAAAGTTATAAGACTTTTAAATATGTGGATTTTAGGGTTATCTTTGGCGCCCCCTAGAACCTAAACCGTGGGGTGCAGCGTCATGATTTGAATAACTTTTAATGGCCATGGGGTGTAGATTGGCCTGAGCAAATGTGGTGCCGGTGGAACGAAAGCCTTCGGAGGAGTTAGCGAAATTCCAATGTGTGCGGATCGGCAAAAAATGCGAAATAACCCTTTAACCGTACATTTGACAGATACGCCCGCACTGACTTTTTTGTAGATCTTATTGAGATACATGTGTGTGTCAAATTTTGTGTCATTTTGACAAAGCGTACAGGCGTGACACTCAATAGTGTGAATTTTCACCTTAGGGGGCGCTATGGAGCCATTTTGCATTTTCTTGTTTGGGCGACTTCGAAATATCAAATTTTTCACCAGGCCCGGTCGTCCTGCCAAATTTCATGAGTTTTCGCCAGTGGGAAGTGGGCCATTTTCCAGTTCAAAGGGGAGGAAAAAGAAAAAAGAAACAAAGAAAAACCCCTTGGGGAATAATAGGGCTCTCGCAGCTGCTTAGCAGCTACGCTCGGGCCCTAAATATGATCATTTTCAGCCGTGTTTAACAACCAGATGAACAGGTGCGTCCATTTTTGTAGTCATCTCTCAGTGAGAGCAAACACTCTTGACCGCGCTAGCAACACAAAAGAACTACAACAGCGGTTTGACTTCCTGTCAGCTGGGAGCGCGGCTGCGAGAAACATCCAGCAGTGTGAACAACCTCTTCAAAAGAGCCCTAAAGACCTACCTTTTTAATAAAGCCTTTGGTTAGTTTTCCTCTATGCTTTATGCTTTTACTACCTTGCCTCTTACATTGCAACTCTATATATTTAATTTTTTTTAAATTCTTTTTTATGCTAATCTGTGACTGTCATTCTATTGCTTTTTTTATTGTTGCTGCTCTTTTTTTACTGTGTACTGTAGCACTTTGAGATTTTTTGTAAATGTAAAGTGCATTACAAATTAAATTTATTATTATTATTATTATTATTATTATTATTATTATTATTATTATGGAGTGCTTCGGCTCACACTATCAACGTTTTCTGTAAGTGTTACATAACTTTGGGTGAGCACAGACATGAACGCACTTCAGCCACATATTTATTTATTCATTTTTCTAGTTTTAAGTGCTGGTCTTGTACTGGTACTGTACTAGTGCAGCTGTATACACTTAAATTTTTCATAGAACTGAAAGCATACCATAGCTATATCGTGATATATATCGTTATCGTGATATAAAATGATCCATATCGTGATATACATTTTTTTCCATATCGCCCAGCACTAGTAGGATATTCAATCTGTATAATAACAGGAACTAACTGGATCAATATCAGTGTGAATATTGGCTTTTCAGATAAAAACCTAATATCAGGACTCCCTGTCCAAACACAAACAAACACAGTTTAAAAAATAGAGATCTGATGTCCAAAAAATCCAACAAAACTATCAGCAGAAAACAGCAGAAAATTTCAGGAAAAAAAATCAGGAAAAATTTAGAAAAAAATCAGGAAAAAATAACAGGAAAATTCAAGACAAAATCAGGAAAAATCTGGAAAGTTCAGGGAAAAAAAAGGAAAATTCAGGGGAAAAAAAATTCAGGAAAATGCAGTAAAAAAAATCAGGAAAAAAACTGTTTGAGAGGAGATACCACCTGCAGCTACGAGGAACTAAAAGAAGCCCTTTTTCTTTCTTTCAGATCCTATAATGGGGCCGCCTCCGCTCTCAGCCTCCATAGAGAGAGAAGAGGACGAGCTTTTACATAATTTTTATTAACAGATTTTTGAAAATTAATGCAGAATCTGGGAGGGAGGGAGGGAGGGATTCTGGTCTCTGTTTGAAGTCTGAGGAGAACTGAGTCATGATCCAGAGGACAGGAAGAGAGCACCAGACTGCCCTAAACCCCAACGACTACAGTCTTAAGACTATTTAGTTTTTATTGATTAAAAAAGGAGATCTGGGTCTACAAGAGTCCAGTACGGCTCTCTCCTCGCACTAAAGGATGACGGATTTGAAGGTCTGTGGAGGGTTTGAAATGAGGATGTAGATCTTCTCTCTGATTGGTGCACATCAGTTGATCAAGGTTTAGGACTTTGAGCTGAACAGGTCTTCCAGATCACTCAGTGCGTTTACATGCACAGTTTAATCGGACTAAGCTCAAAATTCGTTTTTTTCTCTGAATCGGACTTCTTTCCTTGTCCGTGTATACATGCAGCTGAGAAAATTGAATTATTGATGTGAACGTGTCCTCCTCCCCAAAACTAGGGGGCGATACGGGTCTTTTCAGCTGCGCTGTGTCCGACCCCATACAACAGTCAACAACAACAGCAGCTCCGTGCCAGACGTCAGAAGTGTCTGCAACTGCTGCTGGGCATTTTGGAGCAAGAAGATGGAGCATCGTACAGCGTTGTTTTTGTCCTACATCATGGATGTTAGAGCTGGGACCATATGCTATTCTCCCGATCCGATTCCTCTACATTTTTTTTGGATGCCAATTCGATTAAAATTGTGATTCTACGATAAAGCCGGTTTTCTTGATATTTAGTCTGCAATTTAAACACCAATAAAACAGTTGAATGATTATGAATGTCTACTGACTATTCCAGGAACCAAATTTCCCTTAAAAAATACACATCACAAGTAAGTCAGTTTTTAAGATTTAAGGTCTTTTTACACCAGGGACGACGCAAATATAGAACGTAAAATTATGAAATATTCTGAGGTGAATTTTGACGTACCTGACAAAACACATCAAGCCCAATGCGATTTTGCGACTTTCCGGGGGGAAAAGACACATCCCGGGGAAGACTTTTCCCGGGAAATGTCCTGCCCCCTTCGCATCTGATTGGCTAGAAAAGCTAGAAACATCATCACATGCTCAAGCCAAATGGTCAGCACTTATAGCCAATCAGAGGCGATAAGATAAGCACATGAAACTATAGTAACAACCATTAGCTTACGTTAGCACAGATGAAAGTTAAAACAAAGACATTTAGCAAACTGTTAAAGCACACAAAACATCGTCATATGAGAAATCCGACGCTATAAGTCTCCCCAAGTTGTCCTTCAGGTCGTTATCTTTGTAATATTTGTGTTTTTTATCAAAAAGCACTCTGTTCTCCGACACGTTAACAATCATCTGGTCGGCTATGTTGGATATACGGGGGAATCTGACGTCGCAACAACACAAAATCTGATTGGTCCGAAGTGGACACACAGTATGCGAAACTTAAGAAAATTCGACCATGATACGAAAAAATTAATTCCGCAATATCGCAGAAAAATGTTGCTGATGTGAATGCTTGTAATGACAGGATACAGGTTCGAAAAAAAAATATTGATGTCCAAAATAATCGCACGTAAAAAACAGTCCCGGTGTGAAAGGACCTTATTTCTTAAATTTGAAAAAAATAATAATAATAAAAATAAAAAAAATTTGAACATAGAAATCGATTTAAAAATTGTAAAACAAAAAATAGCGATACCTAGGTGAATCGATTTTTTCTCCCACCTTTAATGTACGCGCTACTTTTTCTGCAGATAAGACGCAGTGTTTTTTTTCCAGGGTTACGGGGGCGTGGCTCACGCGCACATGTATTATCCGATCACTCTCAGACTACGCTGGTTACATGGTAGAGAAAATTGAATTCCAATCACATTATCTGGGTATAATCCGAGTTCTGCGACTCCAATCGTAGTTCTCAAACTCTGATTATAGTAGGACTAAGGTGTTTGAACTTCAGTTGTCTGGTCTTAATCGGAATAAGGCGATAATTTGGTTTTCTCAAGTGTCATGGAAATGTACTGAATGATTTCTAATTCTACATTGAAAGTCCAGTTGTCCTTTTCATGCGGAGATTCCCACTCCAAAGTCATGTGACTAACCTGTTGGACATAGTTGGTTTAAAATCATCTGAAAACCATAAAAAAACTATTTTATTTCCGATCATTTTAACCCTTAAATGTCTTTTCAAATTTGTCTCTCAGAGATCAGTGTTCTCCGACTCCAATCGGAGTTCTCAAACTCCGATTATAGTCACACTAAGGTGTTTACATGACTTTCAGTTGTCCGGTCTTAATCGAAATATGGCGACAATTCTGTTTTCTCGGGTGTCATGGAAACTTACTGAGTGACTGCAGTAAACCGCTCTGAAGCATGTTTGACTTTGACACTCAGGCGCTGTTTGTGTTTTTGTAGCTGTGTTTGTCTGCAGCAGCTCTTATATTTCCACACACACACACACACACAAAACACCTGTCTGTTTCATACACTGGCTGTTTTGCTTACATTTGACTGGCTGCTGGCCACAGGGCTACGGTGGCCTGCAGGGACAAAGTTGAAAATCAGACTGAGGGTAAAAACGATTCGCTGTTTTCTCGTTCTTCTCTGAGGATATTCTCCTCAGTTTCTCGTCTGTGATTTGAATACCACTTCCTCCCACAGTTCCTGTCTCTCTGTCACTTCTGGTTTGGGTTCCTTCCCCAGTTTCAGAAACGGCGCTCTGTTTCTTCACGTCTGATCAGCCGCATGTGTCCATCCGTGAACCAGTTAATGAGCTCCCACACGATTGGCTGAATGTGAGCGACCTGCTTTGGTTTCACTCACTAAACTAGACCACTGGGACACAGTGTGTGTGAGTGGGTGTGTGTGTGTGTGTGTGTGAGAGTGTGTGAGTGCATGGGTGTCTTCTAAAATACTCTGTGTACATGTGTCCGGGTGGACCTGAGTGTGTGAGGTGACACTGATCCCACCTGAGAACTGCAGCAGTTACTACACTGACACACCTTAGTTTGGCTGAGCAAACACACACACACACACACACACACACACTAAGGCTGCACGATATTGGAAAAAACTAACATTGCGATTTTTTTCAACCATGCGATATATATTGTGATATTAAAAAATACAGGAATTTTTACCAGATGACCTGAATAGCACTTAATGTTATGCTGCACTGCTGAAATCTTGAGGACAGTTAACCTGCACTGATCTGACCTCTTTTTGTGAATGTTAGTAGAACGGCTTCTGTCTGTCTCAGAGATATTTTTAGCTTGCTTTTATTGTTATTGTGGCATTTTGGGTTGGTTGTTTGAAAAGGATGTTTTTGTTTTGGCAAAATTTGTTGAAAAGGCTTGGCATATGCGGCAAAGTATTTTGTACCCTGTAGGATGAACTTTTTTGTTTCTCTTTCATTATCCTCATTGTTTGTGTTACAATTGTTAATGGATTTTTGATGTTATTGTTGTTGTATATTATGTTGCATGGCTGTCTTGGATACATTGTGTTTTGAGTTTGTTGAACAGTGTCTAATAAGCCCATGGGGCTGGGCACCAATTTTGGTGTATGACACTTGAATAAAATTATCAAATCAAAATCAAATCAAATGTTATTGTGGCAACAGATGAACACAGAACACGTGTTTTGGTTGACATTATCCATCTTGTAACGAAATAATTCCAGATAAGTGACTTTCCTTTTCTTTTTGGTAACAAGCCTTGATCTTCTGTAGTTTTCTCTGTTTGTTGCTCAGTTTGCAATTGTTGTTGTTGTTGTTGTTACCGGGGTTGTGCTGAGAAACGCATGTCCTCCGAGAACTGCATGCACCTCACAAAATGCACACTGCTTATAGTAGAGTGGTCCACGGAAATGTACAATTTAAAACCCATACAATTCTTATTTGTTGGGCTAAACAGTGATGAGTAATGTTCTGAAAGTAATTCTCAGCAGACACGCGTTTCTCGGCTCAACTCCGGTAGCGCCAGCGACTCACTCCATATGCAGGACATGTGCAGGGGTGGGTTTCCTCCTCTTTGATTTTGATTGACAGCTGGCAGGGTAGTCTGATTGGCAACTGAGTGGAGAATGAAGGTGATTGGTGGATCGCTGCACAGCACATGCAGAGTCACATGCAGTGTCTCTCAGTCAGCTACCCTTGAAATTAGATGAGTTCATTCACCTCCGACATCGCAGGCTCTGCGATGTGACTATTGCACACACGTACATCGCGATGACAATGCTCAAACGATATATCGTGCAGCCCTAACACACACACACACATAGACACACACGCACGTGCGCGCGCGCGCACACACACACACACACACACACACACACACACACACACACACACGTCATGGTCAAAAATCAAACACCATACATGAATTATGAACAGATTCTCCTCCTCAAATAAAAATTAGCGAAGACCCGATTATCAGACGGCTCTAACGATCGCCAAACAGGAAGTGAGACGGCTGACAGACGCACCACAAATGCAGCCATGGCAGCGTTAAGACGCCAGGCATCAGAAGTAGAGATAGACGGCCACCGCGAGACTGAGTGTGTGTACAGGTGATTAATAAATCAGACAGCTACAGAAACGCTAGGGGGAGCAGTTAAAGGGAAACCGCTGCTTTAACAGAAGAAGAACTTAGATTCTGAGACTTGAGTTACTGAGTCTGGACTATGAGAGTCTTTATGTACATTAAGTATATTTTTAAAAAACTTAAAGATTTAACTAAAATTAATAATGCATTAATTTAAATGTTGCATGTGCTCATTGACATATCCCTGGCTGTGATAATTCAGCATCAAAAAATCTCTTTTGTATTTAGTTTTTTTTTTTGGATGATTCATTTTTTCGTTTTTTTTAAATCCAAAAACTGGGTAGCATCATGGCAAAAAACTGGCACTGAAAGCGTTAAAATAACCGAAAAGTTATTGATATGTCCTATTAATTATTAGGGCAGATGTGGACCAAAAAAGTGGAATTCAATAACATTTAAGTATATTATTATGGGTTTAGCATGTTATGCACATTAGAGTTTAAGTGTAACCAACATGAAAGCTATACCTGGGGGGTATTCCACGAAGCTGGCTTAGCTCAAAGCCTGGCTTAATTCGGTAAGCTTGGCTAATTTTAGTCAGAGTTCGGTTCCACAAACGAGGCTTAGGTCTAGCATGGCTTGGTAACCATGGATACTCAGCCAGCGTGACAAGCCTGGTCCCAGGCAGGCTTACGGTCAAGCTACCCTTAGCTGCGTCACAGAGAAGCTCCGACGGGCTTCCAGAGGACGCTTTGTGAACCGCATGTCACACAGTGATTTCATCTTCATCTGTAATAAATGATGCTCTTGTTCGGAAAAATAAATTGAGAGTTTTTTAAAACAACATAGGAATACGTGAATCCGGACATGCCCAATACTACGCCAGCCTCAAAGAGAAAGAGAAATTCAGTAGCTGAGTGGGTAAAGAGAAGTGCCGGTAAAATGTGTTTTTCACTGCTCTGTGGGTTCAATCCCGTCAGCTGTAATTATTTGGAAATATCTGATTTTCTTTCTTTTATTCTGTGACTCTCAATGTACTGTAAACACATAACAGAATAAAGGCACAAACGATCTCATCCAAAACACTGAAGGCGACAACAGCAACAATTTCCCATTAAAAAAACCTTCCTCTCACCAGTGGTCCATTCTGATAATGATGATGATGATAATGTAAAGGTGATGGCAAATGACGACATGGCTACTCTGTGTACAAGCTCATTTGTGTTTTCTCCCTTATTTAAATGAAGGGCGCTGTGCCACTATCATCCCTAATAAAAAATAAAAAAAAAAGACATTTCCAGGTACATGTTTTTCTTCACTTTTTGTCTAAGTTTGCCTACTTTGGTTTTAGGTCTTACCTGTAGCTGCTGTACTAATCCATTATGGATATCTATTTGTCAAATCAAGAACATGAATTATGCCTACAGTGCAGAAGCGGTTCTAGGAACGGGCAAACCAGGCAGCCGCCCGGTGCGGCATTTGTGTCATGACTCATGGGGGCGGCACGAGCACTTCCGAAAAAGAAAGAAAAAAGATAATAATAATAATAAATCTGCACCGCAAAGCGGTTTTGTATTAACTCTTGTCAAATTGGCGCCCCCTGCTGCTGTAGGTGCCCCTGCTTGCTGCGAAGGTGCTGCACAGAGGCTGACAGACTGTATGAGTGAGCTGCACATACTCGAGATGAAAAGTTTTTAAAAAAAAAAAGTGTTTACAGTACATACGCAGAAGTGAGAAATAAAATTAGACAGCCAAGCGTGCTGACTGCATCGAGACATGCGTCAGATCTAAAATATTTGTCGGCTATAACTTACGAATCTAAACGGTCCGCGATACTTAACCACGCCATCTCCCTGGCTTTCATAATGGCAACAGTGTCGCCCTTCTTTTGAATTTTTCCCTTGTACTCTTCGTACAACTTCATGAGGAGTGTTTGCTCCGCCGCTGAGAAAGACTCCGCTCTGCCCCTTTTTTTCCATGATCTCGTCATTTCGACAATCGATACGTCAGGGCTGTTTATGTACCGTGGAGGCGTGCATAGGCGCGGCTTGGATAAGCCTGGCTAGAATAAGCGTCTCTGAAAGACAGCTGAGCCTTGTTAGTGAAATGAGTCACAGCTAAGATTAAAGTGGCCGCTTATTCAAGCCATGCTCACCGGCGATAGCCCAGCCTTCTTTAGCCAGCTTCGTTGAATACCCACCAGAGGGTTCATGTTTCCAACATCTTTTTTAACCATCGTGTTCACTGTATTATTGTTTACACTGTGAGGACAAAACTGTTAAATCTGTCAGCTGACGTCCTCATGTGTTGGCTCTCTGATCTCTTAATATGTTTAAAATCTTTAAGCCTCTGCACGACTTCGGCTTCACCAAAACCATCAACACTAGGATTCAGATTCTGACTCGATTTTGACTGTTAGGCTGTATTGGGACAAAGGAAAAAGTGCCTAGAAAGTGAATTTCGTTCCACTACGCTGGTGCTACTTGTTCAATGCATTTTTGCATAGACAATACCCCTCTGGACTTTGGGTTAAAATATCTACTCAAACCATCTGTCTGACTTTTGTCACCAGCCAGAAATGTACATATATGTGAGTAACACAAAAAACGATTATATGGTGCTGCTGTTTTTGCTTGTAGAAACTGCTATGTTGATTCTGGTGTTATGACCAGGGGTCATATGTTTACAGTTGGTTTTTTTTTATCAGCACATTTTTTTCGTGGTTAACCCTCCCTACATGTGGTAGGTGCTGTTCCTCTGTCTCTTTTGTTTTCCAGGAGACAACTGTGGCCTGATTGGACAGCAGCTAAAGAGAGGAGCTTTGAAAAGGGTGGCTGCTGGAGGAGCTCTCTCTCTCATTCCTTTGTCTCGACTCCCAGCCAGACCTGTGTTTGTGGATGCATCTTGTTGCTAGATATTGAAACTTTGGGAATTTTGATTTGTCTTTTAAGACAAACCGCTTTGGTTAATTTAAGAGCAGTCTGGTAGGTAGGGGTGGGCAGCTATTTTATTTTACAAGATTTTCTCGCATTCTGGGTTAGGGAGGCAGGTAAGACCCCCTGTATTTTATTTGAAAGTATTTCTTTTTGTTAGGAAAGATAGCTTTACTAAAAAAAAGGTTTTGTTTGTTATTTTGGCCTGTGTCCACTCTGAAGTCGACTACCATTTATGTTGGAAAAATAAACCCATTTAAGACTGCATTTTCTGGTTGGTTGTCGGTTTTCTTGGGGAGTTGGGGCAAAGGAAGGAGCACTTTATATTACATCCAGCATACCCCTACGCTGGGTCATAACACAAGACAAAATCTTTCTCAAATGTCATGAATACATCTACCTAACACCTGAAACAGTTATTGGTGCCTTAGTATACGCATAAGTGAATTCAGATTATGAAATGTAGCAAATTTCTCAAAATGTCTCAACTCAAGTGATTTGCACCTAGCACAATGAAATATATACAGTAAATTTAGCTAAAAGCTTATGTTTCATACATAAAAATATAAGCTTTTAGCTAAATGTACTGTAAATATTTCATTGTGCTGGGTGCAAATCACTTGAGTTGAGACATTTTCTTCAAGAAATTTGCTACATTTCATAATCTGAATTCTTTTATGCGTATACTAAGACACCAATAACTGTTTCAGATGTTAGGTAGATGTATTTATGACATTTGAGAGATTTTGAAGATTTTGTCTTGCCAGAATCAACATAGCAGTTTCTACAAGCAAAAACAGCAGCGCCATAAAATCGTTCTTTGTTACTCACATATACACTCACTGGCCACTTTATTAGGTACACCATGCTAGTAACGGGTTGGACCCCCTTTTGCCTTCAGAACTGCCTCAATTCTTCGTGGCATAGATTCAACAAGGTGCTGGAAGCATTCCTCAGAGAGCTTGGTCCATATTGACATGATGGCATCACACAGTTGCCGCAGATTTGTCAGCTGCACATCCATGATGCTAATCTCCCGTTCCACCACATCCCAAAGATGCTCTATTGGATTGAGATCTGGTGACTGTGGAGGCCATTTGAGTACAGTGAACTCATTGTCATGTTCAAGAAACCAGTCTGAGATGATTCCAGCTTTATGACATGGCGCATTATCCTGCTGAAAGTAGCCATCAGAAGTTGGGTACATTGTGGTCATAAAGGGATGGACATGGTCAGCAACAATACTCAGGTAGGCTGTGGCGTTGCAACGATGCTCAATTGGTACCAAGGGGCCCAAAGAGTGCCAAGAAAATATTCCCCACACCATGACACCACCACCACCAGCCTGAACCGTTGATACAAGGCAGGATGGATCCATGCTTTCATGTTGTTGACGCCAAATTCTGACCCTACCATCCGAATGTCGCAGCAGAAATCGAGACTCATCAGACCAGGCAACGTTTTTCCAATCTTCTATTGTCCAATTTCGATGAGCTTGTGCAAATTGTAGCCTCAGTTTCCTGTTCTTAGCTGAAAGGAGTGGCACCCGGTGTGGTCTTCTGCTGCTGTAGCCCATCTGCCTCAAAGTTCGACGTACTGTGCGTTCAGAGATGCTCTTCTGCCTACCTTGGTTGTAACGGGTGGTTATTTGAGTCACTGTTGCCTTTCTATCAGCTCGAACCAGTCTGGCCATTCTCCTCTGACCTCTGGCATCAACAAGGCATTTCCGCCCACAGAACTGCCGCTCACTGGATATTTTTTCTTTTTCGGACCATTCTCTGTAAACACTAGAGATGGTTGTGCGTGAAAATCCCAGTAGATCAGCAGTTTCTGAAATACTCAGACCAGCCCTTCTGGCACCAACAACCATGCCACGTTCAAAGTCACTCAAATCACCTTTCTTCCCCATACTGATGCTCGGTTTGAACTGCAGGAGATTGTCTTGACCATGTCTACATGCCTAAATGCACTAAGTTGCCGCCATGTGATTGGCTGATTAGAAATTAAGTGTTAACGAGCAGTTGGACAGGTGTACCTAATAAAGTGGCCGGGGAGTGTATGTACATTTCTGGCTGGTGACAAAAGTTGGACAGATAGTCTGAGTAGATATTTTAACCCAAAGTCCAGAATGGTATTGTCCATGCAAAAATGCATTGAACAAGTAGCACTAGCTTAGTGGAACGAAATTCACTTTTTCCTTTCTCCCAATACAGCCTATGCCCTTGAGCGAAGTTTCTTTCGCAGAGTTTCAGATGCCGTGGACGTGGATGAATTGGCGATGCTGGCTGAGGGGTTTGACTGAACCGCGGCTGCATCACGTTCTTGTTTCTTTTTGGTCAAACTCAAACGCCTTTTGCAAATAAATCGCTGGTAGCATGTCATGTGAAACCCTGCGTCATCAGGAACATTGTCAAAGTCAATATCAACGCAATGTTTATAAGTTTCTGCAAGGTCCTTTGTCTCTTTCTGTAGAGAAAGCTACTTTCTCATACAAGTTCTGTAAGTTTCCCTACGTGTCCTTGTAAAGTCGAGAACGTCTTTGCCCTGGACAGATGATAGATGCAAATAGCATTGCACTTTTTATGCACTTTTGAAGGCTGTTTTCTTTTTTTTCTTTTCTTTTCTTCCTCTTCGCTTGTCTCGCTGCTAGATGCGCTCGTCGCCATGTTTGTGTCGTTCTGATACTATGGCAACGAGACTCGGCTCCTATTGGTCCACGTGACAAAAATCGCTTCACCCTCTGCATATTCGATTGCGCATGTGCAAGTATCACTACGCCGCAGAAAGGAAATAGTTCGACACCGAAACACTGATTACCAAAAATCGACTGGATGGCATGAGTAGATATTTTTTTTTAGTACTTACTATCAATAGAGCTATTTTATGAATCACAGTTTATGTTGCCCCACTAAAGTGGAATGAACCAACACGATCTCATTCAGCCAATACAGCCTATGTGTCTCATTTCAAAGACCTTGGTATCCCAGAATTCTTTGCGTGCCGCTGCACAGCTGTGCATTTCGGGTGGGCGCGTCTTCAAAGAAAATCCAAGAAATCCAAGAACAGCAGACAGTCAGCCCAGGCTGCATGAGCGCATGATCGCTTAACTCTTTTTTTTTTTTTAAAGACTTAGAGTTGTAAACTTGGGATAATAAAGTCATAAAGTAAATAAAGTCATAAAGCTGCTTTTGTGGAGGGGGAAATGGCTGGAACCGGTCATCTGCAGGGTGGATGTATCAGCGGGCCATTCAGACAGTTTTTGTGGTTTCTGAAGAGATAATCCAACTGATGATCAACATTTGTGATCCAGAGGGAGTTGAGCTCCGATGAGCACCGTGTCTCCGACACCAGCGGTAACCTACACCTGCAGAGACACCAACACCTTATCATGGCATATGGATTCATATCATGAACTAAGGCCACTTTTAGACAGAAACGATCTCCATAGAAAACAGAAAAGTGCCATTTCATTTTCAGTTTTTATGCTGTGTTTACACAAATACGCAATGTGGTTGAAAACGTTGTAATGTGCATGCCAGGTCGCTAGGTGGCGCGTGTCAGTGTGACCGCGCTCCCGTAAACCAACAACGCATACGTAGAACAACTCCCGTTCTACCAGTTGGCACATTAATTATTTGATGCAAATAATTCAGACGCCCCCTCTGCTGAGCAGTATGATCCGTGAGGATTCTGTACAGGTCGAAAATTGAGCTCCTGCCTGTTCAATAATAATGACAGCGCAACTCGAATGTCTAGCATGGTTGTTGTTGTTATTTTCAAGGAAGCTGCGCATGGCTATGTTGCCATAAGCCTGAGCAAGGACGTCACAGGTTTGACTGTTTTCAGCGTTTTTGTACTTTAGATGAAAGCGGGTCTAGCAGAGCGTTTACAACATATCCACTCTGGAGGGTATTTTCACTTTGTTACGCAGTTGCCGTCTAAACGGACCCCCCTAAACGAAACTAAATCTTCCATTTTCTATGGAGACCGTTTCCGTCTAAAAGTGGCCTAAAGCTCAATGCCATTCACGGATATTTACGGCTGCATTGACAGATATATCCTAGGCATGTCCATTTCTGCCTCCACAAAAGCAGCGATTTCCTTCAAGTGCACCGTTTTTTTCCCCATGGAAAAGAAGTATTTCTCATATATTCCTTTTTAAGTCTTTTTACTTGTGACAATGTGATGCTGATGTGCCAAAGGATGAAGTATCTCCTTGTTTGTGAAACCTATACTGAAGCACAGTTCCTTCAAATGCTTCATGGCCCTAATTTTAACAAGTCTCCTCTGAAATAACAGATAACCTTACGACTTTATTCTCGTAAATTCACGACTTCAATCTCGAAGTCTTTAAAAAAAAATTCTCTATATGGCCCTCATACTCCTTCATACAAAACAATCATTTGATGAATTTTGTGGAAATGATCTGTGCTTGTATCTATTGTTTTGTGTCTGTGCAAGGTCGCACAATTCAAAAATAAATGCTGCGCTGTGCAGCTTTTCTTCATGTCAGTCGTGACGCGAGCCTGAGGGCGGGGACATTTGACGACTCAACCAGGAAGTCCTCCGAAGGGTAGTGTGTCCCATTTCACAAAAACTGGACCATCTCACCCAGGGTACTCCAGTCCACATAACGGCAGTGCACTCAGCTAAGCACGCTTAAGCGCGCTCAGCCTGATGCAGTCTCTGAAATGAGACACAGCCTCATTGTATGAAAAACTGCAGCATGTATGTAACAAACTGGATCACGGAGTCTACAGGTGACCACCAGCAGAGCTAGCACCAGCGGCCAACTTTGGACACCTCAAACATAAGACTAGGGCCCAAGGCGGAGCTCCACCACAGGGCCCACAGAGGTCCTCAGCTCCATCAATGATGGATGAGAACAGAATCATTACACACGCAGAGCAACATAGAGGGACGGACTGATTCCATTACCAACAACGGTAACTAAGCCAAAAGGCCGGAGCAGATCCATCCAAACACAACACACACACACACACACACAGCCCATTGACCAGGTTGAATGGATGCAGAGGGCTGCTGCAGCATTTCTTAGAAAAAGGCATCGATGATGAGCAGCAGGGCGGTTAATGAGCCAGCAGTTAATGAGCCAGCTGATAAGAGCGCTGACAGAAATGCTAATCCACCAGAATTTCATCTATTTAGAGCACCAGAAGAAAAACGTGCCAGAGAGGAGTGACACACGCCAGAGAGGAGTGAGACATGTCAGAGTAAAACATGTCAGAGGAGTGAAACTTTTCTATGAGAAATCCAAGGAACTAATCAGAGTTTTTCAGTTGTCTTTTCTTTTTTCAAAAACAGACAAAGATCCCAAATTAATCAGCTTCATATCAGACAATATTAATAACTCTGTAAATGGCGAAATAAAGCAGAATTTTGGAATTATAACACTAAGAAAAATGATCAATAACATGAATCAGTTGTTAAAACAGTCCTCTTTTTATCATTTCTTTAGCTTTAATCCTGAAACAGTTTGGACTAGGGCCCGACAGATTTATTGGCGAACCAATTAAATCGGCCAATTTTAGCCCATTTGAGACTAATCGGTAACTGGCCAATATTGATTTTTGCCGATATTTTCAGAAATAAAATGCTCAGAATAAGAATCGGTTTCACTTCGAAAATGTTCTACCATTTGAAAAGTTCCCCGATTTATCCAGTAGATGGCGCAGTGACCTCATGACAATCTTCATCCACTAACTACCTCACAGCACAGCAGAGTGTTGAAAACGGTCTTCTGGTGCGAGTTTGATTCATGATAAATACGTGGAATATTACTGAGATGATCAGTCGGTCTTCCTGTCAGTGTGAAGAGCAGTAGCCTACAGTAAATCGAGTGTTCCTCATTTTTTATGATGTATGTGAGTTAGCTTTATTTTTATTCATTTATATAGGCTATTTATTTTAAAGGATGACGAGTGTGTGAGTTTGACAAAACGGAGGTTGACAAAATAATCAGACTCACACCCACTACAGTCTGAATAATAAGCTGAAAAGAATTAGTTTATCATCTTTATTACAGTTGAAATAAATAGCCAGGCAATAAAAAGGATTTGAAATGAGTTTTCTGCCTCTAATTCTTTGAAGAAGTGTTTAAAAGGCTTAAAAGCAGCCATTTGTTAAAAAAGTAAATATGTAGCTATATAACTTAAATTAACAAAATTTTAAAACTTCATAAAACATTTTAAAAATCGGCCGATTAATCAGTAATCTGTTTTTTTTTTCTCCCCCTAATAATTGGCATCGGCCCCAAAAAATCCATATCGGTCGGGCCCTAGAGAAGACATCAGTAGATCCTCAGTGAATGTCCGTCGAATATTCAACCTAAAACTAACTTCACCGCCGTATTTACAGAAAAAAAAAAACATTTGTTGATTTTCTTTATGCGCACGTGACCCTAAGTACACTTTACAATTCACACACATCTATTTCTGATTGAAACCGTCGCACTGTCCAGAGCAGTGGATTTAACAGAGTGGCGACACTCCCACAGGAATACGCTGTACAGCCCGGCGGACCCCACTTCCAGGTTATGGAACTCTCAATAGTTCCAACATGACCGCCTGTCACGTCAGACGTCGTTCACTTCTATGGCCACAAGGCAAGCACTCACCGAGGTTAAATGATAAAATATCAACAAGTTTAATGCCAATATGTGTGTTATTGATATCGAGGGGACCCCTTTATATGTAAAAATGTATGTCCCAAATGTAATTACGTTTTTTTAGTCAGGAATTGGGATCGATTTTTTTAGCCACGGTTTGCTCCCACACTCCCCGAGGTAAAATATTGTATCAACGAATGTAATGCCAATACGTGTGTAAATGGTATCAAGGGACCCCTTTATATGTAAAATGATTTTAATTTTAGTATGCTCAAATTGTAATTACAAATGTAATTACGTTTTTTTTAGTTAGGAATTGGGATCGATTTTTAGCCACGGCCTGCTAGTTGGACGTCGTCAGCTGTAGAGGCCTGCCAAAATTTATTGTGTGACTGAGTTTTAGGTCACAGATAAATCATCATCATCATCAATCATATGTTGAGATGGTTACTTATGGGCTTTATTTTAGATTCCAGCCTTTATCACTTCCCGATGTTATATGCAATTTATTCTTTTTAGACTAATATAAGTGCTATGAAATTCTATTTCTGCTTATGGGATGATAGAGTTAAGGGACCGCTACTTTTTAAATCCTGTCAGCATTTAAGGCGTATGTTTAACATGGAAAAATGTTATGCAGGCCATGCTGCAAGACCAAAACATTGCACAATTGTTTAAACAGCTTGTAACACCTGTTACTTACCACTTTTTTGGAATATTTTCTCTTATTAAAAAGTAAAATGTGTTACCAAACTTGTCTTATTTCATTTTTATTTGTCATCCAGCCGCTAAATATACGTACGTGACTTTGACGTGTACACAGTAATCCAATAACAGTTGCAAATGTTGACTTTTTATGGTTAATTTTAATATTTACCTCTTAAATGCGCGCTAACTGCAGTCTGTCCCATGGAAGAGCATGGACAGTGCAGGCTGCGCTTGGAACTATGGAGGGGTACATGAACCACGTGACCGCTCTGGCGGCGAGATCTGAAGTTGTCGCCACTCTATTTAATCCACTGCTCTGGCATTGTCGAGCCCTGTGTGAGATTTTTAATCTTATTTATTTCAAACTATGATAAACTTTTTTAAGGCTCATAACACAGAAACAGACAGGACTCTGGCGATCTAAACGACTTCTTCTGTATTCTCTCTGCAGATCTGCAAACACTAAAGCTGTGTTCAGATCAAACGCGACCTCAGCGACCTGAGCAACGACTCCCAATGCAAAGTCTATGTACAGCTGCGACCTGACGCGACTTGGCGACGGCCGGCTGCGCGACATTAGCGACCTACGCGACCAGGTCGCGCATGGTCGCTGAGGTCGCGTCGCCCGAGGTCGCAGGACACCAAGTCGCATCGCTCCCAAAGTTCAAATATTTGAACTTTGGAAGCGACTTTCCACAACGCCGTGCCGCGACAGTCAATCAGGGCTCTGCTGACGTCAACAAACCGGCGAAGCAAGGAGGAGGAGAAGAAGAATCACAATGGAGGAGCAGCTTATCACTGCCGTAAGTTTTCACCCGGTCCTGTACGACATGGGGTGCGCGTTCTACCGTGACCACACCTCCAAGGAGGAGGCATGGGCCAAGGTGGCCCATGATTTCGGGCTTTCTGGCAAGTTTGTTTGTTTATTTATTTCAGTGAGCAGACTATTTTCTGAAAACATAGCAAACTGCCCCTGCTTGTTAGGCTACAAGTTTCAACGTGTGTGTGTGTGTCTTTGCAGTGGATGTGTGCCACAAGCGCTGGAAGGGGCTGCGGGATGTATGAGGGAGAAAAGGATGGAGAAGGAGGGTGGGAGAAGCGGGTCAGCAGCGACCAGCCGCGTCCTGCGACCTCCACGACTGCAGCTTTGGACCCAGTGTGAACACACCAGGGCGCGACGCGCAAGTTGGTCAAGTTGTCGCCACAAGTTGGTCTGTTTTTTCAGCTTTTTTTCCCATTGAATATAGAAAAAAATATCAATGCTGCAAAACTGATCAGTCACAATGATTATATTCAGCTGAAATTAACGATCAATAGATTCTGGATTAGTCACGATTCAGAGAAAACAGAGAAAATAAAGATACTGAAAAGTTACACGAAAGAGAAGACTGTGTGTGTGTGTGTGTACTTCCTGATTGACCGGCTGTCTTGTTCCTAGTGAGGCCGGTTTAATGATGTGGCGCTCTCCTGGAGCTTTACACTCCTAAGCCGTCCTAACACGCTGAGCCAATCATTCGTTGCTGCTTGTTCACACAAACACACAACATTACACAACTTAACACAACAACCTGCTGCTAATCACTCTGAGACAACGGCGGCGGCGTAATGAAACATTTGACTCGTGGGAAAAGTGTCAGTCGGGGTCGTTAAAGATCACACAGAGACGGTTTGTTAAAAGCATCTTTGAGTTTTTCTTTGTCAGAGAGTTTAAAGCGTCTCCCTCGTCATGAGAGAAAACACAGAGGACCTGGTTGAAGACAGGCTGATGACTCTGCTGTCTGTTTCCTGGTTTAACCTGATAACAGATCTATGAACTGATCAATCAACACGACTGGAGAAGGAAGAGGAACGAGGCGACACTCAGAAGGAAGTGCAGGTGTGCTGAAGTGCAATTGCTGTGTCTCGCCATCAGCCTGTCGCGGTTGTACAGGTCAGTTCTGTTCCAATCAGGCATGTTCGATGTTATCAGCATTATATCATCGGTATCAGCAGATGAACTTCTGTGCTAACATGGCTGCATCCTCTACGACTTACACAATGACCCATTTCTATGGTAACGGGAATGTTACCGAGCTCACCTGGTGAAAGTGAGGGGGTCAGATTATCCAGTTAGTTTAGAAAACACAACAAGTCCTCAGGATGTGGCCGACCTCAGCCATGTTTGATGAAGGCAGACTGAAACGGCGTGATAAATAAAGCGAGTAAAACAGCGCCATCTTTATTTTTATGCTTTAAATTTACCGTTCATGAATTTGGGCTGTGTTATAAATGTGAAATGACACAAGTTGCTCACAGCAGCTTTACCCCCGATTTTCGGCAATTTTCACTGTATGCCAATTCCTACTGGATCCATTTGTGAGATGAATTTCGTGGCGGATTACAGACAGAAGGAATCATGAGAACTCACAAGAACCTGCGGATTCACGTTCAATCGCGCGATAACAAGTTGTCTCTATAAAGACAGACACATAGACATATAAGCAGTAGATTGTGTCCTTCCAGATGAGGAAATCTACTTCTAGACTTCTAGAATCAGCATCTCCTCATCCATGGTGTCATCAGGGTAAAATGACGTCTAAAAACCTTGCACAAAAGAAGCCGGATGTTTTATTTCGTGTCTGTGCCCAACTTACTTTCCAGCATGGGTTAATCTGTGCTGAATTTATCCGGCACGCTCCGGTGTCAGGAAAAAATAGAACTCTTGTGATCAGCTGAGGAGTCCGGCGATCCGCAGAGGAACGGAAAGAAGTTACTGGAAATTGACACATTAACTTGAATGGTTATGATCAGCTACGATTGGAGGACACAACCTTTTTGTAGACATTCTGGATGTGGTGAAAATTGGGGGTAACACTCTTTTGGAAAGGACAGCTGGACTTACTTGGGAAGTTTCGCCTAAGGCGAGATGTCCCAAGTAAGTCCAGCTGTCCTTTCCTTTCAACGAAGAATTGGAAATTATAGATGCTGCATCCTGAGTTTTAGACAATATCTTCAGGTTTAGGAGCAACATCTGCGCCTATCCAGACAAAGATTTTTTCAGGGAAGACCTTCATATGATCCCAAACCACATTCTAACAGCATTTGAAACATGAATGTAGAACTCTTGCGATCAGCTGTGGAGTCTGGTGATCCACAGAGGAACGGAAAGAAGCCGGTGGAAATTGACATGTTAACTTGAATGGTTACGATCGGCTACGATCTGAGGATACGACCTTTTAGTAGACGTTCAGGATGAGGAGGAAATTGGGGGTTAGATACCGAGCTTTGACACTTTTGAAAACAACAAAAACACAGAGCTAATGTGAAGAGCACCGATGAGTTTCAGCAAAGACACAGAGAGATCTGTTCATCCAGGAGACCACAGAGTCCAACTCTTCTTCACTGATGAAGTGAAACAGGGTTCAACAAAGACTGATGACTGACACCTGACTGAAAGATCACTCACTTCTGAGATGCTCCATCTCATTTCATGATCAGATGAAGATCGTATTCCTGGCCTCTGCTTCTGTCCTCCCTCACTCTGGTTCTTCTGTGAGATCACACTAAAATGTTCAACCTTCACCAAACAAACCTCCCTATCCTTCAGATACTGGTACCGGTCTCATCATAGAGGACAATTGAACAGACAGATAATTGAAAAAACCCAACACTTCTGCAGCCCTCCACGTCACGCGTCAGCAGGTGTTAAAACTGACCTGAAGAGAAAACAGGGTCCAGCTGCTCTGCACAGAGACCACAACAGAGGAGACATGACAGGAGTTCACACTCTCAATCAGGGTTTGGTCTCCATCAAGAAATCCTCCTTTTGAATAAAACATCTTTAAAATATTTTCATTATAACATCTTCACATATTTGCTCGAGTGTTTTTTCACTTCCTCAGATCTGCTGGTACTTTAAAAAACAGGTCTTCCACAGTATTCAGAGAGGGTTACACAACTGAGGATTTTCTCTATACAACTGCTGTGAAAACAGTGAGAGAACATCAATATTACAGTCATATTCAAGTATTCATGTCCTTGATAAAACCATGTCTATCTTCTGTAGGTCAATTTCAAATCTTTCCATCTTTATTTGGATCTACTTCTACATACTGAAGGTCAAAACCATGTCTGAAGTTCTGGACCTGAAGTTTGTACGTAGAGCTGCTCTGTCTCTGTCTTTGCAGATTATTATTGCACACTTACAAACTCACACTTGCTGCTAATTGTCTGTCAGACATAGACACCTCCTCCTCCTCCGCCCACAGACGGAGCGTAAACAAACACTGGGGTGTAAAACGGTCGCTCTGAGAAGAAAAGACAGTTCGCTGAAAAACTCAACCTCTTCGTTTCCCTTTCAGACGATGTGAATGATTCTACTAAAAGTTTTATTTTTTTTTAATGCTGTCATTTCTCTCAGGTCTGCACTTGTTTTCCTGATGAGGAAACAGTGAAATCACTAACAGCAGCTCTGTGATATAGTGCTGCGACTAACGACTATTCTTTTGTCGACTAGTCGTCCGACTAGTCGTCCGATTAATCACGATTAATCACTATCTTCTTTGTTTATAAACACCTATTTCCGGGGTGTCGGCGTTTCAGGTGCTCAAGCATCGCCGTGGTGCTGCCATTGTAAGAAAGCTGAGCTTCGATCGACGTGTTTTTTTGGTTTGTTCCCAAACTTTGGAAGTTTTGGGTCGGAGTTTTGGAGCGTCTTTTTTGGTTTGTCCTGCCATAATGTGTGCATTCTTCTTCTGTGTTTACTCGCGGGATGTAAACAGCGAGCGCTACTGCCCCCAGCACATCCTGTAGTGCACTGCAGTTATAGATGAGCATGAGGCGCCGGCATGTGATTCTTAACAACAATAACACAACGCGTCGACACTTCGTTTTCATGTCGATTAATTAGTCGTGTCGACGTAATCGATTACGTCGACTAATCGTTGCAGCCCTACTGTGATATGGTCAGGACTCTTGACTGTATACAGCTCTCTATTTCTGACTTTTTTTTTTGCATACTACCTAAAAAAACCTCACATGGTCGGGCTTGCAATCTTGCTATAAACACGACGTGCTTTGTAGCTGAGAGTCGAACTTAGCTGGTTTCGCTCATCGTCAACTTCTGACCCCATAAGATTTTCATATTCTGGTTGTTTTGCAAATGTTGAAACGTATATGTATATATATGTATATACTCCATATTGTCATTTGGAATTTGATATTATCTAAGTCTCACTCTCACTACCACATTTTCATACACTTGTAGGAGTCATCAGTCTGCACACTGACATTAAAACCTTGTCTGCAAATACTCACATTAATTCATCCACTAGAGAAAAATCCCTAGGCTACCATATCGCACATAAAACAGATGAGATATTAGACTGATGGATGTCATTCTAGGGAAATTGATTTTAACATGACTGTCTGAGCTGGGAATAACACACCAACCAGGACATGACATATTTCACAGATTAAGCCCTGCAGGAGGAAGCTATCATGGTTACTCTTATTTTCAGTTTCCAACTTGGTGTTACTCATCTTCAAGTCTGCACCTCATAAAATAAACGTGAATCAGTTTGTTACTATTTATGATGCAACAAAAAAAAATCTTGTATCAATCACTGTTAAATATATATATATATAAAATGTAGATCCTGTAGGCTACTGCTCTTCACACTGACAGGAAGACCGACTGATCAAACTCAGACCAGAAAAGTGTTTTCAACCACAGACATGAAGCAGAGTAATGTGAACTGCAAATTATGTTGAGTACATGTTCTCACAAAGTCGGGGAATACCTCAAATCTTTTTCACCACCTGAAGCAGGGCCATGCCGCAGAGCACGCACAACTCAAAAGGTTACAAACCCCGAGAGGAGCAAGGAGCCCATGGCGACTGTACTGCCGAAACAGACGACCATTCAGCTCGCTTTCTCTAGCGCAACGCCTTACGACAAAACGTCAAAAGAGACACAGAGACCTTACAGATGCAGTAGATTATTGTATTGGAAAAGACATGCGACCAATAAACACTGTTACATTTCATTTTTATATCGTGATATGGACATCGACTGATATGAAAAAAATATATGTTGTGATAAAGTTTTTCACATATTGCCCAGCCCTATAATGAAATATCACTGTTAAATTCTACCGTCACTCTCTCACTCAGCGACTAAAGGTAGGAGCGGCTGAAAATGTCCTGATTCTTCCTCTCACAGTGAAGCAGGAGAAATGAGACAAAGGCTGAACGGCAACAATACCTGCCGACCACGTAACACCTGAGGAAATGTATGTGAGGAAGTTCAGATCACTTCAGCTTATAAAGTTATCAACCCTGCAGAGAATGACAGACGGTGTTAACGAGGACGCACTGTAGGAAAAAAAACTAAAACTGATCATCACTTTACAAAAACCAAGGTGCTGCTTTCACACAGAACTTTTAGTGCTACAGAGCGAATTTCAGCTGACTTACATTTTCTTTGGTTTACTTTTAGATCTTTATTGTATTGCATCTTAGCCATTGTATTATACTTTATTTATTGTATTGTATTTTTAATTCTTGGCTTGGAAACAGACCTGGGTACTGATTTTGTACTACAGACTGTAAAAAGGTGTGGGGAATGACAGATAAAGTTCCTTGAATCTTTGAATCAGCAGTAAGTGTGGACAGGTGAGGAGTCAGACACACCTTCACTGCAGATGCCGTGGGAATCATTTTCACAAAGAAGTGTCTCTAAAAGTGCAGCAGAGGCAATGAAGTGGCTCATTTAGGTCACACAATCTGGTGGGTCACAGAATTTGGTGCAACACCGGTGCAACAAAAATGTCACGATGTGAGGCTCAAATACACACTCATCAACAAAACACACGAATATCTGTGCACAGACCGAAAAATATCATTCTCTATGAGTATGATGATAAAGACTCAGAAACCTGAAACACACACACACACACACACACACACACACACACACACACACACACACCTCCTGCATTCACTCCCAACACTTCAGAGCCTCATTTACATCCACACACACTCTAAACTCCACCTGAACAGATTATTGAATGTTATTATATTTCAGGTGTATGTATATAAATAAAGGTGGTCCAGGTTTGCGGGGCGTTGCTCTGATCCCCTCTGTGGTTCTGACTGTCAAACATCTGGATCTCCACACCGGCTAAGCTAACAGGCTAACTCATTACCACCAAGTCACATTAATCTTTTCCCCTTTTTAAACATCAGTCCTGATTCACCGAGCAGCTCTCAAACACACCTGGTTCATTTACCTGTTCGCGGGGCTGCCTGTCATCCAGCGGCGCGTGAAGCCGCTGTTAGCCTACCTAGCTCCTCGGCTAACTTCCTGCACCGAGAAGAAGCTGAAAGAAGAGCCCAAAATCACTCACCTTTAATGGGTCGCTCCACGGTGGAGAGTTTGTTTTGGTCTTTTGCCGACATCCTCCCTCCGTGTTGGCTCACAGCTCGGAGAATTCGTTAAATTCCGAACTAAACTCGATAAATTCCTGACAGGCTAGCTGGGGTGAGCTCGCCGCGCTAGCTCGCTGTGCGTCAGCGGAGCAGCAGCGCTTCTCTCCGGCAGAACGAGCCGAACCGAGCCGAACCGAGCCGGGCTGGGGGTTAGGGAGAAGGGGGGAGATGTCTTTAACTAACAGATGAACACGTTTTCTCTCCGCCTTCGCTGTAGTGAGCCGCCGCTGCTGTCAGGTGAGGAGTAGGCTGGTTTCAGGAAACGGCCCGCCGGGCGCCGCCGCTGATGATGCGTTCAGGAGCCGTAAGCAGAGCGTCAAATCATAACAAACTTTATCATTTTATTCTTGGACGAACTGCTGCTGATCTGTTACAGGCCGCTCTGCTGCTGCTGCTGCCGCTCTGTCGTGATCCGATGTGTCGTCCAAACCCTCTGTCGGATGACAATAATCCGCCGCAAGCGGATTTCCTACAAGACGGCTCAACGCGGGGGGCTGTGGGTAGTGTAGTATTAATGAGATATTTATGTGCCGCGTTCATGGTCTGCCGCATAGATATACATATAAACGCTAGATGTCTTACGGACGACCGACGTCCGCACATGGCGACCATCTTGCTACGGGCAGCTCGCCCACTCCAAACATTCCAGTCTACGTTGCATATAACATTTAAATAACCATAGATTGATTAATTTCAAACCGATTTTCAAGCGGTTTGGTTTGTAACAAACCTCAGAGTTTTAATTATTTATGGCAAATTAGCAAAATTTTAAGCAAAATTATAGAACGAGCTACCCCTCCAAATCAGACAAGCCCCCACACAGTCCATTTTTAAAACTCGTCGTAACCCATTTTTATTCATTGGCTTTCAACTCTGCATGAGACTCAGCTCCTGTTTCAGTGTTTTATGGTTTGTTTTTAGTTGTTCGTTTTTATGTTTTTAAATTAGTTTTGAAAAACATTGAAACTATATTTTACTTTTTAATATCTGCTTTTATTTTATCCATTGTTTTAATTGTTTCTTGATTATTTTTATGTCTGCGTTGTTTTGTCTATTTATGTACAACACTTTGTTCAGCTGTGGTTGTTTTAAAGTGCTTTACAAATCAAGTTGAGTTGAGTTGAGTTATGTTCCTGCATACTCGAGAATAATTTTAACCATGGATTTTCATCATTAAACATTAAACAGATAGGTAGAGCAATAGCTATAGGCCTACACACACAAGGCAGTTATATTAAATTATTTATTTATAAAACATTTAATCATTCCATGTATGTTATATTAGTAATATTTCTATGATAGGGATAACTATAACAACATACAGCAATAACATATAGTAATAACATATATGTATTTATTGTCAATAAAAAATTCTGCCTCATGTTGCCATTTTAGATGTTTTTAACAAACCAAAAAGTTTGGAAATCATGTGCAACTTCAGTTATATTGAATCTAAAGAGCATTTCTGCCTCTTTAACTGATGTAAAATTACTGAGTCAACTTTGTAATATGTACCTGGTCTTACTCACAGCGAGTCTGTTACCCAAGTTACACAGCTGATAAACACGAGCACATCCACAAAGACTGGCACTTTGACTAAAAAATAGGCTGTCATACAAGAAATAAAAATCTCGATTGTGGTCTCAGCCTTGATAAAGCGACTCAAAGTTAACACTTTTGCACAAACAGCCGTGAAACAACTGTGCTTCATGATTAAGTCTTTTTTTCTCAAAGTAAATCTGCCATTTTAATATGTCCAAACATCCCGACTCATAGCCACGTTTTTAAGGTCTGTAATAAACAAAACCGTTTAAATCTGTAAAGATTTCAGCGAGTTAACAGTAATTTTGATCATGTAGATTACTCACCTCCCGTCAGCTACCATAGAGCGTACCTGAATGGTATACTGGAGCAAGAGGGCCGCCGTGACTCCGCCTCATAGAGTCATCTAGCCTTTCTAATAGATATCTATGATCTGCCAAGCCGCACACACTCGGTTGGTTTACTTCGCGGTTTTCTCAATGACATGAACAAAAATGTAAAATGAAACCAAATTGAAATTGTTCCTCATTATTTTTACAGTTTGTAGTATGAGAGCCGTTTATGTGTTTGTATAGAGCTGTTTCTGTGTGTTCAGAAACAATGATGTGTAATAAAACAAGTTTGTGTCTCTTATCTAACTTAACCAAACTCCATCCCAAAACTGAGCAATATTAGAACGTCCCGCTGCCTGAACAGTGCGCGTTCGTTCAGAAGGCTTAAAAGAGGATTATTAATTATAAGTAAAGCAATCTCTTTTATTCGGCATATAATTAACGGATTAAATGCTTTGCATTATATGGTAAATTTCACCTTTTTTTTAATGGCTTGCCATAAATTCTACTTGTATCTCAGGTGAGACAAAGGGGGAGTTGAGGACTGCGTATTGACTTAGGAAAACATTTTTTTTTGTATCTCAAACCTCCAATTAATCATTTCCTTTTTGTGCCGATTAAAAAACAACAGGTAGCTGAGTTGAAATAAATCAGTATGTCTATTCACTATAACGTATTTCTCCGCCTAAACGCAAAAGAAAATAAAATTACAAGAACTCTCAATGAGGTTTGGTGTGTTTGAAGATGTTCCGTTTTTAGGTCTTTGTCTGGGTGAAATATTCAGATTTTAGTCTTTTTTGATTTATACACTGCGTCTTTTTAAAGGAAGAAAAACTATTGGAAAGCACCACATTTGCAATATTTCCAACGTAAACTAAGTAGGCCTACCAAGAACTGAGCAGAAAGACTACACCGCCCTCGTGTGGACACTCAACATATTTTTAATTATTTCTAATTCAGATTTGTTTTTTATTTCTGTGACTGTAGCCCAGCACTCTGTGTTTTATAGTTCAGAGTGTTGTGTTTACATAAATTATTGCTATCATGATGATGTTAAACTGCAGGATTTCCTTGTTTCATAAAATTCAAGGGGATTAACTCAATGTCAACCATCAAAATGTAATGTTTTACTTTATAAAGAATGTTAAATGTGTTAATGAGGTATTAAAACTTGTAAATTTAACTTACAAATATTAAAACTAAAACCCGTGAAATATGTATAACTTTCTCCCCCCAGTTTATGGGACTAGAAAAATTGAAATACTGTTGCGATTTATTCTTTCTTTTTGGTTTTTAACTACTGACTGCAATAAAAAACGATGTTCAGTCATCTAGAGAATCCAAAGTTTTTGATATTCTTGAACTGTAAATATATGTGAGTATATGTTTTAAAACACTGCTTTACAGTTATACAGGTTAATCTGTGAATTTAGGTTTTTGGATTCAGAGAAGCTCAGACCATCATTAATCCAGGCTACGTCTAACAAATGTGAAATCAGCTTTATTAACACAGCAGACAATATTTTCTATAAATAGGAAACTCCAGTTATTCTGATCAGAAAACAGCACCAAACCTATCCGCACCCCGGTTTATCACCTGGTATGAGGTGGTTTTACAGTCCCACGGTGAGCAGCTCTCAGAGCGACACCTGCTGGTTTCAGGAGTGATATAAGTGCACTGAAATATGTCACTCTGAGGAGTCCATGTCCAGGTTTAAGAGAGGTCAGAGGTCAGAAACAGGCTGCAGCTGCAGCATCTATAAAGACAAAGAACGCCAGCGAGTATGCAGGAAACTGTAGATGTTCAGACGGAGGAAAACAAACTCCTTTCAAATCAGGAAGAGTTTGATCGTCCACCATCTTTAAAACGTTTCTGTTCAGGGTCACAGACCTGTAGGAGAGAAAAAAGTATTTTTATTGATTATTCTGCATTTATTCTGTTCATCTTTGCCAAAGTCGAAGCCTTAACGTGGCTTGGACTAAAAGCTGAAACAGGCTGAGGTCATTAAACCTCCCAGTGAAACCTCCCCAGCTCCCTGATCAATATCATGTTTGATGGATTAATCTGTGTAATAACAGGAACATAGAGTCCACAGTTTACAGTTTCAGAGGGAGTTAGAGGCCGCTGACCTGGAGCTACAGTTAGAGGAACTAAAGAGAGCTACAGCGAAGAGGTAAGTGAGGAAATGTGACTTTTCCCATGACATGAGGAGGGAATGTTTCAGGGATAAGTGGGAGTATTGAGGAGCACCTGGAGTACAGCCCCTCCTCCCCCGGCTGTGCCGACTCCAGAACAAATGCCTCTACTGTGCTGGAGGAGAGACGAGCAGGAACTGAGATCCTGACGGCTTTATTACTCAGATTCATGGAAATCAGCGTGATGGCTCCTCGCCTGTATCTGCAGGTTAACACACATTAGAGGAGCTGCTGCAAATTTTCACAGTAAATACAAACTGATTTATAATGTTGAAACTTTCATACAAAGTTTAGATTAATCTGCAGTAAAACAAAACTGACTCATGACGTTAAATTTCACAGTAAATACCTGTTTTTGTGAGCGCAGTGCAGGTACAGCCTCACTCTCTTATGTCGAGCAAAGTTATGAAATCCTTCGATTTTTAAAACCTCTGGTCCGACCAGACGCTTATAGAGAACAGACAACCAGTAATCCTGAAAAACAGAGAGAGGGAGAGAGGAGGAATTCACAGAGATGACACAGTGAACAGAGAGAGAGTGGGTGATGGAGATTTTTATGTCCTGTAGTTAAAGAAGTCACTCTCTGATGAGAAACAAAAACATATTTTCTTCCCATGTGAGTTCATTTAATTACACTACACAAGTATGAAACTGATAGAAACTGGACAATTTATAGAGGGAAATACTGAATTATTAAACTGATAATGTATTTTTGGGGAATATATTTTATTGGAAGACATAAGCATTCAAAAGTTGAAACTTTTGACTAAATCTGTCTATAACAGAAAAGATCGCTCAGCCTTCCGGAGAGCCTCAGGGCTGCAGAGACTGTTGATATTTTTAAGAAGAGGCTCAAGACTCACTTTTTTAACCAGGCTTTTTTTTAATTGCCATTTTAGATTTCTCTTATTGCAAATGTTTATTTTAATTAAAGTTCTTGATGTTTATTTTATGTCATTCTATTCATTATCTCTGTTCTTAGCCTTTTTTAATTTCCCGTCACAGGTTTTTACTTCTTTTACCCCTTGTATTTATTTGTTCATTTAATATCATTATTTTCTTATTTTAGTCCATCAGGTTTTACTCTTTTCACCATTTTTATCTCTATTTTTATCTCCAGTGTTTCCTAAAGGTAGCTCGTTCCTCATGTCTCGGTGTCAGGCCATGTCTCTTTACAATTTTATCTTAAATTCTCACACTGTGTGCGGTTGTGTGTGTGTGTGTATGTGTGGGTGAGTGAGGGTGGGTGTGTGTCTCTGTGTGCGTGTGGGTCCATGGGTGTGTGGGTGGGTGGAAGGGTTGGGTTTTTGGCTTTATTGTTGTTTTTAGCCTCTGTGAGGCACTTTGAATTGCATTTCCTTTTGTATGAAAAGTGCCATATAAATAAAGTTGAATTGAATTGAAAGCAGACTCCTTCATTAAACCAGATTATTTTAATGAGACTCACATTATTATTAAATTTTTATTCTTTTCTTTATTTTAAGTTATTAAAAACACAAACATGTGCACAGTTATAATGGTTTTAGCTGAAGCTCTGCATTAAATTTCATCCTGTGAAAGGAAAAACAGAGATGTCAAAAACTATTGATTACATTTTGAAGACGCAGTGAGGGTTTTTGGCCACTAGGGGCAGCAGAACAAACTGTAAATATTATCATCTGAAAGTTTTTTTCCATTCAGTAAATGAAGAGTGGGTGTTTGTGTTTGTGTTCATCTGACGAACATGGGTCCAAGAATCGTTCAGACTTTGGTCTCCACCACCTCCTGAGGGGAATCTAAGGCGTTCACTGCGAACTCAGTATTTTCTATTTAAACACACGCCGCCTTTACAGGAAGCAGCAACCTCTGATAATGAAAAATGGAGCCAGAGCAGGAGTGCTAAAACTGCAGTTCCTCAAGAGTCCACTAGAGGCTGGCTCCAAACCCGGGAAATCCTCATTAACAGCTAGTATATTTAGCAATGTTCTGTTAACATCAATGTAAATCTAAAGGTAAATGGAGTAAAATGGTGCATTTCCATGAAAGCAACATATGATCATGGAGTAAATACATCCCAAAATACATACAACTTACTCCCAAGTTACTCCCAACTGTCCGGCCTGTAATGGCCTTGCTTCCAAACTTTTGGCCTGTAGTGTACATGCAGCTGAGAAAACTAAATGTCCTCCTCCCCAAAGCTAGGGGGTGATATGGGTCTTTTCAGCGGCGCTGTTTCCGCTGATTTTTGTTTAAAGATGTCTCCGTTCCTTGTTTTGCTATTGTCCATATACTTTAAAATGTCTGTTTCTGATAGGTCGGAAAGCAGAACGGCGCTCTCCTGGTCGTTCCTAAAGTGGACATTCTTTCGTGGTTCAGCCATGTTGCAGTTGCTTCTGCGTCGAAAGTTCTTTAAATGATTGACACTTCCTCTCTGTTTTTTTTGTTCTGGGGTTACGGGGGCATGGCGCACGCGCACATGCATTGTCCGATCATACTCTGACGATGCTGGTTGCGAAATTTATTTTGTAGGATGGTAGAGGAAGGTCCCGCCCTCCTTCGCCTCTTATTGGCTAGAAGTGCTGGGCTCCGATTGGTTATTCCTTATGGCTGCGAAACTTCGTCTGTTGGGTTAGGGTTAGGAGATTCAGAAGTGCGCTAATGTTTTATAATGTTCTGTTCGATGTACAGGGCTGACAGCCCGCATTTGGCTTGAGCATGTGATGACGTTTCCAGCTTTTCTATCCAATCAGAGGCAAAGGAGGCAGGACTTGCTCCTACCATCCTACAAAAAAAAAAAATCACACGCAGGTTACATGGTAGAGAAAATCAAATTCCAATCGCATTACCTGGGTGTCTTAATCGGAGTTCTCCGACTTCAATCGGAGTTCTCAAACTCCAATTATAGTCGGACTAAGGTGTTTACATGCACTTCAGTTGTCCGGTCTTAATCAGAGTAAGGCGATAATTCGTTTTTCTCGGGTGTCATGGAAACGTACTGAGTGTTTCTGATTGGTCAAACCCCACAGGTTAGCTTACAGGTAGAGGATCCAGGTTTTCATCCACCAGGTGGTAACTTCCCGAACCAACCAACACCTGTCTCATCACGACATCCAGACCCAGTTTGGCTGCCAGACCCAGTTTATCCAACCACCTGGAGACAGAGGACAGACAGTCAGGTCCATGAATGAAGTTCATTAGAGTGAAGTTTGTCTCAGTCAGTTCAGGTTTAGAGAAATAAAGAGTTAATGAAGGTGAACTTTGGGGTCTGACCACCAAGAACATGAGAGAGATCCTCTACAGCAGACCCCAAAGACAGAGGCGTGTTGAAGACCTTCAGCAGTGAGAACATCAGAGCACAGACACACAGAGACGCTCTCAGTGTGAAAGATCTCCATGTGAGTCTGTTTAAAACCAAGGTTTGTCATGAGACCAGGGCTGATGGGTAATCACTAAACTCAATCAGCTGTGAGTGGACTCCTGACAAACCCCCACCATCCCACTGAGCTCTCCACAGAACTGTACATGAGGAGGTTTCACTTTTTCAATCTTAAGTTAAGAGATAAACAAAAACTCACTTTTATCTCTAAACCCAATGATCCTTTAGTCTGAGGAGGACCAGTCCGACCCTGAACCTGAGGTGGTGATTTTAAAGAACATCTGTAAAGTTACGTCCCTGCTCGGTTTTATTCCTCTTAGGCTGACCTTCAGAATAAAAGCAGAGTTTAAAAGTGCGGGGAGTCTTTTACTGTGAAAAGTACAACTTTAGTGTTTTTTAACGGTTGGGTCGCACACGTCGCTGATTCTGAAGAAACACACTTCATCTTTATTCTCAAAAATATCAGGTGAGGTTTGCAGCTGATGTCGGTGACTTGAACAGTCTAATCTGTAAACATCCACACCGATAATGAAGCTGTTCCAGACTGTCGACACACTCCCTGCATAAAACAGAAAAGTAAAACACAGTCTGCTGTGAAGGGTTCATGGTACCGAACCACTGTCTGACAGACAAGTGTGTGTTCTAAAAGCCGTCCTGTGCAGAGACCCAAACTGTTGACCAGACTGACAACAGTTTGAACATGGGGCTCTATGGGGACTGACCCCCAATTTTCACCACATCTGGAACGGCTCAGATTTTCACCGTCTGCCATTTCCTATCGGATTCGTTTGTGAGGTGAATTTCTTGGCGGATTACAGACAGCGGTAATTCCAAGAACTCACAAGAACCCACGGATTCCCGTCAATCGTGCGATAACCAGTTGTCTCGATAAAGACCGCCACATAGACATATAAGCTGTAGATTGTGTCCTTCCAGAGGAGGAAATCTACTTCTAGACTTCTAGAATCAGCATCTCCTCATCCATGGTGTCATCGGGGTGAAATGACGTCTAAAAACCTTTCACTTGTTTGTCTCTGCCGGTTTGCAAAAACATCCTCCTGAAACACAGAGTGTTTTATTTTGAAAAGAAGGCGGATGTTTTATTTTGTGTCCATGCCCGACTTCCTTCCCAGCACGGGTTAATCTGTGCTGAATTTATCCGGCATGCTTCGGCGTCCTGAAAAAATAGAACTCTTGTGATCAGCTGAGGAGTCCGGCGATGGCAGAGGAACGGAAAGAAGCCGGTAGAAATTGACACATTAACTTGAATTGTTACGATCAGCTACGATCGGAGGATGCAACCTTTTTGTAGACATTCAGGATAAGGTGAAAATTGCGGTTGAGTCACTGCAGGACCCAGCCTCTAGTGGACACCACAGGTACTGCAGTGTTTTAATCACTGGCCTTATTTCCGAACACCAGAACTTACAGTTTGGTGAAAACTCACATGAATCCTGCCACGAAGGTGTCCGACAGTCCTATAGCTCCTCCCCCGAAGGCGGAGCCTGTCTCTCCGAGCCAAACCGGCTTCCTTGGAGATTCCAGCTTCACTGTCTGATCAAAGAGAGGAGACACAGATCATTATTCAGACCTCAAACTCCAACTTTCCTTCTTCTCTTCTTCTCAAACACACGATTACCTCCAGAACTTCAGTGGTCTTCAAGGTCAGGGTGTCCAGAATGTCTGGGTTCAGGAAGTCCTCCAGAGACGTGTCTCTGCCATTCACATAATAACTACAAACCAGGAGAAAGGACCCATCAATTAATCCTCACAGTGAGGGTGTAACAGTGAGCTGAAACAAAAACTCTTATTTCCACAGTTCTGGATGATCTAACACCTCTTTCCTGATTCCTCCTGATTCATTCAGAAAACAAAAACAGTTTTAATAAAAACCTTTTCTGTTTTTATAAATGTTTCAGCCGTTATCTCTCATTTATTTATACGACTGATTCGAGAATTTTGAAGCTGTCAGACATAAGATCAAGGCTTCAGTTTCCACAGGGAAACACCAGAGCCGAGTTCGTCCAAAACTACAAAAAACATAGAGACTGACCGAAGGAAGAAGACAAGGACAGAAAAAAAGGAAAGGACTAGTGGTTAGGATTCAGCGCTCTCACCGCCGCGGCCTGGGTTTGATTCCCGGTCAGGGAACTTTCCCTTCCAGCTTGCAAGACAGAGCGCTTATTACTGTAATAATAACTGGATTCGCACCACCACTTTTTTCTGGCATTTAAATTGTGTATATCGTAGATAGTTTTATTTTTCGTCTCCCTTTTTCCCTTTTCTACATTTTTTCTTAATTATTACATTTATTTAAGTTCTTAATATTAGGATCTTTATTTTTATAATTGCATTTTTGCACTCTTTGTCTGTGATGCTGCTGTGACAAAAAAATTTCCCCCATGGGGGATCAATAAAGGAATTTTCTATTCCATTCTATTCTAAAATAAAATAAAAAAGGAGAAAGAAAGAAAAAAAAACAAATAAAGACAAAAAGTTTGATCGCTAAAGTTTGGTGAACTTTTCAGACTTTTTCGGACTTTTACAGTCCTGCAGTCTGGAGGTCAAAGGTCAACTCACTGATGCCAGGTCACAGCGTCCACGGCCTCAGCTCCACTCTGCAGAAACCTGCAGACACACACACACAGGCACGCACGAATGCGTGTGCATGCACGCACGAACGCACGCGCATGCACGCACGCACGCACACACACAGTCAATACACTTCAATCCATCAGCATCTGCATTTTTTGGCACGACTCTATCTATCTATCTATCTATCTATCTATCTATCTATCTATCTATCTAAAGAGTGTGTGTGAGGTGAAAACAGGGCTTCCTGCAGATCAGCAGGTCAGCTCTCACATGAAGATCTATAATCCAGTTAGAGAGCGGACTGCTGGTCCTGGTTCTCCAGAATCTTTGATGTTTGTAGATAAAGTTATTTCATTAGGCTGAAGAAAGTCAAGGAACACTTCACTGACAGGGAGAAGGACTTTCAGGACTTTAAAGACCCTCTTCTTCTACAACAGCAGTCTGCTCTGAGAACAAGTCTGAGACGCTGATACGAACAGGCTGTAGCTGCCGTCAGAGAAATTCTGGTCAATTTTATGAGTTTTTGTTTTTGTTTGATAAATAAGTCAATAGTTAAAGTAACAAAGTAAAATTAGTTAAGTTAAAAATGACTTCATGTGGCCAATTTCTGTTCTGTTTATGTCATTTTAAGTTATGTAGTAAGGTTTTTCTTATACATGTTATGTTTTATGAGACTCATTTGTTGCTGAAGAGTATTATTTTTGTATTAAGAGTTTTACCAAACTCAGATTATGTTTTTATATTGTTTGAGTTCTAACAGCATGCTCAAATCCAAGGAGCTGAAATAAATGCCCATAACCAAAGGAACGCCTTGTGTCTGTTTTCAACTGGAGGGGAGTCACACAGAATCTGAAATATTCCTGTACTAAAATTTATTTCTTTTTGTTTGGACTGATCCTGATCCTGACTCTGGTCTGGCGTGACCTCTCACCCCTGCATTATGTCCGTCCTGTGGTCTCTGGGCTGACCCACGTCTGGTCCGTACAGCCCGGCGTCGTGGTAAAGTTTGCTCTGTGACATCATCTCTCTGAGACGAGTGAAATCCTCACCCAGCTGACGCCCGTCCACTCGGATCCCCGCCTTCTTCTCGTAGCTGTTCGGCTCTGCAGACAGACAGACAGACAGACAGACAGACAGAGAGACAGACAGACAGAGAGTCGACATCAGAATATACAAAGGGTTAATAATAAGTTTCACTTCCTGTCGGCCCGCCTGAACTGAAAACCACAACTGACTGAACAGAGTCACTCTGAGGGAAGTCTGACGTTAGGAAGCGACTGTCTGTACAAGCAGCAAGGTGAGAAACGGATGCAGAGCTGAGACTCAAACCTCAGAGAGGGAGGTAGAGAGAGAGAGAGAGAGAGAGAGAGAGCGCGCGAGAGAGAATCTGTACGAGTTTAAGTCTAGACAGAGAGGAGGACGACTGCACACCTTCAGAAACACCGAGGAGACTCTCTGATATAAATGAGAACTGAGAAGAGGAACTCTAAAGACAGACGAGGGTCAGGGTCATCGCTGAGCACGACTGTAAATGTGAACAAACTGCACCACCTGTCTTTATCGCTCCACCCTTTACCACATTAAACAATAACAACAGTAAGAATCCCAGTATGAGATATTTTATTCACTCGATAAAACATGACACTGCTTCAAAAGTCTGACCTTGTTAAACTGTGTCAGCCCTCCGGAGCCCTGAGGTCAGCTAATAAGGTGGTTTTAGATGTTCCTTGATCCTTTTTAAAATCTAGAGGAGATTGAGCGTTTTCTGTTGTGGCTTTACCCCTGACAGTGCGCACTGCTAACAGCCTTTCTACTTTTAAAACCCTTCCAAAGATGTACCTGTTCACTTTAGCTTTTGGGGAAGTATAGCTACTTTTATTGGGTATCTTATTTATTTGCTGTTTATTTTTATTGTTGTTTTATGTTTTTATATGTTTTATGCTTCTACTGTTTTTATAGTTTTTATAGTTTTTTATTGTTTCTGGCTATTTTACTGTAAAGCAATTTGGTAGGCCGCTGGCTGTTTTTAAATGGGCTGTATAAATAAAGCTGACATTGACATTGACACTGATAATTGATTTTAGGAAGGCTACCTCTTTTCCACCCCAAACTGTTGTTAAGGGTGCTGATGTTGAGATGGTGGAAAGTAACAAATATCTGGGTTTGGTCCTAGATGATAAACTGGGTTTCGAACCTCACGCTGACGTTCAGTGAAAGTTGTTCTTCTTGAGGAAGATGAGAACCTGTCATGTTTCTTCTGAGATGATGACTCTCTTTTATAAAAGATTTATTGAATCTGTTTTAACTTTTTGTATAGTGGCATGATTTGGGAACCTGAACTGGTCCAACAAGAATCGCCTGGGGAGCCTTGTTAAAACGGCAGTCAGGGGTCATGTTGATCTATAACAGACAGGTCATGAGGAAGGCTAATGCTGTTCTGGATTGTCCGAACTACCCTCTGCACTATGAATTCGAGCTTTTGCCATCAGGGCATCATTATCAGGCTCCTACGAGGAGGATGAAGAGATTTCAGATCTCATTTATCCCCAGTGCGATCCATTTACTGAACGGTAATCAGGCCTTAGATTGTCCATGTTCTTCTTTGCACTGTTTATTGCCTTTTTGCACATCCGCATTTCACACTTTTTCACAGTTTGTTAAAGCAGTTAATCTTTTCCAGTTTTGGTATTGGCTCTGGACTGAACATTACTTTTTAGTGATCCTGTGTATATGTATGGTGATTCTTTTATTGTGTTGTTTTTATCATTTGACTTTTAGACTGTTCTTACTGTATGTCACTGTGTATTCTGTCTTTGTGAGCTCTGGCTGCAATACTCATTTCCCTTTTGGAACAATAAAAAGATTCTGATTCTGATTTCCTGTCGGCGTACCGTTCCCCAGCTCCCAGGACATCCTGTACTCTCTGGATTCACAGTAATGCAGCAGTGAGCGGGCGTTACTGCTGTTCCAGGTGTTCTCAGCTGTTCTAAGCAGAGCGTTCAGTCCAAAGATCAGGTCCATCCCTGAGCAGTTAGCAAAGGAGTGCAGCATGTCGATAGTGTTCTCTGTTAAAGGAGGGGGAGTCAGGTTGTCATGGTAACAGAAGATATATATAAACACAGATAAAGCTGCTGGTTTGTGTTTGTTTTCAGACCTGTGAACTTGACGCTCCTGTACTTCCTGCCCAGGTCTTCCCTCATCAGGAGGACTTGTTGTCGAGTCCACTCCTTCTTCAGCTTCTCCTCCAGCCATGGAGGCAGCTCCAGTTTAGCACAGGTCAGAGCCGCTAACAACGGGAGAGAGTGGCGTGGATCAGTACTATATATATATATATATATATATATATATATGGATTCTTGTGTATGATGCAACATGTTACATATATATATACATATACATACATATACACTGTGTGCACAATTATTAGGCAAGTGAGTATTTTAATCATATCATCATTTTTATGCATATTTTCCAACTCCAAGCTGTATAAACTTGAATGTTTATTGGATATAAGCATATCAGGTAATGTGTATTAGTGTAATGAGGGAGGCTGGGGCCTAACGAGATCAAAACCCTATATCAAGGTGTGCATAATTATTAGGCAGCTTCTTTTCCTCAGGGAAAATGGGCCAAAAAAGAGATTTAAATGACTCTGAAAAGTCAAAAATTGTAAAAAGTCTTTCAGAGGGATGCAGCACTCTTGAAATTGCTTAGATATTTGGGTGTGATCACAGAACCAGCAAACATTTTGATGCAAATAGTCAACAGGGTCGCAAGAAATGTGTTAAGAAAAAAAAACGCAAATTTACTGCCAAAGATTTGAGAAGACTCAAACGTAAAGCTACCAGGAACCGCTTATCCTCCGGTGCCGTCATATTCCAGAACTGCAACCTACCTGGAGTGCCCAGAAGTACAAGGTGTTCAGTGCTCAGAGACATGGCCAAGGTAAGAAAGACTAAAATCTGACCACCACTGAACAAGACACAAGTTGAAACGTCAAGACTGGGCCAAGAAATATCTGAAGAGAGATTTTTCAAAGGTTTTATGGACTGATGGGATGAGAGTGACTCTTGACGGACCAGATGGATGGACCCGTGGCTGGTTCAGTAATGGGCACAGAGCTCCACTTCGAATCAGACACCAGCAAGGTGGAGGCGGGGTACTGGTATGGGCTGGTATTATTAAAGATGAGCTAGCTGGACCTTTTTGAGTTGAAGATGGACTTAAAATCAACTCCCAAACCTAGAGCCAGTTTTTAGAAGACACTTTCTTCAAGCAGTGGTATAAGAAAAAGTCTGCATCTTTCAAGAAAACCATGATTTTTATGCAGGACAATGCTCACACACATACATACACTCACCGGCCACTTTATTAGGTACACCATGCTAGTAACGGGTTGGACCCCCTTTTGCCTTCAGAACTGCCTCAATTCTTCGTGGCATAGATTCAACAAGGTGCTGGAAGCATTCCTCAGAGAGCTTGGTCCATATTGACATGATGGCATCACACAGTTGCCGCAGATTTGTCGGCTGCACATCCATGATGCGAATACCCCGTTCCACCACATCCCAAAGATGCTCTATTGGATTGAGATCTGGTGACTGTGGAGGCCATTTGAGTACAGTGAACTCATTGTCATGTTCAAGAAACCAGTCTGAGATGATTCCAGCTTTATGACATGGCGCATTATCCTGCTGAAAGTAGCCATCAGAAGTTGGGTACATTGTGGTCATAAAGGGATGGACATGGTCAGCAACAATACTCAGGTAGGCTGTGGCGTTTCAACGATGCTCAATTGGTACCAAGGGGCCCAAAGAGTGCCAAGAAAATATTCCCCACACCATGACACCACCACCACCAGCCTGAACCTTTGATACAAGGCAGGATGGATCCATGCTTTCATGTTGTTGACGCCAAATTCTGACCCTACCATCCGAATGTCGCAGCAGAAATCGAGACTCATCAGACCAGGCAACGTTTTTCCAATCTTCTATTGTCCAATTTCGATGAGCTTGTGCAAATTGTAGCCTCAGTTTCCTGTTCTTAGCTGAAAGGAGTGGCACCCGGCGTGGTCTTCTGCTGCTGTAGCCCATCTGCCTCAAAGTTCGACGTACTGTGCGTTCAGAGATGCTCTTCTGCCTACCTTGGTTGTAACGGGTGGTTATTTGAGTCACTGTTGCCTTTCTATCAGCTCGAACCAGTCTGGCCATTCTCCTCTGACCTCTGGCATCAACAAGGCATTTCCGCCCACAGAACTGCCGCTCACTGGATATTTTTTCTTTTTCGGACTATTCTCTGTAAACCCTAGAGATGGTTGTGCGTGAAAATCCCAGTAGATCAGCAGTTTCTGAAATACTCAGACCAGCCCTTCTGGCACCAACAACCATGCCACGTTCAAAGTCACTCAAATCACCTTTCCTCCCCATACTGATGCTCGGTTTGAACTGCAGGAGATTGTCTTGACCATGTCTACATGCCTAAATGCACTAAGTTGCCGCCATGTGATTGGCTGATTAGAAATTAAGTGTTAACGAGCAGTTGGACAGGTGTATCTAATAAAGTGGCCGGTGAGTGTATATACACACACACACATATACATATATACACACACACACACACACACACACACACACACACACACACACACACACACACACACACACACACACACACACACACACACACACACACACACACACACACACACACACACACACACACACACACACACACACACATATACATATATACACACACACACACACACATATACATATACACACACACACACATATACATATATACACACACACACATATATACACACAGACACATATACACATATACACACACACACACATATACATATATATACACACACACACACACACACACACACACATATACATACACACACACACACACACACACACACACACATACATATATATACACACACACACACACACACATACATATATATACACACACACACACACACACACACATATACATATATACACATGTGTATGTGTATATATATACACACCACCTCGCCAATACCATCCCTACAGTGAAGCATGGTGGTGGCAGCATCAAGCTGTGGGGATGTTTTTCAGCTGCAGGAACTGGGAGACTTGTCAGGATTGAGGGAAAAATGAATGCAGCTAAGTACATCGAAATCCTTGATGAAAACCTGCTCCAGAGCACTCGAGACCTTCAACTGGGGCGACGCTTCATCTTCTAGCATGACAATGACCCTAAGCACACAGCCAAGAAGACAAAGGAGTGGCTTCAGGACAAGTCTCTGAATGTCCTTGAGTGGCCCAGCCAGAGCCCAGACTTGAACCCGATTGAACATGAACGTCTAACATGTTGCATCATACACAAGAAGACTGGAGGCTGTAATCGCTGCCAAAGGTGCTTCGACCAAGCATTGAGTAAAGGGTGTGAATACCCTTGTATATGCAACATTTGAGTGTTCTTTTTTTTTTTTTACAAATTTGCAAAATGTTCTACAATAAGTTTTTCGCCTTGTCATTATGGGGTATTTTGTGAAGACTTTTTGAGGGGAAAGGGGAATTTAATCCATTTTAGAATAAGGCTGTAACATAACAAAATGTGGAAAAAGTGGTATGAATACTTTCCAGATGCACTGTATATATAAACATAAGTCCATCAATCACAGCATCAGGAGAGAAGACTCCCATGTCCACTTGTTTGTGTTCTTGAGTATTTGCTAGTAAGGAGGTCTGAGGTTTGTCTGTGAGCAAGTCTGAACACGTTTCACATCGTGATATGGTGAAACTTGTGCTGGATTTTAAAAAAAGCATTGTGAACAAAAACTTGAAGTTACTCCCAACTGTTTTATATATAAATAAACATATGTTCATCAATCACAGCATCAGGAGAGATGACTCCCTAGTCCACTTGTTTGTGTTCTTGAGTATTTGCTGAGTAAGAAGGTCTGAGGTTTGTCTGTGAGCGAGTCTGAACACATTTCACATGACAGCCTGACAAACCAGTGTGGGAGGAAACAGGATTACAGAAGGAGGAGGAGTCTGCTCTGACTCACAGATACCAAACTCTATTATGGACCCACCAGCAGGATCAGAGGAACATGAAGTGTTACCCGGAGAAGATCCTGAAGAGTCCCCCTGACTCTGGGGCGTGAACACCATGAAGTCCTGCCTGGTCCCCCCAAATCTCAGAAAAGCCGGGGTCAAGGCTCGAGCTAAAGTTCTTAGCTTTGGAGAGCTGGAAACAAAATGGAAAACATCAGAGTCCATGAGAGAAAAGAAAATATCTTTGTGTTTTTTTTATGACTCAGTATTTATTTGCAGTTTAAGAACATTCCTGCCCATATAAAGTCATTTCCTGTGGAACAAATCCATACTTCAATAATCTCAAACCTACTTTATCAAAAGGAAACAGGCAGCATGACAAACAACAGAGAGAGTTCATGAGAGCAAACAAAGATGTGCACAGAGAGGAGAAATCAAACTGAGCTCAATATCGGATTTTTTCTTTTAAAGGACATTTTTCTGTTTTTTTTCTTCAGACAAATAAATCATAGACAAAGAGATCAAACTGAGCTCAACCGCTGATCTGTGTTCTTAAAGGTTCATATTTGGACATTTTTCTGATTTTTTTTTTATATCAGAGGATTCAGCAGCTTTTTAAGGACTGATGTTCAGTCACATGGTGTTGACTTCACTGCTGCTAAATTAAAGATACTCCATGTTACAGTCTCTAATTTGGTTTTGCAGGGAAACTATGAGAGGGAGTGAAACAGGGTTTTTCACTTTAGTTCCTAAATTAATAAAAACCTGGAGAATAATTTCCAGTCAGAGTGGAACTAAAACTGCTGTTCTCCTTTTTTAAAACTACGGAAACCTTAAAAAACTCTTAAGAGACTCAGATTCACATTTACAGAGATCTTAACATTTTAGACGTTTAAACACAGAGAGAGTTTGACCTCCTAAACATACATAAACTATAATATACACTCTGTCCATAAGAGTGATGATGAAAATAAACTGCTGTAACCCTGAACAGACCCCTGTGGAGTCCCACCTCCAAATCACACACACACACTCATGGGCCTCACCTGGAACCAAACACCTTTGTTATTGAAAAACTAAACAAGACCAACACCCGCCAACGCCATTGGCAGAGAATCATCCGCAAGATTTACTGCTGCGTTCTCACCTGAGCTCACCTGACCTGCACTTTACCCTAAAGGGACAACAAGGGTGAACAGGAAATAGTCCAGGGGGTGGAGTCGGCGCAAAATGCGTCTGTTTCTGTTCACACTAACAGAGACAGGCTGATAAGAACAGGGTGGGTCCAGGAGGGTCAGGCCAGGCGCCATGGTGATATTTAGCAGTCAGATTAAAGTGCTCCCTTGCTCACCCCTCAGACGGTGACCTAAAAACACTTTTCTTCTAGAACAAGAACCAAACTGACACTAACTTTTTAACAAGGAGCACACAAAGAACTTTAGGGGATCAATGAAAACTGATCAATAATGTTTGTCTTTTTGTCCGACCTTAGTACTATTATTAGAAATCAATTTTAGGTCTTTTGGTCACATGACATGGAAGCTATTGAAGGAAAACAGCCTTTTTTTGAGAACATCAACTGGTAATTTATTGATGGTCCCTTATTCAACACCCAACGTTGACAGTGAGGGTGCCAAGTAGATTTAACCGCGCTTCTGTTGTTAATCGCGGTTATGGAATACATTTTACAAATACATTTTACAATTTACATACATCTATTTCTAGTCATAAATGTGAGTGAAACGGTCACACTGTCAAGTTCTGACTGAGCATGTGCGGTCCGTGCCATAACTGTGACCTGTTTCTTCTCAGGGACGTTGAGCCCCGGTCTCCCCTATTTATGCCACCCACTTCATCAGGGTCCAGACCGGTCCCTGGTTTAATGGTTTTTTATCGGAGTTATAGAGGAGAACACACATCAGCCTGATACAAACCTTTACTCTGAGAGTAATAATCATTATTATCATTATCATTATTATCACCATCATCATTATCATCATCATTATCATATTCATTAGGGCCCGAGCGTAGCTGCTAAGCAGCTGCGAGAGCCCTATTGTTCCTGATAGATTCTTCTTTCTTCTTCTTCTTATTTTTCTGCCACTTTGAACTGGAAAATGGCCCACTTCCCACTGGTGAAAACTCATGAAATTTGGCAGGACGACCGGGCCTGGTGAAAAATTCGATATTCTGAAGTCGCCCAAACAATCAAATGCAAAATGGCTCCATAGTGCCCCCTAATGTGAAAAATTCACATGATTGAGTGTCACTGGGTTTGCAAGGACATTGCATCATCCTAGTTTTCTAGGATGATGCAATGTCCAGCCATCAACACATTTGTGAAGGAATTTTTACTCCCCAAAAGAGCTCCCCCCCATGGCAGGAGAAAAAAGTCCATTTTTTCTTGTCCCCTAAGGTGAAAATACATATTGTTGAGTGTCACGCCTGTACGCTTTGTCATATTGACACAAAATTTGACACACACGTGTATCTCAATAAGATCTACAAAAAAGTCAGCGCGGGCGTATCTGTCAAATGTACGGTTAAAGGGCTATTTCGCATTTTTTGCCGATCCGCACATAATGGAATTTTGCTAACTCCTCCGAAGGCTTTCGTTCCACCGGCACCAAATTTGCTCAGGCCAATCTACACCTCATGGCCATTAAAAATTGTACAAATCATGACGCTGCACCCCACGGTTTACGTTCTAGGGGGCGCCAAAGATAACCCAAAAATCCACATTCTTAAAAGTCTTATAACTTTTTATTTTTGTCCCCACTGGCCTCTAAGTTTTCTAGGATGATGCAATGTCTAGCCATCAACACATTTGTGAAGGAATTTTTACTCCCTAAAAGAGCTCCCCCCCATGGCAGGAGAAAAAGTCAAGTTTTTCCTGCCCATCGCTCAATGGCTCAATCGCATCGCTCTCCCGGCAACACCGTAAGGAGGAGCAACCTGCCATTTGGATATATCCTAGCTGTGTTTGTGCCCTCACTCATGGTCCAGACTTTTTTCAAATAGGACATGAAGTTTGTCTGCAGCGAGTGTTTTGGTAGAAACTGCGCCTCCCATTCATTATAATGGGAAATGACCACAGACAAGTGCGCACACCATCTTTGGACCTTAAGTGTGACGCGATCGGGAGGGGGAGGCGGTCGCGCTGGGGGCGGCGCGATGCGGCTCAGGCCCGACAGTGCCCCACCGGGGCCCTAGTTATCATTATTATTTTTATCATTGTCATTATAATTATTATTTTCATGATTATCATTATTATCATTATTATTTTTATCATCATCATTATCATTATTTTTATCATTATCATTATTATCACTGTCATCATCATTATCATTATTATTTTATCATTATGATCATCATTATCATTGTTATTTTATCATTATCATTATTATCATCATCATCATTATTATCATTTTTGTTAAAGGGGCACAGAGGAGTCTCTTTGGAGGTCAAACCCACTTAAATTGGATCAAGCTCAGAGAAATGAGACCTGATGAAGCTGATGAGAGTCATGAGAAACTGGATTTCTCAGGTTTTCTCATATCATCCCCTGCAGTACAAACTCGTTATTTTTCCCCTCTTAAATTACTGTGGTGGTCTGGATCAGCCTCACTCAGTCCAGAACCTCCTGTCCGCCTCTCTGACGGTTCTGGTACTGGAGACTTAAGGTTCATTTAAGGAGTCAGAGTGAGACAGGAGAATTTTAATGAGATTAGAAACCCTCCTGAGAGCAGACTCTGATCATCTGTGAGGATTTTACCGGATTATTTCAGAGGAACTTTAGGAGGCGGATCAGAAGTCATTAACCGGATTTAGAGGATCAGAACCGGAGAGCTTTACGAACAGCTGCTGGATCATTAAAGAGTTCCTCTCACCCCAGCAGGTACATGAACTTCTCCTCTGAAGCCAGACTCGCATCGATAGTGACGGACAGAAAACGAGGTTCCACCCGGCGGGTCACCGAGGAGGACCGATCCAGACTCGCAGCCAGGTTCGGGTCCTCCGACGAAGTCCAGTTCACCTCAGGGACGTGGAAACCGAGCAGAGACCGGACCAGGAGCAGCAGGACAACCGGGACCGACTTCATGACTGAAAACGTGTGTGTGTGTGTATGTGTGTATGTGTGTGTGTGTGTTTGAAAGAGAGAGAGAGAGAGAAAGAGAGAGAGATCAACACTTCCTGCACCAGCAGGAAGGGGGGGGGGCAGACCCGCAGGGACCGACAACCGGGAATAATCCGGTAATCCAGCTCCACCTCCAAACTCGACAGTTCCGGATTAAAAAAGTGTAACTGTTCCTTTAAAGTCTCCGGAATTGTCTCTGTGAGGATTGATGATTATTAATGAGCTTAAAAGTTCTTAAAAAACTTTATTTAGTTCAAAAAGAGCAAAGAATAAATATTAAACTTCTATTAAATGAATATGAATGTGAAAAGGTGAAAGGTGAGTAAGAATAAAAAGGACATTCAGAGAAGATTCTAGATTGAAGATTGAAGATTTATTTATTTGTCATGTTCATGTTAGGCAAGGTCAACAATGCAATGAAATGTCCTGGATGAGAGGACCGCTCAACTCAAAGGAGTATAGATAAAACACACAATAACTACTGAGAGGAATAAAATAAAATAAAAAGTAAAAGTATAAGAGAAATATTTACAAAGTGAACAAGTGATGCAGTAGGTGCTGAGTGTGTATGTATGAAATGGAGGACAAGTCGGTGGGGTACATGAGGTATGAGAATTGCCATATTTCACATGATAAATAATAATAAATGATGGATGAACTGCTGTATTTCACATCACAGATGATATTGTACAGGATGAGATGAGAGTCTCTGAGGAGGAAAGAAGGAAGAAGGTTCAACAGTCTTTTAGAAATCCTGGAGACTCCAGCTGTAAATCTGTAAACTCTCCTGTGGGCTCATGGCTCTAAATCTGTCAAACTTTTTAGTAATCATGAAAACGTATTCAGGGTTCAGGGATCTAAAATGAGTTTTGAAAAAAACTCTAAAATAAGTTTTAAATAAACTCTAAAATGAGTTTTTAAATAAACTCTAAAATTAGTTTTAAATAAACTCTAAAATAAGTTTTAAATAAACTCTAAAATGAGTTTTTAAATAAACTCTAAAATTAGTTTTAAATAAACTCTAAAATTAGTTTTTAAATAAACTCTAAAATAAGTTTTAAATAAACTCTAAAACGAGTTTGAAATAAACTCTAAAAATAAACTCTGAAATAAGTTTAAAATAAACTTTAAAACTATTTTTAAATAAACTCAAAAATCAGTTTTTAATAAACTCTAAAATTAGTTTTTTAAATAAACTTTAAAATTAGTTTGAAATAAACTCTAAAATGAGTTTAAATTAATTAAAAATAAAATTTAATTAATTAAAATTTAATTAAACTCTAAAAATAAACTGGAATAAGTTTAAAATTAACTTTATAATTAGTTTTAAATAAACTCTGAAATGAGTTTTAAATAAACTCTAAAATAATTTTTTAAATATACTCTGAAAAATAAACTTTTGAAATAAGCTGAAATTAGTTTAAAATAAACTCTAACATTATTTTAAAATAAACTCTAAAATGAGTTTTAAATAAACTCTAAAATTGTTTTTAAATAAACTCTAAAATGAGTTTAAAATAAACTCTAAAATGAGCTTAAAATAAACTTTAAAAACAGTTTTAAACAAACTTTCAAATAAGTTTGAAATAAACTCTGAAATGAGTTTGAAATAAACTCTAAAATAAGTTTTAATGAAGTAAAACCAAAGTCAAACACAGAGCAAGTGTGAATCAAGTTTATCTCCACTAACACGGCTCTTCCTACTTTCTTCAGTTTTGGGTTCATCCTGATGAATTCTGATAAAAACATGAACACTGAGGATTAACCTGAACTCTGGATGATACTGAGAGAAATAAAAATATCGGACTCCAGTCAAAGTCTCATAAATCCAGAGCAGACATAATAAAATAATGCAGATACTCGGAGTTTGTGAATAAAAGTGAGTCTGGATTCTAAACTGGGACGATTAAAGCACAGCTCTGTGATTTTTTTTGATATCAAACGTCTAAACCCTTCTTTGATTTCTAAGATAAACTTTAATTCATCCCAGGGTGTGGACATGGATCTGTGTTTTGGAAGGTCAGACTGTTACTGCAGCTGTTTGTGTGTGTGAACTCAGTTCTGTGGATCATTATTATTATTATTTTTATTATTAAAGCTCCCTCTGTACACACTTAGGTTAGCCTGTTAGCTTACTTCAGTCTAAATAGTTTCAGATTGGTCTCAAATGTAGATTTTAAAAACAGACAGTCACCTGACAGTGAGAGGAAACACCTGAAGAACTCCTGTATGTGACTGAAGGACACTGAATGTCTTTATAAAGCAGTAAACACAGCATTATTTGGACATTATTTTAATTAGATATAAAACAAACAGATCAAACTCAAGGCATGTACACTCAGAATAAAACTCTGCTGTGATAAATTAATGTCGGTCAGCCTGAGGAAGATCTGCAGGCATCGTCAGCAGCTCCTCCACCTCTTCCTGCAGAGCTGCAGCTTTTTCATTCAGCAGCATCTACAACACACACAGAAATAGGTCATGTGACTCACACAGAGAGCAGTTTACAGGTCGAACATCATGTCCACTGTCTGACAGCTCCACAGACATGGCGGGACGTTCACCTTGGCTGAGGCGACCATCTGATTGGCTTGTTTCTTGAACAGGTTTTCTATCGTCTTACAGAGAACAGACGGGTCGGCATTCGCCAGGTGTGTCAGTGTTTTGTAGCCGGCGTTATACAGCTGCTTCGCTCGAAACTGGCGAGGAAATCAAAGTTAAGAGTTGAAGTTGGTTTGAACTGTAAAAACTGAGGGAAAAAAAGAGAATTTAGAGAAGATTCAGTAAACCTAGAGATGTGCAGACCAGCTCCTGTTTATTAAAAACTCATTTATTCTGATGAAGGTCTGAACTCACGTGTTTCTATAAACTCTGAACATTTTTTAATTTGTTTATAAAGAAAAAGACTTAAGAGATAAAACTGTAAAGACACAAAGAAGAAGAGACTTTTTTTTTTGACTGTCCTCCTTTACCTCTTCTCAGCTCTCTGCTGCCCCCCTGAGGACACTTCTGTCTTTATACAGTGCCTCCAAACACAGAGGTTTAAGTGAGTGTTGATAATATTAAGATAAGAAGGGTGTATGAGTGCAACTTTTTAAGGGTGAAAATGGACCATAATCTCATCTGGAAACCACAAATAAACTATGTTAGGAGTATTGGCGTTTTGGATAGAACAAGACACAAATTAAACCATAAAACTTTATACTTATTATACAATACACTTATATTACCATATCTGACTTATTACATAGAAGTCTGGGGAAATACAAAATGAATACTCAACCTATTTATATATTATGCAAAAGGGAGCAATCAGGATTATTAACAAGGTAGGATTCTTCCATCATACTAATGAACCGTTTCTTAAATTAAGAGTATTAAAATTTGCCGATTGAGTAGAATTTAGAACTGCACAGACAATGTATAAAGATAGTAACAATCTACTCCCTATTAATATACAGAAAATGTTTAATGGAAGAGAGGGAAGGTATGTTTTAAGAGGAATTTAAAACAGCCAGGCGTTGGTACCACTCTTCAAAAGTGATTTTTGTTTTGCCACACTTATTATACTGTATATGGGTATGGTACAAATGACAGATTTGAAGTATTCTTTTCATGTTAGACTTTGGAGCTTTGGTTACTTTTTGGCGACATCAGAAATTGTAAAGACATGAAAAGGGTAAATGAACAGAAAGGAATGAGAGGGGTACATATAAGATAAATAACTTTATCTATATCTTTATCTTTATCTATAATAACTTAACTCACAAAAAAGGGAATTTCCTGTCTAAAATTTTTCTGTGTATATTTGATCGAATAAATAATCTTAATGTAATGTTTGATAAATTCTCAGGAGTAAAGTGAACTTCGTACAGGTAAGTCAGAGGTTAAGTTAGTTAGAGGTTTAGTTAGTCAGAGGTTCAGTTATCATAGATAATCCCAGGAACCCCCCCCCACTGACCTCCATGACCCCAGCCACCTCCATCAGAGGGATGAGTTCTGCTCTCACACAGAAGCTCAGCCTCTTGGTCAGCTCGCTCAGCAGAGCTCTGAATGGCCACAGCTCCTCCAGCTCCTGGTACCAAACACAGACACAGACCATCAGAACTGGTCCGGATCCAGAGCTCAGACTGGTCTGGGACAGAGGGGGGGGGGTCTGTTACCTCAGTGAAGTGCAGCACACAGGAGCAGAAGGCCGAGGAGGAGCTGAGCAGACTCTGGACGAATCCTCGGCTCAGCTGGAAGCGCTCAGCCACGCCCCACAGGTTGGTCTCCTTCAGGAGGGAGAAGAGGACCAGAGCCAGGTACATCCTGCTCACCACCTCCATGTCCACGCTCTGAGATCAGAACCAGAACCACAACACAGGGAACCAGAAAAAACACAGTAGTGACCCATAAGGCCCCTGACGGGACCCTCAGAGCCCTGAAATCAGATCAACATCTGTGTTTTTTGTTACCTTCTTGACCGCCTGTCCTGCTGCTTTTCGGGCCACGAAACTCTCAGGAACTCCGACGGCTGAGGACATCTTCTGCTCCGAGGATGTCAGGAGGGTGAACTGCAGCAGAGACATATGGGTCACATGATCACCCTGAGTGCCTTAAAGGGACCCTCTAATCATTAGACATTAGAGTCTAATGTCTGAGAGCGGGTCTGCACCTGTCTGTAGAAGGTCATCCAATCAGGTTTGACCTGAGAGACCAGGTCGTACGGGGTCACCAGGTAGACCAGGTGAAGGTAACTGTTGAGCAGAAGACCCTCCAGACCTTTAGACAGGTCCCTGTAGAGGACTTCACTGTAGTCTAGGTCCACAGAGGCTGAAGACGAGGAAGAGGAAGAGGAAGAGGAAGAGGACACAGAGACATGAGAACATGGACTGTGGAGAAAATGTCTGAAAACGGAGGAACCGGTAAAACCAGTGAAACCAGTAAAGGGGAAACCAGTGGAACTAGTAAAAAAAGTGAAACCAGTAAAAGTAGAACCATCAAAACCAGTGGAACAAGTAAAACTTGTGAAACCAGTGAAACCAATGGAACCAGTAAAACAGGTAGAACCAGTAAAACCAGAGCAACCAGTGAAACTAGTGGAACCAGAGAAAACAGTTAAACCAGCAAACCAATACAACCAGTAAAAAAACAGTGGAAGCAGTTAAAGTAGAACTTTATAAATTTGATATCATGATATTGGTGGCCCAAAATATCACGATTCGCGATATTATCATGATATTAGCGCATTGCTTTTAACGTTATTACAAATGGCAAAAAACTGCGAAATCACTTCTCTGTGCACAGCACAACAGGCACAAACAATCTGAGCAAGAAGCAGCTAACGCGATGTTGGGAGCATTAGCTTTTAGGAGCTAAAGTTAGCAGAAACGTCACGAATGTTGTCAATTATAAGCAGTAGAGTCGACCAAACTTGTTGCGGTCATGTTGTTTTTACCTTGATTTGGGCGAACGATGCTGGATGGTGTTCACGGAGGTGGCCATGTAGGTTTGAAGTGTTAGACAACGGCGCTGCAACTTCCTTACTGCATAACCTGCAGATTGGTGTTAGGTTTACCAACTTCGTATGTTTCGTGAGGCCGTAAAACGTCCATACTGCCGACGAAAACCTTTTTAATAGGAGGATACAGCCGAGGCGTTTCGTCATTCTCAGTCTGCGACTGTTCTTGGTCCGGTGTTATGCCGTAGAATGCACCCCTGCCGTTGAATGCACCCCTGACAGGAGCACGTTTGAAAGTACACAACAAGGCGAAATAATCCAAGCTTTTCTTACCATTGGGTAGATTCAAAAGCGTGTGCCTTTAATGATTTCATTCAGACTATTCACATAAGCCGAAAACAATAGCCCTCTAATTCAGAATATTTGCTGTCCCGACAGTTTACTGTACAGTTTATGTACCCAAGTACACCTCTGTATGTGCATTTTTGGGACACATAAAAACAGAACAAAAGTTTGCTGCTCCATTTGACATGTTGTCGTGATCCAGTACTCGTGTTTTTAAAAGATCAGAGCATATCTCCTCCACTTTAAGAAGCTAATGAGCGGATGGGATGCATTGTGGACATGCTCCCACAGTGCTTTGAGTGGCCGCAATGCATTGTTGGTGGCCACTCATTTTGTTGTAAAATTTCTTCATTTTCTCTTTTAATGTTCCTGTTTTTGTTCATTTGGATTTGGGACTACTTTTGTGGTGGTTTGTTTCTACATTTTGCCACCGAGGCTTTGACACCGTGGGTAAGACTACAAGAGGGTTAGGTTGGTAAGTACTCGGCTTCGCTCACCTTCGCTGAGTGACGCTGCCACTTGTCTTTAAATTATAACTGTAGAACGATTGTTACAGTACCTTACGATTTCATGATCGTGGCCGTTTAATATTGCATATCAGGATTAAATCGTATATCAGCACATCCCTAAGTAGAACCAGTTAAACCAGTGAAACATGAAAAACCAGTGTAACCAGTAAAAACAGTGGAATCAGTGAAACCAGCGGAATTATTAAAAACCAGTGAAACCAGTGAATCCAGTGTAACCAGTAAAAGAACAGCCAGTGAAACCAGTGGAACCAGAAGTTCTCCTCAGACTCAGACCCCCCCCCCCCCCCCCCCAACCTTTGTAGGTGGCCCGGCCCAGCCCGGTGACCTCCAGACTTAGACGGTCAGCTGACTCAGTGATGAGGTTCTTCTCCCTCAGGAGGTCCAAACTCTGCTGCACCTCCTCCCACAGACTCCTCCTCACACACAGCTCCTCCTGCTGGACATACAACAGCGTTCCACACAGAAAGTCCCTCAGCTGATCACATGACGAGGTGACCTGTGACACACACACACACACACACACACACACACACACACACACACACACACACACACACACACACACACACACACACACACACACACACAGCTCTGCTTCACCTGCAGCTGTAAACACGTTGACCTCTGACCTCCTCAGATCTGGACAGCGGCAGACTGACCTTTAACCCGATGAGTGAGAGGATCAGACTGAGGAGACCTTTTCCTTGGTCCTGGATCAGGTGACTGAGACATCTCTCCATCGGGGCGCTCACCAGGTTCTGAGCCTGAGACATGAGAAGAGACATGAGAAGCCTGAGAAGATTCAGAGAAGACATGAGAAGATCTGAGAAACCTGAGAAGATCCTCCAGATGTAGGAATCTTCTCTTTTAAACTTTATTTCAAAGTTCGATTGTCATGTCTTCTCACACGACCTTCTCCTGAAACTGTTCTTCCTCCTCTCTCACTGAAACTTCAGTTCTATAAACATCTGTCTGAGCAAATCTGTGTCATAATTCAAAATAAAAAAATAGATGAACAGAAACGCATTTGCATTTTCAGAATGTACCTGCACTTTAGACTCATAAATAAAATTAAAAATAAATAATCTGAACTGCAATTGCTTTCTTTTTACTGCATTGCTTTCTTTTCGAGCGGACATGAAAAAAGAAAAAGGAATTGCAGTTCAGATTATTTATTTTTAATTTTATTTATGAGTCTGAAGTGCAGGTACATTCTGAAAATGCATTTCTGTTCATCTATTTTCATTTGAATTATGACACAGATTTGCTTCCATATCTGAGTGTGTGTGTTCACCATGTGTCGGTCTTTCTCCTGCAGGATGAGGATGCTCTCTCCCACCGTGTCGATCCCGGCCCGACCCGCCCGACCCACCATCTGTTTGTACTGACTCCTCTTCAGGAAGTCTGTGGCCACGTACGGCGAGCGCAGGATCACCCTGACGGAGGAAAACGGTGTCATATCTGAAGAATAGGTCCTCTATGGAGGTCCTGGAAACCTGGGAAAGTTTTCCGCCTGGTTCTCTGGTGTCTTACCTTCGTGCGGGGAGGTTGATGCCTGCAGCCAGCGTGGAGGTGCAGGTGAGGAGGCAGAGGACGCCACTGGAGTACGCCTCCTCCACCAGCTTCCTCTCCTCCGAGGTCAGACCGCTGTGGTGATACGCCAAACCGTAAGGCACCGTCCTCCTGAGAATGGGACACAACGAGCCATTCCCGCTGTACTTCAGCTCCTGCAGGAGGACCAACTTCTCCTCGTGACGGTACTGCAGGAAGTCCCTGAAAGAGCCGAGGAAGAGCAGGATGGACCTTCAGTTTGTGCTGAGACCAAGAGTCAAACAGGAAGAGGAGGAGGAGAAGGACTCACTCTCTCAGGTGTCTGCAGATCATCCCGACCAGGTTCTCACAGTTCTTCTTGGTGGGACAGAAAACCAGACAGGAGTGTGAAGGGATGACTTCCGTAACCAAGGCAATGATGTGATCCGGGTCGGTTTTCTGCATCCCACTGGAGTACTGAGGAGCGGAAAACAAAGACCGGGTCAGGGAGCTGTGAAAGAGTAGGAGGAGGAGGAGATGCAGGAGGATGAGGGGGAGGGAGGAGAAGGAAGGGGAGGAGGAGGAGAAGGAAGAAGGAAAAGGAGGAGTAGAAGAAGTAGGGGGAGGAGGAGGAAGAGGAGGAGGATAAGGATGAGGAGGAGGAGAATGAGGGGAATTAGAAGGAGGAGGAAGAGGAGGAGGAGGATAAGGATGAGGAGGATGAGGGGGAATAGAAGGAGGAGGAAGAGAAGCAGGAGGAAGAGAAGAAGAAATAGGAGGAGGAGGAGGATGAGGAGGAGGAGGAGGAGGATGAGGAGAGGAAGAAGGAGGAGGAGGAGGAGGAGGGGAAAAGGAGGAGGAGATAAGGAGAAGAAGAAGAAGGAGGAAGGAGAGGAGGAGGAGGATGAGGGGATAAGGAGAAGAAGAAGGAGGAAGGGGAGGAGGAGGAGGAGAAGACGAAGGAGGAGGAGGTGAAGAAGAAGGAGGAGGAGCAGGAGGAGAAGGAAGAGGAGGAGAAAGAGGAGGAGGAGAAAGAAGAGGGGGAGGAGAAGGAGTAGGAGGAGAAAGAGGAGGAGGAAGAAGAAATAGGAATGAGAAAAAGTGAAAGAAAGGATAAAAAAGTAGAAAAAGAACAAGAAAAAGAAAAAAGAAGAATATGAAGAGAAAGAACAAGGAGAAAAGGGAGAATAAGAAAAAGAAAAAAGAAGAAGGAGGAAAAAAGGAAGAAGAGAAAAAAAAAGAAAAAGAAGTCTCTACTGTTAAACGTGACTGTTAGATTTCAGGTCAAAAATGTCTCATGAAGCACAGTTTAAAGATTGTAAATCTTAATTTCAGAGTCTTAAGTTCAGGTGTTCCACAGGGCTCCGTTCTGGGTCCTCCTCTAATCCCATCAAACCAGGACCATCCTCCCCTCTGGGTATTTCAGTCCGTCTCTTCATGCAGGTTTGACCTTTGATGACCTTCTCAGCAGGTTAACTCAGAGCCACTGTCTGCAGAACTGACCTTAAAGTTTAGAGGATGCGATAACCGGAAACATGGCTCCTCCTTTGGATCCACTTCATATATGAATTCATTTAATTTGACGTACTCCTTCAGATGGACCTGAGCAGAGGGCAGAGCAGAGGGCGGAGTCAATACCACTTACTGAACACGCTAACATAAACACATCAGTAATAGGGTTGGAGGTTAAAGGTCACTCGCAGGTCTGAAGTCGTTGGTGTAATTCTCAGCCTTTAAAAACGTCTGCAGGTCCTGAATGTTCCCCAAGGTGGCGCTCATCCCGATAATCTGAGTGGACTCTGGAAAATAACGGGGAAGGATCATGTTATCTGATCAAGAAGAAAAGTCAGTTTAAAAAAAATAAACTGATATTAAAAAAGTTAGCTAAGATTTTAAAATGTAAACCCAGATAAAAGGAAAATTAATGTTAACAAGGTAAACTCAGATTAAAAAACTCAAAAAAAGTAAACTCAGATTTCAAAACTCAGACTTCAAAAAGTAAACCCAGATTAAAAAAGGTAAATTTAGATTTAAAAAAGTAAATTCAGATTAAAAAAGTAAGCTCGGATTTAATAAAAACTCAGATTTAAAAAGTAAAAGTAAACTCAGATTAAAAAAATCAGATTTTAAAAGTAAACTCAGATTAAAAAAGTAAACCCATATTAAAAAGTAAACTCACGTTAAAAAATTTAACTCAGATTTAAAAAAGGAAACTCAGATTAAAAAATTTAACTCAGATTAAAAAGGTAAACCCAGATTAAAAAAGTAAATTTAGAGTTAAAATAAGTAAACTTTAAGATAAATTAAGTCAACCCAAATTTAAAAATGGAAACTCAGATTAAAAAAGTTAACTCAGGTTTAAAAAGTAATCTCAGAGTTAAAAACAAGTAAACTCAGATTAAAAAAGTAAACTCAGTTGTATAAAAGTAAACTCAGATTAAAAAAGTAAACTTAGATGTAAAAAATTAATCTCAGAGTTAAAACAAGCAAACTCGGGTTTTAAAAAATAAATTCAGATTTAAAACTCACGGCTGGTGTAGAGGACTTTGGACAGAGTCATTTCGATTATTGCTCCTCTGTTGCCGTCTCCTAACATGTGAAGCTGTAAACAACAGTTAAATGTTAATATCTTATTAAAGAGGGGCAGACTCTAGAAGAGTTTTCTTCTTTCTGCTCCTTTTAATTCACATGTTTAAGATTTTTCCTTGTTTGTATTGAATGTTTTGAATATAATCTGAACGAAATAAAGTATGAAAATGAAATGTTAAACCAAAGATCCAGGATCTTCACCGTTACCTTCTACAGGACTCTAACAAAAGGGGGTCCATACCTCGTCCACCACCACCAGACCCAGATCTCCTATCCTGTCGGTCTCGATCAGTAAGTTGACCAGGCTGTGGGCTTTCTCAATCGTGGCGATATAAAGGGAATTCATGGTTCTTCTCTTCACTGGAGGAAATCTGCCTTTACTGCCGGCGTACTCCTCCACCATGAAGTCCAGCTCCAGGCCGAAGCTGGCCAACCCTCGAACCTGCAGGAACAGCAGGAACAGCGGGGTTAGAGAAGAAGATCAGATCAGGAACAGTGGGGTTGGTCTGTGCCGCTCTGACCTTCTCCTGCACCAGAGAAATGTATGGTAAGATGAACAGACAGTCTTTCTTCCTGCACAGCAGCTCCCTCAGAATCAGGATCTCTGCCACCAGAGTTTTTCCTCCACTGGTGGGCAGAGAGTAGATCAGGTTCTTTCTCCTCTGAACACAGTCCAGGTTCAGACATGTCTCCTGCCAGTCTGAGGGACAACAAAAAAAACTCCTGTTAGGGACTGTTTTTACAAGTTTGAGACACAAACCTAAAGCCGCTGTGAGGAGGTTTCTACTCATGAAACACCAGACATCAACAGGGACATGACAATATATACACTACAGGCCAAAAGTTTGGAAGCAAGATCAGATTTGTACAAAAAAGATCATAGTTTCATATATATAATTTGCAACACAATAAACATGACTATTGTGTAAAGAGTAACTTATCAGAAGACATTTTGACTATAATTATTAGGTATTTGAGTTATTGTTGCTTAGACTTTGCTTTCTTCAAAGTTACCACCTCTGGCTTTAACAACAGCTTGGCATATACCAGGCATTCGTTCCACAAGTTTTTTAAGGTATGTTCAAGGGATTGCATTCCAAGCTTTCTTAAGTTAATTAAAAAGATACTGCTGATTCGTGGGACGTGCCTTACTGACCGATCAATCCAATTCATCCTGCACAGGCTCAATTTGGAGAAAGGTCTGGAGACTGAGGGGGCCAAACCATCTTTTGAAGAACACCTACCTCTTCTTTTTTGTCAAGGTAACCCTGAGAGAGCTTGGCAGAGTGCTTAGGGTCATTGTCTTGCTGCAAAATAAACTTATGAGCCACAAGTCTGAGTCCAGATGGAGCAGCATGGTGCTGGAGGATAGAGTGGTACAGTTCCTTCTTCATGATACCCTTTACTTCAAACAAATCTCCTACTCCATCACCTGCAAAACATCCCCATACCATGGAACTACCACCTCCATGCTGAATTATGGGTGTAACACGTGGTGCTTTCAGACGTTCACCAGTTTGTCTGCGGACATACACTCTGCGTTTTGAACCAAACCATGTAAACTTGTTTATAGTCATCATATGTCCAATTTTTGTGAGCTTTTGCCCACTCATATCTCTTTTTCATGTTCTGTGGACGAAGTAGTGTTTTTTTTGCAGATACACAACCCTTCAGACCAGCCTTTCTCAAACGTCATTTCACGGTTGTCAGAGATATGGGTTTCGACCTTGTCATGTTGATTTCCTCCCTTATTTTTGGTGCTGTCTTTTGCCAATCTCTCTTACTGGTGACAATGCTTAGTTTATCCTCTGCTTTTGTGGTAACTCTCTTTCATCCAGGTCTTTTTCTATTATCATAACTCCCAGGTTCCCCTAATCTCTTCAGAGTGTAGTGGACTCCGTTGTTAAACACCTTTAGGCATTTTGCAATTTCTCTTTCTGTGTATCCTTCTTTCCTCAATGTTCATCTTTACTCAGTTGCTTTCTAGCCATTTTTGCGGTAGTTTGAACGCAGTTGAGATTAATAAGGATTTTTGTTTGCAGACTCTCAAAAGCCAAAAAGTTGAAGTGAATAATCCAACAGTGATTTCTTTTTTTGCTTTTGCACTGAAGCTGTGACTCTTGCAAATGTTTTCAACCCTAAAACTAAGCCCTTATCTTTTGCTGACATATATTTAGCAATGGTCTGTTACATTAAGGTTAATGGAGTAAAACGGTGCATTTCCATGAAAGCAAAGCAATTACATATATATAGACATACATATATATATATAGACATACATAGACATATATATAGATATATATACATATATAGATATATACATACACATACATATATAGACATATATACATACATACATGTATATACATACATACATATATAGACGTATATACATACATACATATATAGACATATATACATACATACATATATCGACATATATACATACATATACTGTATGTCTATATATGTATGTATATATGTCTATATATGTATGTCTATGTATATATACATACACATACATATATATATCTACATACATATATAGACATATATATATCTACATACATATATAGACATACTGTATATATAGACATACAGATATAGAGACATATATAAAGACATATATACACACACATAGACATACATATATAAAGACATATACATATATACATACATTTAGACATACATATAAATACATATATATATAAAGACATACATATGGACATATATAGACATATATATAGATATAGACATATATAGATATATATAGATATACACTCACCGGCCACTTTATTAGGTACACCTGTCCAACTGCTCGTTAACACTTAATTTCTAATCAGCCAATCACATGGCGGCAACTTAGTGCATTTAGGCATGTAGACATGGTCAAGACAATCTCCTGCAGTTCAAACCGAGCATCAGTATGGGGAAGAAAGGTGATTTGAGTGACTTTGAACGTGGCATGGTTGTTGGTGCCAGAAGGGCTGGTCTGAGTATTTCAGAAACTGCTGATCTACTGGGATTTTCACGCACAACCATCTCTAGGGTTTACAGAGAATGGTCCGAAAAAGAAAAAATATCCAGTGAGCGGCAGTTCTGTGGGCGGAAATGCCTTGTTGATGCCAGAGGTCAGGGGAGAATGGCCAGACTGGTTCGAGCTGATAGAAAGGCAACAGTGACTCAAATAACCACCCGTTACAACCAAGGTAGGCAGAAGAGCATCTCTGAATGCACAGTACGTCGAACTTTGAGGTACATGGGCTACAGCAGCAGAGGACCACGCCGGGTGCCACTCCTTTCAGCTAAGAACAGGAAACTGAGGCTACAATTTGCACAAGCTCATCGAAATTGGACAATAGAAGATTGGAAAAACGTTGCCTGGTCTGATGAGTCTCGATTTCTGCTGCGACATTCGGATGGTAGGGTCAGAATTTGGCGTCAACAACATGAAAGCATGGATCCATCCTGCCTTGTATCAACGGTTCAGGCTGGTGGTGGTGGTGTCATGGTGTGGGGAATATTTTCTTGGCACTCTTTGGGCCCCTTGGTACCAATTGAGCATCGTTGCAACGCCACAGCCTACCTGAGTATTGTTGCTGACCATGTCCATCCCTTTATGACCACAATGTACCCAACTTCTGACTTTCAGCAGGATAATGCGCCATGTCATAAAGCTGGAATCATCTCAGACTGGTTTCTTGAACATGACAATGAGTTCACTGTACTCAAATGGCCTCCACAGTCACCAGATCTCAATCCAATAGAGCATCTTTGGGATGTGGTGGAACGGGAGATTCGCATCATGGATGTGCAGCCGACAAATCTGCGGCAACTGTGTGATGCCATCATGTCAATATGGACCAAGCTCTCTGAGGAATGCTTCCAGCACCTTGTTGAATCTATGCCACGAAGAATTGAGGCAGTTCTGAAGGCAAAAGGGGGTCCAACCCGTTACTAGCATGGTGTACCTAATAAAGTGGCCGGTGAGTGTAGACATATATATATATATATAGACATATATATATATATAGACATATATACATACATATATACATAGATATACATACATATATTCATATATACATACATACATATGTGCATATACATACATACATATACATATATATACATACATATATACATATATATACATACATATATACATATACACATATATATATATATACACATATATATACATATATACACATACATTCATACATACATACATATATATGTATATATATACATATACATAAAGCTATAGATATGATAAATAAATACATAGGTTTAGATATGATATATAGATTTAGATATGATTTATAGATATAGGTATGATAGATATGGATATAGATATCTATATATTGATATGATAAATAGATATCTATATAGTTATGATATATAGATTAAGATTTAATATATAGATTTAGATATGATGTATTGATATGATACATAGATAAAGATATGATATATAGATATGGTACAAAGATATAGATATGATACATAGATATATGTACAAAGATATAGATATGATACACACACACACACACACACACACACACACACACACACACACACACACACACACACACATACATATATATATATATATATATATATATATATATATATATAGATATATTGGTATGATTAATACATATGGATATGATATATACATATAAAAATATAGATTCGATATATAGATATATATGCAGTTTCTACAAGGCAACACTCACATTAAACCTCATTTCCCTTTAAAGTTCCTCCCTAAACTCTTTGATGGCTGCAGACGTCTCTGTATTTTACTGCAGATTTGAACTTCACAGAGCTTCCTCACTTTACCAACATTTGAGCTCTGGCTTAATTCTCTTATATAATAATGAAGAGCTAAGTCCTCTGAGAGACCCTGCCACCATTTGAGGAGGAGGTAGTATTCATATAAACCATCTGATGTTTGTTTTCTAATACTGACACCGCTACCTCACTAAATATCACAATTCTAGCTTTAATAAAAAAAGAGATGTATCACCGTATAAAGTCTTGATCCCTCTGAGTTCGTACATCAGGTCTTTGACTTTAGAGGGGAGTCCAAAGAAAGGTCCGAGGTCGGTGGTCTGAGAGGAAACTGTCTCCATGGCCTGTATGGCGACGCTGATCTCCTCAGAAACCACAGCTTCCTTTAACACCACTGTCCGGGAAACGCTGGAAGGAGTGGCGGCGTTACCCAGCATGGTTTTCTTCAGCTTGTCGGCCACACTCCTCCTCAACGTCTTCTTTGGTTTCTCCTCCGTGGTCCTCTCAGAAACCCCCTCAGAGTCCCAGTCGGTGTTTTTGGAGGGCGTGGAGGTCTTCTCTCCCTCCTGCAGTCTGCTCCTCTTCATTTTATCCTGAAACTGAAGTTGGCTCGGTGGTAAATCCTCAAAAGGTTCGTCTCCAAGTCTGTCCAGGATGGAGTCTGAGAGGATGTCCTCAGACGGTCGTTTCTGGATGTCTTTCATCAGCCACAGAACGGTGAACTCTGGCTGATCCACGGCGTCATTGTGAGCTGAAATCTGGCCGTTTGGCCGCCTTGCGTTCTGCTCAGCGTCATCCAGCTTTGCCAGAAGAGAGCTGTCCTCCAGGATGCTGTCGTAGTCTCCAAACAGGTCCTCACTGTCACTGCAGAACTGATGAATATAACACACTGTTACTGTTCAGATGGAGAAATGAGAGGATGTTTGTCTGCAGACACTTCTAACCTGAAAATCTCCCTCCTTTAAACGACAACATCACCTCAGCGCTAACACACAGGGATTTAACTGTCTGCTGAGCTTTTGGTTAGAATCTGAGACTTTTAAATCCATGTTTCTATATTAAAATACACTTACACAGTCAGCAATATGTTGATTTTCTATTGCACACAAGAAAGAAAAAAGCTTTTTTTACACACAATATCTATATTATGAGCACAAGACAGTCCATGTTTTTGGAGGTAATAAATATAGGGGAGAGTGGGGTAAGTTGAGCCCCCCCCCGTTTCTTGTAAATGGTCAAAGAAATTGATCATGAGACCAAATCTTTAGGAAATGGTCATCAATTCATAGAGTCTTTAAAGGTTCGAAGCACATGGGTGAAGGGGTTAGACATTTATTTCTTGTTTTAGAAAGCAGTAAATAACCGGGCCAATCAGTGACTGTGTTTCCACTGTTCCCCAGACAACAGGGAAAGGCAGCCCCTGATTGGTCCATGTGTAGATGGTGATGTCTAACACATGCTGCAGGACTTTTCAAGTTCAATAATAATAAAAAGAATGATTGCAACAGTTAAATAGTATATAATAGATAAAAATACACATGAATGTGAAGAAGTGCCTGTTATCTAGGGAGAGAGAAGGTGAGGGAGGGGGTTGGGGGGGTGAGTGGGGGGGGGGGGGGTAGTAGGGATACAGCTCAAATTAACCCCCCCCCCCCGCTCCTATGGTCAATTTAGCTCATACACGGGGTAAGTTGACCATAGGAGACCCCTTTTTTTGTCATGCTATATTATCAAGATTACAGTTCTGTTTACACTCATTCTGTTGGTTTGCAGGGATGAACAACATCCTGAAATATCTGCAGATACACTAGTTGGAGACAAAACTAGGATTTACTTGATGGAGTGATCCCAAATATGAAAAATGGATCATCTTATCCCACTACATGAATCTAATAATTAAGGCTCATGTATGATCCTCATGTCTCATTAACCCACCTCCACAGCTTGACCCTCAGCCATGGTCCTGCTGTCCCTGCAGTCTGGGAAACATTCCTGAGGACAGGGACCCTCTCCTCTCTTACTGGCAGGTGTCAGGTGAGTCTTCAGGCTGTTTCTGGACCTCTTCCTGGAGGAAATTCTCTTTACCTTCAGCTCCAACCTCCCAGTATTCATGACCGTCGGGGTTTAGATGTCAGCTTCATTTTACTGAGTCTGTGTGAAAATATCAGTTTACAGTCAATGTAGAGAGAGAGAACACAGAACATCATCAAACTGACACAGAGTGAACACTAACAGGCTATAATTAACACAGGAGTAGCTAATACACACTGTTAATACTTAAATATCCATGTTTGAAAGTCACTGATGAAGATTACAAACCTGTCCAAAGTGACTTACTTGATCATTCAGGTTAGCACCGCACTAGTCCCGACAGTTGTCCGTCTAATTCTTTCTTTAATGAGCTAATTTCTCACAAAAACACCAAATAATTCATCTTTAGAGTAGTACAGTCTGTTGACAAAATTAAAAGACAAAAATACACAAAAGCAGCTCTGTAAAAATCAGACTATTGTCGCTGTGAAGGTCTGAACAGTGAGGAGATTGTCCTATTTGAATGCTTCTTCTTCTTCTTTTAGTTTTCTGGCGGGTTGCAACCATAGCTTATTAAGTGCATACCGCCACCTACTGTACCGGAGTATGTAGCATGGGCTACTCGTTACTTTATGTCATTTCGGTAATAGAAAAAAAAATAAAAATAAAAACAATAATAATAATAATAATAATAATAATAATAATAATAATAATAATTAGAAAAAAAAAACGCCCCTTACCCAAAATTTTATAATACAATCTTGTCTCCTTCAGATAATCCACTATGGCTGTCTGTGTGTCCTGTACCCCTTCTCTTGCTGTTCCTAGAATACCCTCAAGGCTCCACACTCTACCTGCCTTAATTACTCTTTGTGTTAGTTCTGTTCTTTCTTCGCTATATTCCCGACAATGCATCAACACATGTTCCACATCTTCTGTTGTTTTGCACTCCGAACATTCATCTGAATTACTTACCCTATCACAAACATTGTTTTATTTAGACCTGTATGATCAAACCTTAATCTTGTTAATACAGTTTCTTCCATTCTATTGCCTCTATATACTCCTTGTGCTGTAATGGACTTCTGTACCCTGTAATATTTCCTTCCGTTGTTATCCCTGTCCCATCTATCTTGCCATTTCTTCATTGTTTCTTTTTTGAGTATTGCCTTAGTTTCTCCTTTACCAAATGGTATATCTATAATATTTGTCATTCTGGTTGCTTTTTTGGCCATTCTATCTGCTCCTTCATTGCCTTTTACACCCACATGGGCAGGTACCCAACAAAATTTCACTTCTATCCCAATCCTACATAATCTATACAAATTTTGCTGAATTTCCAGCATTAAGTCTTCCCTGACAGAAGTTGTAGTTTGTAAACTAAGAAGGACTGCCATTGAATCTACACAAAGTACTACCCTATCTGGTCTTACCTCCTCTACCCACTGTAGCCCCATGATGACTGCCATCATTTCTGCTGTATATACTGAGATCTTATCAGGTATCCTATTTCCAATATTAATGTTCATTGAGGGTATATGTATTCCTATGCCCACTCTCTCATTTTCATCCTTAGACCCATCTGAGTATATATCTAAATAATAATACTATTTATGCCTTATATATTGACTTGCTAGAATTCCTGTCTCACTCTCTTGCCATTCTTTCTTTAACTCTAAAATACTTAAATCTATTCCAGGTCTCGGGGAAAAAACAGGGAGCGACATTACTAATAGGCGTAGGGGTGCTGAACCGAATGTTTTCCATCCTATATTCGTGTGACTTAGCCTTTGTCATCCAAACAAATCCATTACCTTGAAATTTATTGTATTCCCAACATTCTTGAATAACACTCTTGGAAGGGTTTTCATTACCACACCCACGTACACGGCTCCAATATGTAAGCATAAGTTTATCTCTCCTTAGATCGAGTGGTGCTTCTCCTACTTCTACCTGTATTGCTTTTATTGGTGTCGACCTCATCGCCCCAGTGCATAACCTCAGTGCTTTATTTACCATACTATCTCCTATTTGAAGATGTCAACATGTCGGGAGGACGAGAGGAATCCGCAACACAGGCTGTGTCTCATTTCAGAGACCGCATCGGGATAAGCGCGCTTAGCTGAGCGCACTGCGTTTTGTGCAAGAGTACCCAACTGCAGCGCAAGATGGCGGACCCAAAAGATGAACTAACGCAATGAACTTCCGCAATGAACTTCCGCATTACCTCCGATTGGCGGACCCAAAACATGAACTTCCGCAATTACCTCTGATAGGCTTTGCGATGCCAGAACAGTAGGTGGCGGTATGCACCTAAACTTTCTGACGGCAAAATTTACAGAAGAAGAAGAACTCTCAGGAAGTTTGAAAAGAAGCAAGCCGTCCGCATTCATTCAATCTCACCTCCGACCCACTCAAACTAACCCTAACCCTGCATTCCATTGTTTCCATCATGGGAAATCTAAGTGACGCTCTCAAATTAACAGGAACATTGCGCAGAAGATATGTCCTGGGCAATGGACTGAGAAAACGGGCAGAGATTTAGAGGTATTTGTGCATGCTCTATATTACAGTTGAAAAGTGTATAACAGCTTTCCAATGCTGTTACTTGTGGCGAACACCTTTTTGCTTGAGTTGATGTGTGCCCGCAGGTGGAATAATGTCACATGTCACACCGTCCATATTTTCTGTTGTTTTGATTTATTTACTCATTCATCATTTTATGTAAGACAAAGACACAAGACCACTTCACACGGCCAAAAAACTGTTCGGCTTCCCAGGTGTGCGCACCTGTCCAAATCAACCCACCCATTAAATAGACAGGCACAATAGCACCATCTGCTGGCACAAAAAATACATAACAATAAACTGCAAAACCCCAATCTGGCTCCTGCAAAGTGTATGTGACAAGATGATTAACGTTTGCTTTTGTTAAATCAGGGCTTCCCCAGCCAGGACTTCGGCTCAGACTGTGGCATATTCATGTTGGTGGTAGGTCATAACGAGCTGTAATGCACAAATATTGTATCTAGAATAACTTTCCAACATGGACTTTTTTAAAGTTATCTCACATGTTGTCTCATAATTTTTTTTTTAAAGTCTGCCATGTACATCGTTATGGAGTCACAGTTTGACTACTCAGTTGTAAGTACTTTTCAACACGCAGTGTCATCCTCAAGGTTGTATTTTGTATTGTGCACTAAAATGAAATACAAACAACAATTTCAGCATGACATGCCTGTTTTGCGGCGATGGTTGTGCCTGTTGCTCCTGGAGAACAATTCTTTGAACAGGTAGACAGTTTAAGTAAACTAGATGCCCTAATTAACTGGAAGACAATCAATATATTGTACTTAAAGATATATTGTCATTACAGTTGTGGGAAAATCTTCGCCCACTGGACCAAAGAATGTCAAGAGCTCATTGCTGGAAAGCATACTCCGGTCTTTAGTCTAAAGAGGAAGGCAGAGCAGCAGGACATAGAGGTTAAAAAATTGCCTTCTTAAAACAGTATTATCTCAGTGGGAGTCCTTCAAAATGCACACAGTTGTATGGATCAACATTGTCTCGATGTATTTGGTAATTGATGTTACTTTTCAAATTAACTTGTCAAGGAAACCATGACGCAGACGGCATCGGATGTCCAAAGAATGTGCATGGCAGATTCAATGCAATTCTGTGTCTACCAGACATCGAACAACACAGGAGAGAGGTGTGTTGCAGACTCAATTTAATAAATGCAATTATCGGGGCTTATTCAGTGATTTTCCATGAAGTGACCACTTTTACATATAGTTTAAATGCACAAATCATGCAGGAAAATTATTTATACATTCAAATGTGCTGTAGAGGTATAATCAATTGGACAGCGTGTTTGTTTAATATTATGTTTGTCTCTCATTTGATCAGATTGCTTTACCCTGAGGTAAAATTGATAAAATGGGTCCAGTGCAAGACGTGCAGGGGCTGGCTGCATCAGGATTGTGCCGGGATTGACATGGAGCCGTTTGACTGCGGCTGCGAGGACTCCATTGAGCATCCTCGGTATAACATAATTTATCAAGGAAACATAGTATCAGTCAAAAATACGAGGCTCAAAGGATGAAAAAATGAGGGCTTGCTCTTTTTCTTATTTCTCTGCAGGATCAAGGATGCTGTTGACAGTTGAGGAATTCATGCTGTCTTTTCTAAGACACAGATCAAGGTTGCTTTTGAATGCACTATCAGTTGTTAAAGCCACCGTTTCTTTTTCAGATGATTACATTTTTGTCTCTTGCTCTTTGGTTTCAGACATTACACGATGATCTACTCTCTGAAAAGATCCGCTCCAACAGGATGTTTCTTTGGAGGAATCCCGCCACCTCACTCCGGCTAAAGTAGCAACTAAAGATAAGGTCATTAAGTTGGAGTGAGCAGCGCGTAAGTAAAAATGCCATCCATCATGAGTATTTTTACTCTCAGAGGTGTTACATTTGAAAGCTGTTTACTTTCTGTGTTTTTCTTCAATAGATGTTCGAGCTCCTGCGGTTTATTGAGGAGGCAACAACCATATCGGAAAAAATCAAAAGAGGCGAGATTCACCTGCTTGATTTTGTCTTTGATGTCATGCTCCCAGAGGTGAGTAGATCAAACTATATAGCTTGCTTTGAAAATTGATGATATTGTTAAGAGGTTGTTCTTATTCATTTGGAAAGCTCAAGAACAACAATTAACCCATACTGCATAACTTCAATTGTTCACATTATTTGACTGTTTTTCAGCTTTTGATCAAAGCACTTCAGGAGCATGGCATCACCCGGTTAAGAGCAGAGCAGATGATGGCCTGTGGCAACATATTTTAAGCCCCCCACCACACCGACGGCAACGCTCTAAATTATGTATGTATTATATATTTTTTTACTTTTCACAATTTATTTTTTGGAAAATATTAAAGAAATCTTTGAAGCAGTTGTATGACAATTTCCCATTTCTTTACACAGTCTGTAATGATATCGCAATTCAATTGTTTTTGCTATATGGCTCTTCTGAACCTTAAACAGATCATGTGACTTGTGTCTCTACAATTATTGTATACTTAGATTTTGCACAGTCAAGCAATCCTGAAGAGGTTCACCAGGAAGCACACCATGTCATAAATTATGTCCCTGGTTACACAATGTTACTAAAGGATGGGGGGAAAAATATGTGCAGCAACATAAGCACTCTCATAAAACATAATTATGAACAACAGAAAATATGTGAGGGTCAGGGCAACATTGTTGACATTAAACGAGGTCCTAATAGATTCACAGTGGAGGATACATCACACACACACACCTGCTAATAGGAGAAACAAGGTCACAGAGAAGTTAAGAAACATTCATGTGCTGTGTAATAAAGCTATTGGAGAGAGAAGTTAGAAAACACTCTTATATGATGTGTAACAAGAGGTTAAAACAGTCCATACTTGTAGCAAACTCTTACATAAGAATTTGAGTAAGATGATAACTTCTACATACATTTATACCTATTCTGACAAATTATCAGAATATGAGGACATCAGTCTATATATACATATTACTGTAAACTTCAGAATTAAATCAGAACAAAACAGTAGTCATAATTAATACATAAACGTTTTATTTTGATTTTTAGCTCAATAATAAATTCAATTCGATTCTTATGGAATGAACGGAGCGAAAAAAAAAAAAAAAAGCTTCCAGCGACTAAATCCGACTACCGGAAGTCCCTTCTGACAAAAAAAATCGATCATTGGAATAACCTTCCCACATGTTGTTTCTTTATTTAGCTGGACGAATTAATTCCGTTAGAAACGTACCGCATGGATGTGACCAAAAAACAAACTTTTGGCGAAATATTTCGGCGCCGGAAGTCCGCCAACGAGAAAGCCCATCCACCGGAAGGTAATCCTTTTGGGTCCGCCAATCGGAGGTAATGCAGAAGTTCATTGCGGAAGTTCATTGCGGAAATTCATTGCGGAAATTCATCTTTTGGGTCCGCCATCTTGCGCTGCAGTTGGGTCCCTCTCGTTTTGTGCCGTTATGTGCCGTTATGTACCCTTCCTGTGTCCCATTTCAGATACACAACCGTCGAACGGCGCATTTGAAGCGTGCGTGAGGTCATCAGCGGCACGAACGGTGTCCCGTTTGGCACAAAATGCTAAGCGCGCTTCAAATTCGGTCTCAAAACCACACTGCCCCCCGCCTCTTTTTCAAGCGTGCATTTATGCACGCTTTCGTGCCGTTGGTATCCCAGAATTCTTTGCGTGCCGCTGCACAGCTGCGCATTTCAAGTGAGAGGCTGGACTCGCTTGGAGACACAGTGCGTCTATAAAGAAAATGCAAGAAATCCAAAAACAGCAGACAGTCATCTCAGGCTGTATGAGAGCATGATCTCTGAACTCACTAAAATCTGTAAACCAAACATTATAGATTTAGAGACAACTGATCCGCTCTGCTACAACAATCAAAAACATTAGAAATAAGAAAGCTGACAAAACTACAGCAAAGGATCAGGACAACATTGAGTTTTTTTTCTTTTAAGATTTAGAGATTAAAGTTGTAAATTTAGGAGAATAAATTCATAAAGTATACAACGTCATAAAGCTGCTTTTGTGGAGGGGGAAATGAGTGAAGCTGGTCATCTGCAGGGTTATCTGTGGATCAGTGGAGGGGAAGCTCAAGGAGGGGAAGCTCATTTTTCTGGCCTACATCATAATTGTGTTTGTTTATTTGTATGTAACAGAACAGAGTCGCCAAACACAACGGCAGTCGTTTTTAACAAAGACAAATGTCGCTGAGGATCGGTAAAGTCTCCGGAGCAGTTAAGACCAACGAAATGAATAACTTGGAAAATGCTCTGGTAGATGTTTTATTCTTCAAGATCGCTGATTCGCTTGTTTAGCTGTCAATCAAAAAAAGGTTTCGCCTCAGACAGCTCATCCAATCATGGATGCAGAAGCTCAGCGTCCGCGAGAAAGTTGTGACTGCCCTCTCGTCATAGAACTCCAGAGACGCTGAGCGTCCGATGGGCGGGACAAAGCCCAGCATTTATCCAATGAGCGTCTAGTTTTGCTGCTGGAACAACCCACTTTGAGCTTCCACATTGAAGTCAGCAGACACTGAGCGTCCGGCTGTGTAAAGCTGCGAGGATGAATGAGAACGAAGTTGTGCTGGTTACCTGTGATTATCAGCTTCTTATCACAGTGTGATAAGAAGCTGATTCTGAACAAAAGATGAAGGCTTTCTAGCGCGTATTTAGTTAATGAAATGTACACACAGCAGTACGTATTTCACCACTTTTTCTTTTTTTTGGGGGGGTGACATTTTAAGGGAAGTCTACAACTGCAGAGACACTAACACCTTATTATGGTATATGGATTCATATCATAAACTAAAGCTCAATGCCATTCACGGATATTTATGGCTGCATAAACGGATATATCCTCAGCATATTCATTTCTGCCTCCACAAAAGCAGCGATTTCCTTCAAGTACACCAGTTTTTTTCCCTGTGGAAAAGACGTATTTCTCATATATTCTTTTTTTTAAGTCTTTATACTTATGACAATGTGATGCTGATGTGCCAGAGTATGAAGTATCTCCTTGTTTGTGAAACCTATACTGAAGCACAGTTCCTTTAAATGCTTCATGGCCCTAATTTTAACAAGTCTCCTCTGAAATAACAGGTTACGACTTTATTCTCGTAAATTCACAACTTAAATCTCGAAGTCTTTAAAAAAAATTCTCAATATGGCCCTCACACTCCTTCATACATATATCATATATATGTATAATATATGTATATATATATATATATATATATATATATATATATATATATAAATAAATAAATATATATATATATAAATAAATAAATATATATATATATTATATATATTATATATATATATAACATATATACTTATATACAGTCTATGAATGGGACACAGCCACAGCCTGAGTCAGTGAGGGGGTGGTTTGGAATTGGGCCTTTATACAGTCTATGTTTGGGTTACATTTGAACTTCCCCGACGAAATATTCAACCTCCGCTCCGAAAATAAAACCTTTAAAACTCTGTAAGGTTAAATAAAAAACATAAAGCACTTATTTTTATTTTTATTTGTTTTAAAAGTGACATGTAATGAGTATTTTTTCTCCCCTTTCCAAAATAATCGTATGAAAACTGGACGGAACTAATTGTTGGATATTAAGTTGAAGCGTCGGATGTCCTTGTCCACAACATCCGGTCCTCTGTCAGGTCAAAATGCTCTCACTGAGGGGGTTACAGCGGCTAAAATCTGTTCTAACTCCGCACCGAAACACGAGTAAGAGCTTTAGATTATTTAATTTTTCTTTTTGTTGTTTTTAATCTCTGCAATGAGCTCCAACTTTAACCCGGAGTGTTATTTAAGGTAAAGCTGCTAATGCTAAGGTTAGCCTCTGATCGTGTGTGTGTGTGTGTGTGTGTCCCTGTGTCAGGTCTCCGGAGTCTTACAGTTTCCTCCAGTTTAGTCCAAAACAAAGATAATATGGTAGGTGACTGTGTCAGCTGAATGCAGTTAAATATATTTGTGATAATGTGTGATTAGTTATGTTAATGTTGTTTCTCGTTAGCTCGTTCAGATGGAAAACCCGTACAAAGAACCACAGACAGGATGTGTCCTCTGTCACGTGACAGTGGACTACAAAAATATACAGGTGAGTTTTTAAAACACCTGAGGGTTTAATCCGTTCACCTCTCACCAGGTAAAGAACTGAGGTGATCCAGAGAGGAAGTTTATACAAGTCACAGAAAAATAAAAGTGTGTTAAAGAAACTTTAAAGTGTTTTCATAAAAAAAAAATTCTTTTTAAATTAGATTCCGGTTTCACATAAACAAACAATCTGCAGCTGTCATCCTTGTTTTTATGAAGTCTGACCCTCCTGTTTTCCAGCTGCTGTCTCAGTTCATCTCTCCTCACACGGGCAGGATTTACGGACGACACATCACAGGTGAGCAGCTGAACCTGAACCAATCATATTCATCTCTTAAAGGGATATTCCGGCTTAAAATTAAGTTAGGGTCAAACACACTGTTACACCAAGTTAGACACCCCCTCCAGAGATGAATGTTGCTGACCGCTTGCTTCTCTAGTTATGCCAACTTGAGTAACGACTGCAGGATAGCAATACAGCAGCCTGAGGAGCCATAAACAAACCTCAACCAAAATGCCTCTCTATAGCCACAAATAATGCTCAGAACAGCGCCTAACTTCATCAACAGTACATATAGGGTCCCAGCCATAGTACTAGCCACCAAACATCTTTTTAACTTTGACTAATTTCTTTAGCAAAGAGACTAAACACAACTCACCTACTCTCTTCCAGCAGCCGCTTGTTTGTAGCTAGACCTCGGGGTGCTACGGACTACAGCGGGGTGACGCAGCTCAAGGAAGAACATTTAGATATGCTCTTAAAGTTTTTATAACAATTTTATAAGCCCCCCCCACTTATTCCCGGGGGGCTGGACCCTATCCCAGCATCTTCGAGCAAAGGTAGGGGACACCCTGGACAAGTCGCCAGTTCATTGCAGGGCTGACATATAGAGACGAACAACCATCCATACCTATGGGCAATTTGAAAGTGGCCAATTAACTTAACCCCATTTAGGCATGTAGGAAACCGGAGTGCCCGGGGTAACCCACGCAGACACAGGGAGAACATGCAAACTCCCCACAGAAACGCCCTGAGCCGGATTCGAACCCAGGACCTTCTTGCTGTGAGGCGACAGTGCTAACCACTACACCACTGTCCTGTTTTTGAATATTCTGTTTAAAATCTTAATAACCTTTTTAGTCTTTAAATATGAATTGTAACACTTTTATAACCCATTTATTTTTTGAATGTGCTCTTAAAACTTAAATTCAGTTTTTCACTTTAAAAACTATTTCAGTTTTTTAAATAAACTTTTTAAAACCTTAAACTTTTTAGTTTTTAAATATGCTCTTAAAACTTAAACAACCATTGTAGTTTTTGAATATGAATTTTAACACTTTTTATAACCCGTTAGTTTTTAAATATGCCCTTAAAACTTTCTAAAATCATTTCTTGATCATTTCCTTGAAGTAATAATCATCATACTAATCCTTTTGCACTGCTGACCTGGTAGTTCTTCTGCCTTAGTGTCTCGGTCTGATTGTATTTCCATGAAAAAATGATCATAAGTGTTCTTCCTTGAGCTGCGTCACCCCGCTGTAGTCCGTAATGGACTGGCCTGAGGTCTCACTACAAACAAGCGGCTGCTGGAAGAGAGTAGGTGAGTTGTGTTTAGTCTCTTTGGTCGGCAACATTCATCTCTGGAGGGGGTGTCTAACTCGGTGTTACGGTGTCTTTGACCCTAAATTAATTTTACGCTGTAATATCCCTTTAAAAGTCCTCCCTTTGTCTGATTTTGTCCCTCGGTTTTGTCTGACAGGCTTGTGTGGCAGGAAACAAAAGGAGGTCTCTAAAGCGATAAAGAAGGCTCAGGCCATGGGTGAGAGTTCGTTCATGTTTTCATCATTTAAAGATGTTTTAACTCAAACTCTGATGTTTCCTTTTCTCTGTTCAGGCTTCATGCCGGTGACCCACAAACATCCTCAGTTTATGAGGGACCCAAACATCTGCAGCATCAAACATCTGAATTAGATCATGTATGGGTCTGTGTGAAATATTTGTGTATTAAACTCTGAAACCTCTGAGTCTGTTTAATGTGGTTTTCTCCTCCTGGAGGTCTACACACCTTTAAAACAAGAGGACTGAATAAAGGCAGTTATTACAAAGCTGGAGTTAATCAGTAATATAGAGAAATCTGTGGTGCAGTTTCATCATTTCTTTTTTTAACCTGTAAATTATCCTACCAAAAATAAAAAGTTGAAAATTTTCAGCTTTTCATAAGTTAAAAAAGTTTTTATCGGGTAAACATACAGTCTAAAAATAACTAAAACTTTAAACCATCCAACCACAATATGTTATGTTACAGCCTTTTTCCAAAATGGATTAAATCCTTTTTTCCCCCTCAAAAATACTACACAAAATACCCCATAATGACAAAGTGAAAAACTTTTTTTTTAGAACATTTTGCATATTTAGTAAAAATAAGACACTCAAATGTTGCATATACATAGGTATTCACACCCTTTGCTATAAAACTCAAAATTGAGCTCAGGTGCATCCTGTTTCCACTGATCAGCCTTGAAATGTTCCTCCAACTTGATAGCAGTCCACCTGTGGCAAATTCAGCTGATTGGACATGATTTGGAAAGCCACACCTGTCTATATAAGATCCCACAGCTGACAGAGCACGTCAGAGCACAAACCAAGCCATGAAGTCGAAAGAATTGTCTGTAGACCTCCGAAACAGGGTTGTATCGGCGCACAGATCTGGGAAAGGTTACAGAAAAATATCTGCTGCATTGAAGATCCCAAAAAGCACAGTGGTCTCCATCATTAAGAAATGGAAGACGTTTGGAACCACCAGGACTCTTCCTAGAGCTGGCCGCCCAGCCAAAATGAGCAAGCGGGGGAGAAGGGCCTTGGTCAGGGAGGTGACCAAGAACATGATGGTCACTCTGACAGAGCTCCAGCGTTCCTCTGAGGAGATGGGAGAACCCTACAGAAGGACCACCATCTATGCAGCACTCCACCAGTCAGGCATTTATGGTAAAGTGGCCAGACAGAAGCCACCCCCAGTAAAAAGCACATGACAGCCCGCTTGGACTTTGCTCGAAGGCACCTGAGGGACTCACAGACCAGGAGAAACAAAATTTTCTGGTCTGATGAAACGAAGATCGAACTCTTTGGCCTGAATGCCAAGCGTCATGTCTGGAGGAAACCAGGCACCGCTCACCACCTCGCCAATACCATCCCTACAGTGAAGCATGGTGGTGGCAGCATCATGCTGTGGGGATGTTTTTCAGCGGCAGGGACTGGGAGACTTGTCAGGATCGAGGGTAAAATGAATGCAGCTAAGTACATCAAAATTCTTGATGAAAACCTGCTCCAGAGCGCTCGAGACCTTCGACTAGGGTGATGCTTCATCTTCCAGCATGACAATGACCCTAAGCACACGGCCAAGAAGACAAAGGAGTGGCTTCAGGACAAGTCTCTGAATGTCCCTGAGTGGCCCAGCCAGAGCCCAGACTTGAACCCAATTGAACATCTTTGGAAAGACCTGAAAGTAGCTGTGCACCGACGCTGCCCATCCAACCTCACTGAGCTTGAGAGGATGTGCAAGGAAGAATGGGGAAAAACTCCCCAAATCCAGGCGTGCCAAGCTTGTTACATCATACACAAGAATACTGGAGGCTGTAATCGCTGCCAAAGGTGCTTTGACCAAGTATTGAGTAAAGGGTGTGAATACTTATGTATATGCAACATTTGAGTGTTCTTATTTTTAATAAATTTGCAAAATGTTCTAAAAAAAGTTTTTCACTTCGTCATAATGGGGCATTTTGTGTAGAATTTTTGAGGGAAAAGGGAATTTAATCCATTTTCGAATAAGGCTGTAACATAACAAAATGTGGAAAAGTGAAGTGGTATGAATACTTTCCGGATGCACTGTGTGTATATATATATATATATATATATATATATATATATAAACTAAGACTCCATCAAGACAGTTCAACTGTAATGCTGCAATTCTGACAGGGAGAGTTAAAAATCTGATACAAAACCTGAAATATTTAGATATAATCCCAATTTAGAGACAAAATGTCCAGCATTAAGAGATAAAAACCTAAACAGCTTTAGATGTTGTCATTTTTTGAAAAGTCAAAACAAAGAAGAAGTCAAACTTTTCAAATGAGCTTTATATAGAATAAAAAAAGTCTGAATTGAGAGATAAGAAGTTGACTGAATTCAATGAAAGATTAAAGTTGGATGATAAACTGTGAAATTATATGACGGAAAAGCCCAAATAATCAGAGATGTTTGTGAAATAAAAAGTCAGAATGAGAATTTAATACCAGGGCCCGATTGATATGGATTTTTTGGGGGCCGATGCGGATACCGATTATTAGGGAGGAAAAAAATCAGATTACCAATTAATCAGCCGATTTTCAAATTTTTTTTTAATGAAGTTTTAAAATTTTGTTAATTTAAGTAATATATCAACATATTTACTTTTTTTTAAACAAATGGCTGCCTTTGAGCCTTTCAAACACTTCTCAGTAACATTAACCTCAGTAATATTCCACGTATTTATCATGAATCAAACTTGGACCAGAAAAGCGTTTTCAACTACACCCTCCTCCCTGCGTCCCTGAGCTACCTTATCCATCTACAGGACAAGTTGGGGAACTTTTCAAAAGGCGGAACATTTTCGAAGTGAAACTGAATCTTATTCTCTGCATTTTATTTCTGAAAATATCGGCGAAAATCGGCGAGTTATGGCTGATTACCGATTAGTCTCAAACGGGCTAAAAATGGCCGATATACCGTATTTTCCAGACTATAAGTCGCTCCGGAGTACAAGTCGCACCAGCCATAAAATGCATAATAAAGAAGGAAAAAACATATATAAGTCGCACTGGAGTATAAGTCGCATTTTTGGGGGAAATTTATTTGATAAAATCCAACATCAAGAACAGACATGTCATTTAAAATTTAAATGACGAACAATTTAAAATAAAAATAGAATAGAGGCAACAACAGGCTGAACGGTATGCTTACGTTACATGACACAACTGAGAACGTGCCTGGTATGTTAACATAACATATTAAGAGTTATTCCGATAACTATAGCATAAATAACATGCTAAGAAGTTTACCAAAACCATCCGTGTCACTCCAAATACCGGTAACTAAAATCCAATGAAATCTTCATCCTCGGTGTCACTTTTCATCAACTCCGCTAACTCCGGAGGTAGAAGATGCAGCGCTTCCTCTTCTACGTCGCTTACGTCAGACTCATCGCTTACTCAGGCCTAGAGCGCCCTCTTGCGGTTTAGTGTGAAAATAACATGTGAAATGATATACCGGGAATAATGTGTTAATAATTTCACACAAAAGTCGCTCCAGAGTATAAGGCGCACCCCCGGCCAAACTATGAAAAAAAACACGACTTATAGTCCGGAAAATACAGTAATCAGCTCGCCGATAAATCAGTCGGGCCCTATTATTTTCTCATGAGTGGCTCTTACATAAACTCATTCAGCTGTTGTGAGTTCAGAGTAAAGAAGAAATCACATTAACAGCCTCTTAGTTTCAAACCTCATTATCCATGCAGTGATTGGATTGGGCGGGGCTGCAGTGAAGTTATCAGCACAAACATGTTAAAAAGTGACCACTCCTCAGACTCCAATAAACCACAGTCTGTTTGCAAAGAAGACTTTTATTCTTTTATTTTATTCTATATTTACACTAATAAAATATAAAACTGTCAGTTTTCATGTGAACCTGCTCTGGATCAAAATTGATCATCCTCTTATGAATGTCACTGAAAATACTCACAGCAGCATCGACTGACAGTGAAGGTGAATGACAAAAAAACCATGAAAAGAGACTGTGTTTACACTAACCTCCACAGTCGTCATGGTAACATAACAAAAAGACTGATATCAGACTGTATCAAAATGACTTATCTAGCCTCGGTCGTCCATAACACTGAGGGATCCTGTCAGGACCTGCTCTTCCGGCGTTTCCTCTCCCTCCCCAGCAGCGGTTCTCTCGGCCTCTTCATGCCATTCTTCACGCCGTTCTTCCTACCGGTCTGCAGCGGCGGCACTGAAAGCGTTTCCTGACTGTTTCTCTCGAAGCTGTCCAGGTTTTCCTGCTCAGGGCTGCAGCAGACTTCAGGAACAGGAAACCCGTCCAGGGTTAAAGTCTGAGAGAGAAACAGAGGAGAGCTGGAGAACAGAGCTCGGACCACCTCCTTGAGCCTCAGGTTCTTCTTCTGCTTGGCCGGATCATCCACTGGTTCTGCTGAGGGACAGAAAACTGGATCATAACAAAGACCTCGATCCTGGTGACTTAGCAGCTGCTTGTATCCCTGCTACACTCACAGCTGCTGTGACCAGAGTCTGACCTTTAACAGACTCGGAGCAGACCGCACGACCGGTTCAGAAAAATAAACTCTTCAGCTTCCTAATCCTCTCTGAGCCATCAGCAGACAAACAGTCCCAACACCAACTGGGCCCTGAGGAGTTATTTTAGTGCTGCTGTGATCATTTATGGATCTAAAGACCTGAATATTTGACTTATGGTAGGGCTGAGCAATACGAGAAAAAGTTTATCATGATATATTATTTTCATACCAGTCGATATCGATATATATCAAGATATAAAAAATAAAATTTAACAGTGTTTATTGGTCGCATGTCTTTTCCAATACAATAATCTACTGCATCTGTGAGGTCTTTGTGTCTCTTTGACATTTGTCGTAAGGCATTGCTCTAGAGAAAGCGGACTGAATGGTCGTCTGTTTCGGCTGTACAGGCGCCATGGGCTCCTTGCTCCTCTCGGGGTTTGTAACCTTTTGCGTTGCACGTGCTCTGTGGCGTGGCGCTGCTTCAGGTGGTAAAAAAGTTTTGAGGTACTCCCCGACTTTGTGAGAACATGTACTGGACATAATTTTCAGTACCTCATAAAACCAAAATACCTCCACACCACCGACGTTTTCGTGCCAGTGTTGTTGACAATGTCATCATCTGTTGAGCCTTCATGGTCATTTCTGTCGGGGGTAGCACTCATTTTCTTTTTTTCTCACCAACAGTGCTGTCGGCTTCACCTGTTAAAGCGCTATGGTTGGGTGTAGCTGCTGTCAGCTATGACGCAGTTGTTTGATACCTGGTTCTAATTCAGAACATGATTGGTTCAGGACGAAATGGACCCGGAGCAACTCCCCTTTGCATTGGCTATTTGTTAGGGGTGGGAGGAAAAATCGATTTACATCGATTTACGTATTGTGATCTTTTTGTTTTACAATTTTTAAATCCATTTCTATGTTCAAAAATATATATTTTTTCAAATTTAAGAATAAATCTTAAAAACTGACTTACATGTGTTGTGTATTTTTTGGGGAAATATTGTTCCCGGAATAATCAGTTGACAATCATAATCATTCGACTGTTCACTGGTGTTAAAAATGCAAACTTAAGATCGAGAAACTCAACAATATCGTAGAATCGAAATTTAAATCGAACGGGCATCCAAAAAATCGTAGAGGAATCGAATCGGGAGAAAACATATCGTCCCAGCCCTTTGTATAGTCTACCAAAACATGTCAGAATGGAGACTATTGAAAAGCATATTGACCATGAAATTAATTTTTGATATATATACACTGTGTGCACAATTATTAGGCAAGTGAGTATTTTAATCATATCATAATTTTTATGCATATTTTCCAACTCCAAGCTGTATAAACTTGATGCTTATTGGATATAAGCATATCAGGTAATGTGTATTAGTGTAATGAGGGAGGCTGGGGCCTAAGGAGATCAAAACCCTATATCAAGGTGTGCATAATTATTAGGCCGCTTCTTTTCCTCAGGGAAAATGGGCCAAAAAAGAGATTTAAGTGACTCTGAAAAGTCAAAAATTGTAAAAAGTCTTTCAGAGAGATGCAGCACTCTTGAAATTGCTTAGATATTTGGGCGTGATCACAGAACCAGCAAACATTTTGATGCAAATAGTCAACAGGGTCACAAGAAATGTGTTAAGAAAAAATTACGCAAATTTACTGCCAAAGATTTGAGAGGACACAAACGTAAAGCTACCAGGAACCGCTTATCCTCCGGTGCCATCATATTCCAGAACTGCAACCTACCTGGAGTGCCCAGAAGTACAAGGTGTTCAGTGCTCAGAGACATGGCCAAGGTAAGGAAGGCTGAAACCCGACCACCACTGAACAAGACACAAGTTGAAGCGTCAAGACTGGGCCAAGAAATATCTGAAGAGAGATTCTTCAAAGGTTTTATGGACTGATGGGATGAGAGTGACTCTTGACGGACCAGATGGATGGACCCGTGGCTGGATCAGTAATGGGCACAGAGCTCCACTTCGAATCAGACACCAGCAAGGTGGAGGCGGGGTACTGGTATGGGCTGGTATTATTAAAGATGAGCTAGCTGGACCTTTTTGAGTTGAAGATGGACTTAAAATCAACTCCCAAATCCAATGCCAGTTTTGAGAAGACACTTTCTTCAAGCAGTGGTACAGGCAAAAGTCTGCATCTTTCAAGAAAACCATGATTTTTATGCAGGACAATGCTCCATTGCACGCAACAAAGTACTCCACAATGTGGCTTGCCAGTAAAGGCCTTAAAAACGAAAGAATAATGACGTGGCCTCCTTCTTCACCTGACCTAAACCCTGTTGAGAACTTGTGAGCCCTTCTTGAACGGGAAATTTACAGTGAAGGAAGACAGTACACCTCTCTGAACAGTGTCTGGGAGGCTTTGGTTGCTGCAACACTAAAAGTTGATGGTCAACAGATCAAGAAACTGAAAGACTCCATGAATGGAAGGCTTATGACTGTTATTGAAAAGAAGGGTAGTTACATTGGTCACTGATTTTTTTTTTTTTATTTCAACAATTTTTATTTGTAAATTGAGTTGTTTGTTTATCATTCTCACTTTAACAAGTGAAAATAAACAAGTGAGATGGAAAATTTTTCATTTTTAATTTAGTTGCATAATAATTCTGCACACTATAGCTGCCCCCAATAATTGTGCACACATAGATATTCTCCTAAGGAAGCCAAAATCTCACTTTTACTCCCTTAAATATTAAGGTTTGAGGTTTATTAACATTTTGGATTGACCGAGAGCACTGCAGTTGTTCAAAAATAAAATTTATCCTCAAAAATACAACTTGCCTAATAATTGTGCACACAGTGTATGTCAATATTGTTTTATCGCCCAGCCCTACGTGATGGTGACACAACCAGAATAAAAAACACCTTTAAACCTGAGTCTACCGCAAGTTCAGAGGTTAGAGCGTGGATCCATGATACAGTAAGAGCTGTAACCCTGATCCATGTTCTCTGTCGTACACTCACCATCTTTAATGAAGCCCATCTCTTACACACACACACACACACACACACACACACACACACACACACACACACACACACACACACACACATTTAAAGACCTCATTGTTGAACCCTGACCTGTCTCTGCTCCGCTCCTCCTCTTCTCCTTCAGTTTCCTCCTCAGAGCTGAAACCTCGGCCTGCAGAGTTTTCACCAGCCGCTCGCTCTCCTCCACCTCGCCGCACGCTCTCTGTCAAACAGACCCAGATACAGAGTGTGTGTGTGTGTGTGTGTGTGTGGAGGTTATAAATCACAGTCTTTACACACAGCTCCTCCTCACCTGCAGCTCCTCCTGCAGAGACTCGTTCATGTTGTTCACCTCGCTGACGTCTCTGAGCTGACCGTCAGGCGAGAAGAACTTTGACCTGAAACAGGAGAGACAAGGATAGAGTCGGACCAGCGGAGACGCAGCGTTGTAAACCTCCTCCTCCTCCTCAGAGTGCGTGTGATGTTACCTGTGTTTCTTCATTGTCAGGTTATAACCCTCTGCAGAACACGGAGCAGATACCTTCCAGTACGCCAGCTGCTCCAGTAATCCCAGATTATTGACCAGAACTGGAACGTTGAGGAACCGCCTTCACAGAAAACAGACTCGATTTAAATCACAATATTAGACATAAATTTAGCTGATTTCTACAGGGTTAAAAAAACTCCTGTGATGATGACGATGATGTTGAATGAACCTGCTGCGTGAGATGAAGGCGGCATACTCTGTCCTGTATGTGGACCCCGTGGAGGACATCTTCCCGGGTGTCAGCAGCACAAAGATCATGTGTGGGTTGGACAGAGATGTCTTCAGCTTCTCATGGATGATCCTCTCTCTGAACGTCATCTGTTGGTCCGTGTTTCTGCGCTGTCGGTACCAGCCGATCACGCTCGCCTGAAAGACGTCAACACATGTCACCTCAGACCCAAACAGAAATCATCTGAAGGTGTTCATGTTTTACCTGCTTACTGTCCGCTAGGATCTGCTTCACAGCCTCCAGGTCCACCTCCCCGACACTGTTATAGACGCTGAAGACACACAGATCAGCATAAAAAAACTGTTCCAGTACAACACGGATAAAAACAGCTGTGACGGAGGTCAGATGTTGTATATTTACAATAGTGTCTGTGCAGGACTCACTGGCTTAGCTTTGGACAGGAGACGTGTTTCTGGATGTCTGAGTACAAAGTCAATAAATCAGATTATAATACGTGTAATCAGGATGGGTTTAACATTGATAGCACTATAATAATGGTTGATGACACTTTCATGGTTAATAACACTATAATAATAATGATTGTGTTATAATGATTGCTGTAAAACAGTGTTATAATGATTAATAACACAATAATAATGATGATTGTTACCATGTTATAATGATTAATAACACTATAATAATCATTATAACAGTGTTATAATAGTTCTAAAAGTGTTATAATGATAAATAACACAAAAAAATGATGGAAACAGTGTTAAAATGGTTAATAACACTATAATAATGATTATAACAGTGTTTAAATGGTTAATAACACTATATTAATGATTATCACAGAGGTATAATAGTTAATAACACTATAATAATGATTATAACAGTGTTATAATGATTAGTAACACTATAATAATGATTTTTATAACTGTGTTATAATGACTTATAACCATAGACTGTATAAAGAAAGGACAGAGTGTGCCTCCGAGCTGGGTGAACCCACTCCGAGAACAGCACCCTCTGTTGATGGGCTGCAGTAGAGGTCATAAATCCCACCTCTGCCAGCAAAGTTTATGGGGCTGTGGACAAACTTTAGAAATTTATATTACGGTTATTACGGAATATTACACAGAAAATAAATTTTTCTCCCCCCTGCTTGTGATGTTGACATGTAGTTATTGTAAGACTGGTTTGTGCTCAAGTCCTCTTTTTTCTGTGAAGCTCCGTTTTTAAAAGTTATTAGGGGGTTCATGTTTTCTATGATTGACACCTGATACAGCCTATGGGCGTTCAGGGATTGCGTAGCTCACCCGGGGGGATACACTGTTTGAGCCAAGCGTCACCACAGTGACTCTCTGCGACTGCGCGGCCGAATGTGCGCATCGCTACTGTGCAGCGCTGGTTTCAGGAAATGAAGAAAAATCCCGGAAATATCGAGAGCTATTTGGCTTCAAATCCCTATACATGTGGTAGGCGGAACCAAGTTGTCCATACAGTCTATGTTTATAACACTTTAATAATGATTAATATCACTATAGTAGTAATTATAACAGTGTAATAATAATGACTATGAATCTAAGATAATGGTTAATAACACTGTAAAAAATAATGGTTTATAACACTGTAAAAATAATGGTGAATAAAACTGTAATAAACTCACTGTATGTTTCCTCAATGTGGATGTGATCGGCCTGAGAGTCACTGATGGTGATCTGCTCTTCAAATCTGCTCTCTCCAAGAACCAAACCCTCCTGTGACATGATGATATACAGATTAAACATCCAAACCTTATAAATTAAGATAATATTTCCTCTGTGCGTCAAAAAATTCATGAAATCAGCACACTGGCAGGAAAATAACCTTAAACTCTAGGAATTTTAAGGTTTTACATAATTTTTTGAGTAATTATTTGAAGAGCAGGATCTGTCAGTGTTTGATTTGATCTCTGGGTATAAAAAGATAAGTGTTAAATTAAATCATACAGACACAAGCCGCAAGATAAATGGAATATCTAAAAATGCAGTCATTTAACGAGGTATAAAATATACAGTATTAACTTGTAAGTACAGGTTTTCTTTTGGGAACAAGTTAAAACTTTGTGCATAATCTGTTGTCATGCGTGTAAATGTAATTATCTTGTGGGAACATTTACTGATAGTTACTGATAACTACCTTTGGTTCAAGGTGAATTACAGAGAAACTGGGCAAAATGCAAAAAGAAAAAAATGATGATGTGGAATTTAGTCTAAAGCGCCTAACAAAGACAAATTAAAGTTTATCATTTTTTATTATTATTCTATAACATTACTTATATGATATTACCAGGTTATGATGTGCATATTCTCCCTCTTTCTAACCCTTCTGGGACTTTTATAAAAAAAAAAAAAAAAAAAAAAGAAACAGCAAAATAACTGTTCATATATTTTCAGCTGTACTTCGGTTCTGTGTGCATTACATTAACATTTCTGCTATTTTAGTCTAATATTGTGGCCTATCTTTCCCAGTAAATCGACGGTGGGCAGTAACTGGGCGCCAGTTTTGTTTGTTGAAAATAAACTTATATTTCAGTCATTTACTAGATTTGAATAAATGCCGAATTTACAAGCAAATCTGTATTAGTTTAAAAAAGTTGTCAAATAAATCAAATACTCTTTGAATTTAAAAAAAAATAAAAAATAAATCAGCTGATAGATAAATATGTATTTTCTTTTCAACAGGCTCTGGCATGAAGAACGTTAATGCTTAGTTTGGTGTTAAAAAGTTGCACAAAAAAAAAACGTTTGCGTGCCTTTTTCACACTCTGCTCACAGTCATCTCAGCAACATCTAAAACTACAGAGGAAAAACATCACAATTAAACAGTTTAAAAACGAGTGATAAACTTAAAAGTTTGATAATATCGTCAGGGGCAGATTTTCTGGTGCTAGCTTTCCCTCCAAATTGAATCATTTAAGCTAACCGTCCAGGTCTGTCCTTTGATAAAATAAGAGTTTAATTAAAATATGACAATAAAGTCTTTCTCACCACGTCTGAGTCACTGTTAACATGATGGAACATTAATGAAGCTAACACAATCCCAGACATTCGCACCGTGGGCTCCGCCATGATGCTTGTTGACTGCACAGATCATAGATAACTATAAGAAACGCTAGATGACTCTATGAGGCAGAGTCACCGGCGTCCCTACACGGCGGCCATCTTACTCTAGTTCTGTTTATGCTCTATGGTAGCTGTCGGTAGGTGAGTAATCTGCATGATCCAAAATAACTCGCTGAAATCTTGACAGATTTACAAATGGTTTTGTTTATTACAGACCTTAATAACGTGGCTATGAGTCGGGATGTTTGGACATACTGAAATGGCAGATTTACTCTGAGAAAAAAAAAAGAATCATGAAGCACAGTTGTTTCACGGCTATTTGCCATAGACTGTATCTAGAATGGACGCCATCTGCCTCCTCGCTGGGTGAAGCCACTTCGAGAACAGCACCCTCTGGTGACGGGCTGCAGTATAGATCATAAATCCCGCCTCCTTATGGAGCTGTGGACAGACTTGATAAATTAATGACACAGAATATAAATGTTTCTCCCCCCGGTTGTGATTTTGACATGTAGTTACTGTCAGACTGGTTTGTGCTCAAGTCCTCTTTTTTTCTGTACAGCTCCATTTTTAAAAGTTATTAGGGGGTTCATGTTTTCTATGATTGACACCTGATACAGCCTATTGGCGTACAAAAATAGCTTACCCGGGGGACACACTGTTTGAGCTGAGCATCATCACAGCGACTCTCGGCAACTCTCCTGCCAAATGCGTACAACGCTACTGTGCAATGTTGGTTTCATTAAATGGAGAAAAACATGAAATTACCAAGAAGTTTTTAGCTTCTGTTAACTGACGGAGGGTGGAACGAAGTTGTCCATAGTATATACAGTCCATGTTATTCGCACTCAAGGGCTAACTTTAAGTCACATATAAAAATATTTATATATGTTGTTGTTATATGTAATTATAGTTATTCCTATAATAGAAATATTACTAATATAACAAACATGGAATGATTAAATGTTTTATATATAAATGATTTAATATAACTGCCTTGTGCGTGTAGGCTTATTGCTATTGCTCTACCGATGTGTTTGTTTATGAAAATCCATGGTTAAAATTATTCTTGAGTATGCAGGAACATAACTAAAACTCTGAGGTTTGGTACAAACCAAACCGTTTGAAAATCGGTTTAAATTTATCAATCTATGGTTATTTAAATGATACATGAACCGAAGACTGGAATGTTAGGAGTGGGCGAGGTGACTGTAGCAAGATGGCCGCCGTAGGCGAAAGTCGGTCTCCATTGGTTTACAGCGTGCGTAATCTAGCCTTTCCTGTGTATATCTATGGCACAGATCCTCAGAATATTGGTCAAAGCTGCGCAGCATTTGCGCAGTCGCCGCTGTCTGCGTTCGTCCAGCGCAGCCCGTTACCATGGAGTCACCGAGGGGGCGTGGGTTCCACAGCCCACTGAGCTGTCTCTCCGCTGGGAACACAGGATTCAGTTTCTTCGCTGTTACTGGACGTTTTCCACATCTGGGGGTCTCCCAGCGACTATCAGGTATAGATTTCCACAGAAATGTTCGTTTGAATGTTTGTTTGTGTTCATAATGTCAGTTTTCAGGTTAAACTGAGTTCAGCTACTTAAAACTGAGCGACTAACGGTACAGCTAGTACTTTCCTGGAGCTTGTTTACAGCAGCGGTGGTCGGTCTGTCGGTGATGGTAGACTCACCGCTGTGTAACCAGAGGAGGACTCTGTCTATCACTGTAGTAGAAGTAGTAATATAGTCTGGTAAATTTACTACTGCTGCTGCTGCACGTGTTAAAGGTCCTGCCGTCAAATTGAAATGCGGGGTCTCAGTATTATCGTGACATGATAATATGAGTGTTTAACCAGCACACTGTAATAAGGTCTCCTTTTCAAATATTTACTCATGATCATTCATATATGTGGTCACAAATGTAGGCATAGTGTGTGTTACTGTTATTATCGTGTAATTATCCCTTATTATGCTGAATTTCACGGATTTACACTGTTAGAGGAATAAAGTCAAAATGTTATGAAAGAAAAAGAGAACAGCAAGGGTTTTATTTAAGCCATGTGATTATCAGAAAAACTTGATTCTTGTAACCTCTTCATGCTCCTGACATAACCATAGTATAAAGACTCTATTCTCATGAAAAGATGACTTAGTCCTCATATTATCATGACCTAAATCCCCTAAAATAATAACTTACTCAAGACTTTATTCTCATAACACAACACTATACTCATCTTTATATAATTCAGATTTTTTTTCATCAGGATTTCATCCCATGGTGACTTTATTGTTATGACAAAATGACTGAGTTCTCATATTATCATGGCCTGAATTGTATAACATAATAACTCAACCAAGACTTCATTCTCATAAACTGACGGCTTTATATTCATAAAGACTTTATTCTTATAACACAACTTTCTACTCATGAAGACCTTATTTTCATATAATTAAGACTTTTTTAGCATCAGGATTTAATCTCACAGTGACTTTATTCTCATATCATGACTCTACCTTTGTGTAATCATGACTTTATTCTGTAAATCTCATGTAATTGTTAAAAAAACTTGATTCTTGTAACCTCTTTATGCTATAAACATAACCACTTTTTATTTCTCATAGTATTATGACTTTATTCTCATGACATAATGACTTGGTTCTCATATTATCATGACTTAAATCCCATAATATAATAACTCTTATGGCTCTATATTCATGAAGACTTTATTCTCAAAACACAACTTTATACTCATGAAGATCTTATTTTCATATAATTTGGATTTTTTTCTCATCAGGATTTAATCTCATGGTGTCTTTTTTCTCATATTATAACTCGGCTTTTGTGTAATCGTGACTTTAATCTGTAAATCTCATGTGACTCCTCTTTGAGATGGCTCTTATACAGTTTACTAAAACTCTAAAATACTCAGCTTCAGGAAAAGACCCTGATGGTGGGGCTCATGTTAGGTGGAGATGTAAGAGGAGTGGTCTACCCTGGTCTGTCCCTCAGTCTCCGATGTTCTGAAGTATTCGGGTATGAAGCCGCTCTGATGAGTCTGCGGCGCTCTGCTCTGACTCTGGTCATCTGTCGGGTTTGCAGATGATGACGTGACCTCCGAGCTGCAGATTTGTGGCTCTCTCAGCTGTCAGAGATGGAGGACGTGTGGTCTGTGGCTGCAGGTGTTTTCCAGGTGTGGATGTTTGTGGTGCTGTTTCTCATCATGCTGCCTGCCATGTTTGGCCTTTCCCTGGGGGTCACAGGAGTCTACATTCAGATCCTGGTCAAAATCCTGGAGGTAACTAACCCAGTCTTTTCCCTTTTTTCTGTTTGGGGTTTCTTCGTTTGTGTAGACACTCTGCTCTGCTCTGGTTTGGTTTCCTTCTTTGCTTCTTTCTTCATATTTGAGGTCAGTTAGGAAATGTGCAGCAGCGGGCATCATGTCAAAGGTCACCTTAAAATAACTGTCTTTGCAGTGGGCCACAGTACGGATCCAGAGAGGACAGCAGGAGCAGCCCAGTGTGCCCATCCCTCTGCCCAACGGTGAGTCCCATTAACAGAACAACAGAAACCATGAAACTGAACAGGACACACGCTCCACGACCCAACATTCAAGATAATAGACCAATAGTTAAAGAAGAGGAGGAGGACAGCTCTCATACAATCACCCTGAGCTAAAAGCTTGAGTAGATCCATTCAGCCCAAGACTGCCAGTGCGGCAAACACATGAGCAAAGGCTGATTGGATACCTTTTATTCATACGGTACAACAGTGTCATTTATTTCACATCCCTTCTTCTTCTTCTTCTGTCAAGGTTTTGTTTACTTCTTGATAGGGCTGGGATGTAAAACAATAACGATATATATCGAAAATTTATTTCCCTTAATATCAATGTAAAACATGGTCAATATGCTTTCCGATAGTCAGCATTCTGTTATGTTTTGGTAGACTATACGAATAGCCAATGAAAAGTGAAGTTTCACCGGGTCTACTCCACTCTGAACCAATCATGTGCGGAATTAGAACCAAGTATCAAACAACTGTGTAGTAGCAGACAGCAGCTACACCCAACCATAGCACTTTTAACAGGTGAAGCCGACAGCACTGTTGGTGAGAAAAAAAGAAAATGAGTGCTACCCCCGACAGAAATGACCATGAAGGCTCAACAGATGACGACATTGTCGACAACACTGGTACGAAAACGTCAGTAGTGTGGAGGTATTTTGTTTTTTTGCAGTCGGACATGAAGCAGAGTAATTTGTACTGCAAATTATGTCAAGTACATGTTCGCACAAAGTCGGGGAATACCTCAAATCTTTTTCACCACCTGAAGTAGCGCCACATCGCAGAGCATGCGCAACACAAAAGGTTACAAACCCCGAGAGGAGCAAGGAGCCCATGGCGCCTGAAACAGCCGACCATTCAGTCCACTTTCTCTAGAGCAACGCCTTACGACAAAATGTCAAAGAGACACAAAGACCTCACAGATGCAGTAGATAATTATATAGTAAAAGACATGCTACCAATAAACACTGTTACATTTCATTTTTTATATTTTGTGATATATATCGATATCGACTGATATGAAAAAATATCGTGATAAACTTTTTCCCATATCGCCCAGCCCTACTTCTCGACTTCCTGCCGATGTTTTACGCTGCTTGACTTCTGGGTCCAACTCTGGAGCATGCTCAGAAGATTCAGGTCAGCTTCAGTTCGACTGATCCCGTTAATCCAGATCTGTTAGTCCAGCTAAAAAAAGCTCCGTCCGGTCTCTTTCAGCCGGACTAACAGGACTCTTTAGAAGTCCAGTTTCAGTCAGCTCTGTTGAGTTTTCTTGGATTTTCTACAAGATCGGTCTCAGATAGGTGAAGAGAGCGTCTGTTTAAACGTTGTAAATCAGAGTGCCGTGGAGCAACATTTGAGATATTTTACACAAAACTAATGAGGTATGACATTGAGTCTGTTGTGTGTGAAACAAAAGTGAGTGTTGGGTGGAGTTCAGGTCTTCAAATCTGGGACACTTTTGGCCAAAGGAAGAAAAACAGAGAAAATCCTTCAATCAGAAATAACAGAAGTATTTAAGGTCGATGACTGAGCGAGGAAATCATATGAAGAAATAAAGAGACTGAATCTGTTTGTGTTACACGCTCCTTCCGTGTTTTCCACCATCACATGACTTAGTGTTTGCTGTGTGACCATGGATGTCTGACTGACTGACTGTGGGGCAGGAAAGACTGAAGACAGTGAAGCTGCTCCGGTTCTGGCTCTGGTTCTATTTAAAGGTCTGTTTTTCTCTTTCAAAGAGAGCACACCTCTTTATTTCTGTTGTCACTTTGAAGGACTCAGAAACTCACTCTGGAGCAGCAGCAGCTGGACTTCCTTCCACCGTGTGAGGGATTTGTTTGAGCTGCAGACGGAGGTCATGCGACACTGTGTGTGTGTGTGTGTGTGTGTGTGTGTGAGCGTTTGGGGGCTTCCCATTGGTCAGTTTCACGGCGTGATGTCTGGGTGCAGCATGGAAAACAGATGGCTCGTCTCAGGATGATGATGCAAGAGCTGATTGCATAAGTGTGTTCAAATATCGGGGGGGGGGGGGGGTCCTCACTGTAAACACTGGAGGAATTCAGAACTCAAACACTGGGTCACTGCAGGATCAGAGTTCATACTTTGTCATCAGTCTAATATCACTTTTAGAGGACTGATACTATGGAATAATTTGGATGTATCTCTAAAATTAATATTGTCCTTCAAATTCTTTAAAATATAATTAAAATCTCATCTAATCATGCCTTAAACATGTCATTATCTGTTATCGTCATGTTTCTTTTCTTTTTATGTATACTTATATTGTCTCTATCTCTGGTTGATGATAAGTCTATGTTCTATTTAAGACAATTTGTAAATGTTTTGACCTTTCCGTACTTATTGTATATTTATGTCTTAGTCTTATGTCCTAGTTACTTTTTTGTACCCTATGCTTTCACTGCCCTGATGGGAGTGGAACTCTGTATCAGTCTATCAGCTTCGTTCTCTCCTTGCACTGTTTTTAATCTGGGCTAAATAAATAGAAATAGAAAAAAACAGAAACTGGACCGGCACATGAGACTCTGAAACATACAGATCACATGTAAACAGCAGAACTAGACTCTGGAAACAAGGTGGTTCTGGAGAACCAAACCACCAGGGGGGTGCAGTTCTAGACTAGGCCAGATGACCTATGTGGTTTTTGTGAATAGATCTGTGAGGGTCTGTGTGTGTCTAATCTAGATCTGTACGATGGATCTTTACATCTTTACAACCCTCTGTGGACCCAATCCGGTTCCTGTTCCCGCCTGTAAACGCATATCTCTCGCCCTCCTCCCGTATTGTCATTTCTCCCGTAGTTTGATGGTCCACGTTCATTCATAAATCAGATCACTATATTGGTCCAAAGTTTCCAGACAACTGAAGATTGTTATGTGTTTCTGCTGAGCCTCACAGACACTGGATTGATACTTTGGGCTCTATTTTCATGCCTCGCCGGATACGTGCCGCAGGTGCGGCGTAAGTCAGGTCCGCCGCGCCGACAAGGCGTTCCCAAGCACAATTTGGTATTTTGGTGAGCAGTGGAGCCCGGCGTAAGTACCCCCCCTCCCTAACTCAGCTCCTCCCAGCGGCGTAAGTCGTAGCGAGGGAGGAGAAAGGGCGTGGAGTGGGTTTAACACAGCCGAGACCTGTTTTCACCAATCACATCAGCTCCTCTCCTTGCCTTTAAATCCGCAACAGGCGAGGCGTATTACCATTTTCGTGAAGTAGTCAAAGAGATCAAGAGATGTCTGAACACAGTAATGCCACAAGATGGCGACAGAAGGCAGCTCCTCAACAAGTGTCACTTTAAGCGCTGCATTGGGCGTCCTCCACACTCTCTCATATGAGCACAGATGGATTTGGTGTGTGTAATGTTGGACCCACTGGTAAGACAAACACCCTTTTACACAAATAAAGACACTCACATGAAGTTGCACATATTCAAACCTCACGTGACAAAGGTGGGTTGTGCGCACAGATCACAACATAAACTCCAAAAATGGCATTAAAATTGGAACCATCTGTGCGTAAATGACGCATCGCACTCCATGGCCGGGCTCGTTCTTTCATGGATGTTGGCATATAAAATAAATTTGCCTCACAAAGCGGAATATTATAACATCCTTAAAGTAGATAACGCATCTGGGCACTGAAACAAATCATCTGTTCAGCCGCTGCAGGACAGAGAGAGGACACGGAGACGTGTCCAGGTCGAGCTGCGCAAGAAATAAGAGGAAGAGGAAGAAATAAAAGGAGGGAGACGAATTACATATCTAGTTAACTTCATCATGTGTGTCTATTTACTAGATATTTAATTCAATTTAATGCGGTTTCAGCTGTGTTGATTCGGTCAGGTTGTGTGTCCAAACGCGTGCCAAACGCGCTCATCAGATCAGATATAGATCAGAATATATCTATATAGATCTAAATGTATGTGCTGACACAGATTATTAGATTTTGATGATTATTTATTGCACTGAAATGTGCCTGACACTGTGGAAACCTGCCGGTGAGGCATCAGTGACGTATGCCGATACGCCGCCAGTCTACCAAAATACCTCTAGACCAGCTGCGTTCCGCCTGCACTGAAAGCTGACCAGGTTTGAATCGGCGAGCTTTCAGCGCACTTTACGCCGGTGGCGAGCACGAAAATGTCACTGCGCCCGCTGATTCTGTCGACACCTCCCCCTGCCACGCCACCATGCCCAGCTTGGCGGATCTCGGCTCGCCTCCGTGCGCCTCAGTCCATGAAAATACCAAACTGGCCGTACGCCGGGCTGCGCCAGACGAAAATACAACTGTGCGGGGCTCGCCGCCCTCCGTCGCCTCACCGGCGTACATGAAACTTTTGACTTTACAGTTTGGGATGATGAAGGTCGATTTAAGGTGCAAACTATATTTAAGCAGTGTTTGTTGCAAAATGAATACTTTAATAAAAGGGAAACAAACCTGAGATGTAATATTTACATTGATAGTCTGTTGATAGGAGTGATGTGTTCAGGGCAGCCTCAGTTAAAAGAGTGCTGTATTTCACACACAGATGTTCAGAGAGCCTCATACAGGAGAGAGCATGGAGAATAGATGAGGATTTTAATTTTAGTGGACTAAACAAGTTCAAGGCATATTGTAGCTATTTTTTTTTTACCATTTGTTGTAATTTGTTTGTAATAATTGTTATTTAACAAAAAAGTGTGCAGCTTCACTTAGACTTATTTGGAAGAGTAATCTAATTACAAATACTCTTGTAATTACCTCATATCCACCAGACAAGGGAACCCCAAAACTGACTGGCACACGCTGCAAAAAGCTCCCGGATTTTATAACCCAAATGTTGGCAGGTATGTTCATATTCTCAGGTTTTCACATGAGGCTCTGTGGGGACTGACCCACTTTGGGAGGCTGCCTCTAGTGGACACTCTCAGTACTGCAGTTTTGGGCCTCTGACTGAAACTGTGAAATTCTGGACTACTTGAACTCTGGAGAGAAACAGAGACACCAGGATGAAAACCAGGACCTGAATACATCTGTGTGTGTCAGAGACTCTCTGTCTGTGTTAATCATTACAGTCTCAGTCAGTTAGTCCATAACAGAAGGTGAAGTAATTTTAATACCACAATAAATGCAAACATCTGCCTCTGATCATAAACTATTGACACATAAAAAAAAACAGAAATAATGAGCAGTGAGCTGAAGACAACGTTTATCATCATCATCATCACCTTCCTCTCTGCGTTAGAGTAAGTGTCGCTACCCACGGAGGGTTAAACGTCTGTGTCAGGTCAGCGTTCTCGTGATCCTCAGACTGCTCCTCTTTTAACATAAAGAGACACTGTTCCTTCACTGCAGCTCCACTTCATCTCATTTCAAGCTTTAAAAAGAGTCTCCTATACACACACGAGGAGACTCAAGTCCCCCATCTGAGATATGAGTCCAGAGGAGATTGACTCTTTATTTACTGTTTAAAACACACATAGTTTTGTTTATGTGTTAATATGTCACAGGTCTGATCTAAATTTAAAAACACCGGCCTTGTGTCTCTGGAACCACTCCAGAACATGGACTCATGCTGCTCTCAGCTGCCTTCAATTCGTGTGTGTGTGTGTGTGTGTGTGTGTGTGTGTGTGTGTGTGTGTGTGTGTGTGTGTGTGTGTGTGTGTGTGTATTAAAGTACGGAGCGGGCTCATCCTTGTGTACACACAGGTGTGGAAACAGAAGCAGGTGATGTTTGCAGGAAAACTCCCAGACTGAAGTAGATCGTCCGTCTCCTCGCTCATGTAGACAAACTCTGTTTCAAATTCTGTTTCTAGTGTGTCTATTTCTACAGTCGACAGGTTTATCTAAATACATGAGAACAGAAGTCAAAGAGAGTGAAGATAAATTATCAGATAGATAAATGATCTGCTCACATGAGACGATGAGGCTCCACATAATAAAACTCATATTCAGTTCCTGTTGCATTATTATCCTGGCCACTAGAGAGCAGCACAGCCAGCTCTGAACTGAACAGTAGACTGATGATCAGCTGTTGTTTCTCTGTTTTTGGTCTCCTCCACCTCTAATCATGATAATGGATGTAATGTCTGGTTCTGTGGTTCTGACCCAGGGATCATCGAGCGGGCTGAGGGCTCCATGGAGGAGGAGCTGGAGCAGCTGCGGAGTTCTCGCTCTCTGGCCGGAGGCGAGTTCGCGCTCAGCGACGTTTTCTACTTCTATAAGAATGGTCTGGAGAGCATCGTGGACGACCAGGTGACTCAGCGTTTCTCCTCCGAGGAGCTGGCCTCCTGGAACCTCCTCACCAGAACCAACCAGAATTTCCGCTACATCAGCCTCCGCCTCACCGTCATCTGGGGGCTCGGGGTCTTCATACGATACGGGGTCCTCTTCCCCCTCAGGTCAGTCTGACGTGGACTTTTACTTGTCAGGGAGATGATGATGAGACAGAGCGACACCTGACCCGATAGTCAGAGTCCAGCTCCAGACTCAGACCAGTCTCTCAGCTCTAGAGGAGATTCTTTGAACCTCAGAGACCCAGATTAGGTCACTGTTGGACAGTTTGGCGGGACTACAGTGAAACCACTAAAGACCCTGAGCCTTTAACGGGTCTATAGACCACATAAAACCAGAACCATGTGGTCTAACCCCCAATTTCCACCTCATCCTGAACGTCTACTAAAAGGTTGTATCCTCTGATCGTAGCTGATAGTAACCATTCAAGTTAATGTGTCAATTTCTCACCGGCTTCCGTTCCGTTCCTCGATAGCCGGACACCTCAGCTGATCTATTTTTTCTGGACACCGGATGATGCAGGATAAAGTCAGCACAGATTAACCCATGCTGGAAAAGGAAGTCGGGCACAGACACAAAATAAATAATAAATAAATAATTTCTATTTTAAAATAAAACACTCCGTGTTTCAGGAGGATCGTAATTCACACCATGCAAACGGGCGGAGACGAACAAGTGAAAGGTTTTTAGACGTCATTTCACCCTGATGACACCATGGATGAGGAGATGCTGATTCTAGAAGTCTAGAAGTAGATTTCCTCCTCTGAAAGGACACGATCTACTGCTTATATGTCTATGTGGCTGTCTTTATAAAGACAATTCGTTATTGCGTGATTGAATGTGAATCCACGGGTTCTCGCTATTACAGCTGTCCGTAATCTGCCATGAAATTCGCCTCACAAACGGATCCAGTAGGAATTGGCGGATGGCGAAAATCGTCCCCATTCTGGATCAGAGCCGTTCCGGATGCAGTGGTAATCCCGGGTTAAAGATGACATAGCTGCAGTTCAGTCAGGGGTTCACTCGAGGACTCACACGTGTAGGACTGTAGGGCTGTCTTACAAATCCAGGGTAGAGGTCTAGATTTGATTCAAAGGTCAGTACAAATACAGGACTCTTGACTCAGAGCGGCCTTCATGACCTCTGATCTTCATACCTGCAGGCTGATGCTGGCTATCATCGGCCTGACCTGGCTGGTGTTGGGGACCACTCTGGTTGGCTGTCTGTCAGAGAGCAGGTACATCAGGACCAGCTCTAAACCTTCTGAAGCTCCAGGACCTGGTTCTGTCTCTGATTGACTCACATGAACCTTCTGGTCTGTTTCAGTGTGAAGAACTGGCTGAGCGAGCTGGTCCACCTGACCTGCTACAGGATCTGTGCAAGAGGACTGTCAGCCACCATTACCTACCACAACAAGTCAGTCTCCGCCTCTTTTCTCCCTTATCTCTGTAATCTGAGGACGACAATGAAGCAGTCTTCTCGTTTACCTTTGTCTGCAGGGAGAACAGACCTCAGAAAGGAGGGATCTGTGTCGCCAATCACACCACACCCATTGACGTGGTCATCCTGGCGAACGACGGCTGCTACGCCATGGTGAGCACCACCAGCAGGTAACTCAGAGTTTAACAACTCAGACAAGAAAGGATTCTGATCCGGTTCAATGGCCAGTTCCTCAGAGAGGAGCTGACCGGGGTCACCTGTGGGTAACTACGGACAGGTACCTGCACACCTGAAAAACCCGAACTATCCCTTTATATCCTGGATTTAGATTAACTTTATATTCTCATCCTCAGGTTGGTCAGGTCCACGGAGGTCTGCTGGGCGTCATTCAGAGGTCCATGTTGAGGTCGTGTCCTCATGTTTGGTTCGAGCGGTCAGAGATGAGAGATCGCCACGCCGTGACCAGCAGGTAAGACGGACATAGAGAGGGAGAGAAAGAGCGAGAGAGACAGAGAGAGATAGAGAGAGAGAGAGATGAAACACCAACAAACAGGAGCAGCTCCAGTCTGTTGGTTCAGATATTACAGATGTCTAGGTCTTCATCCTGGATGATCAGAGCCTCAACAAAGACCTGGTTCAGTTTTAGAGAAGAGTCTGTTTTCTTCACTGAGGAGCATCAATACGAGTAAACTCCTTCTTTGTGAGTAAACGGAGTTATGAGATGGATGTGATGCCCTTTAGATGAACGTAAAGAAAGGCTCCATTGAGGACATGTTGGCTCTGCTGAACAAAGCGCTTTTGGAGTGTAGGGTTCAGTCTGAACCAGAGAGACCATGATCATCATCTCAGAGCAGGAATCAGTGATGGCAGATAAACTAGAACATCAGATCAACAAAAACAACTCTCATGTTTCACAGTTTTCCTCATTAGGACCTCAGAGTGATGAAGGCTTTCTCATTCTAGTTTTCTCTGTTTGTCCGCAGGCTGAGAGCTCACGTCGCAGCAAAGACCAAACTACCAATCCTGATCTTTCCTGAAGGTAAGTGTCCGCAGAGTTCTCTGTGAGGATGAGGATGAGAATGATAATGATGATAATAATAATGATGGTGATGCTGATGATGATGGTGATGATGATGATGATGGTTGTGGTGATGACGATGATAAGGAAGGTGGTAATGATGATTATAATGATGATGACGATGATGATGATGATGATGATGTTAAGGATGGTAATGATGATGATAATAATGATGCTGATAATGATGGTGGTGATGATAATGATGATGATGGTGGTGGTGATAAAGGTGATGAGGATGGTGGTCATGATGATGATGAGGATAATGATGTTAAGGATGGTAATGATGATTATAATAATGATGATGGCGATGATGTGAGTTCTCTGTGAGGATGAGAAGGATAATGATGATGATAATATCAATAGTGATGCTGATGTTGATGTTGATGATGATGATGGTGGTGGTGATGAAGATGATAAGGAAGGTGGTAATGATGATGATGGTGATGATGTGATGATGATGATGTTATGGATGATAATGATAATGATGATGATGGTGATGATGGTAATGATGATGATGATGATGATGATGATGGGGATGATAATGATGATGAGGATGATGATGGTGATGATAATGATGATGATGAAGATGATGATGGTGATGATGATGATGATGATAATGATGATGATGGTCTCATCCTCTGTAATCTCTCTGTTTCTAACAGGAACCTGCATCAACAACACCTCCGTCATGATGTTTAAAAAAGGCAGCTTTGAGATTGGAGGGACGATTTACCCTGTCACCATCAAGGTAGGAAGATGAGGAGAAATTAACCTCCTACTCCAAAAGACAGAGGTCAGAGGATAACCCCCCCCCCCCGTCTCGGTTTCAGTACGACCCTCGGTTTGGCGATGCGTTTTGGAACAGCAGTAAATTCAACATGGTCAGTTATCTGCTGCGCATGATGACCAGCTGGGCCATCGTGGTCAACGTGTGGTACCTGCCCCCCATGACCATACAGGTACATAGAGTCTGTAATGACAGCTGTCAGCCTCCGGGGGGCAGCAGCACCCCTTTCAAACAGTGATCAGAGAATAAAGTACCTTAAACTTTCTGTCTGTGTACTCTGTGTGTGTGTGTGTGTGTGTGTGTGTGTGTGTGTGTGTGTGTGTGTGTGTGTGTGTGGGTGGGTGGGTGGGTGTGTGTGTGTTGTGAGCAGGAGGGCGAGGACGCAGCTCAGTTTGCAAACAGAGTGAAGTCAGCCATCGCTCATCAGGGAGGCCTGCTGGACCTGGCATGGTGAGGACTTGCCCTCAGAGGTTATCTGCAGACTTAGCATGCTCCCTAAATTTCAAACAGTGTCCTGTCCTTCAGCTTTGTTTCCATGACGATAGATACTGTCTTCTCTGTCGTTAAACTCTCTCCTCAGGATTTGAAAACTGGAAAACGGTTGTCGGAGATGATGCTGCTGGTTCATGTTCAGTGATGGGTGGTGTGTCTGTGTTTCAGGGACGGGGGTCTAAAGAGAGGGAAGGTGAAGGACTCATTCAAAGAGGAGCAGCAGAAGATGTACAGCAGCATCATCGTGGGACACAACAGGCTGGGGTCAGAGCAAGGGTGTGGAGACGTCCCAGAGGAGCAGTGAGGACTGAGAAAAAACACCTTCAAACACATGGAGAGGAGGTGTACTCCTCCATCTGTGTGTCTAAGACTCTTCAAAACTCTAAAGTCTTATTTTTATGCAGCTGTCTGCAGCTGTCTGTCTGTGTGTGTGTGTGTGTGTGTGTGTGTGTGTGTGTGTGTGTGTGTGTGTCTGTGTCTGTGTGTGTGTCTGGATCTGTAGAAGTGAGTGTCCACCAGCAGGGGACAGCAGAAGACAACGCAAGAAGTTTCTCCTTCCTCCTGAGAATCAAAGAAACGTATAATCAACTGCATTTTTACTTGTTTTTCACCTTTCAGAGAAAAAACAATATTTTCGTAGGTCTGAAATGTTTGTGTTTGATGAACCAAATGTTGACCTTTGACCCGTGTGACTGAAAATCTTCATGTTTGATTGTTTAAAAAAAAATCATCTCTCTTTACTTTGGTGTGTTTTTTCACCTTCTCCATTGTTGTTATGGACAGATGCTGGTGTAGGATAAAGACTGGATACTGATTGATTGATTGATTGATTGATTGAAGTTTATTTCGAATATGCAAACCAAAAATATAAAAATAGAGCAAGAAAGTAAGGAGAAACATTTAAACATAAAAAAAATAGAAATACATATTGAGGGGGGGGGAGAAGAAGAATAACTTCTGAACTCCCAGCTCTTCCCTTTAAATAATAATTACCCACACCAAGCTTCCTTACAGCTTGTTTGGATGTACCTGATAATTATAGATAAATAAAGTACATTCATGACTTTGTATTATAAATACAAAATCTACATCCATGTTATACAGCACACACATAAAAACAACAAAACAAAATAAAACATAGAAATATCTTAATATAAATTTGATGCACAGAAGTATAACGGTGAGAAGAAGCTCCTGAAGGATTTGATCCTTTTTGGACAATAATTGTAGATAAATCACCAAAACAAAGGCCGGGATTTTAGAAGTATTGATCATTTGTGTCTGTCTTTCTTCAGACTGTTGGTGCTTTTAAATAAAGTGAAATCTAAATTACAGTTTACTTTAAATTTAAACTATAAAAACAGCAGGAACAGGAGTTTGTTTGTTTCACAAATAATCTGATGACGGAAGATGAAGTAAAAAAAAAAAAAAATGTCTGCAGATGTTTTTACCTCAATATTTACCTCGAGTCAAATAAAGACAAACAAATAAATGATGAGAGAAAATGACAAAACTGAAAATAAACACCTTATTTAATGAATAATTAATACTCTTCGCTGCAGAACAGAAAGATTCAGAAGAGCGTTTGTTCCCACAGACATCAGACTTTATAACTCTTCTGTAAATAGAAAGTGACTTTTAGAGACATGACAAATGAGACGACAGAAGATTGAATTTCTCTTCAGGGATCAATAAAGTTCTTATTCTTAATCTTCAGCTGGTTTCCAAACATGCGGGTAAGGACCCTGCAGCAGCAGCAACAACAACAAAAACGACAACATGATAAAAGTAGAAAAAAAACCTCAAACCCACAGACAGGTTAAACTCTGAAACTGAAAACAGACTGAAGAGTCCTCAAACGTCGTCCGTCTTCATCATCAGCTCAGAGTTTCAGAGTTTTTGGACACAGATGGAGATTCTTCAGGATCTGGTTTTTCTGCTGGTCTGATGAAGACGTAATAAAACTGAAAACACTGAGTCAGTGAGGGACTAAAAAGACCTGATCCTCTGCTGCAGACTGATCTGCTCAGTGAGTCTGAATATTTTCTCCTTCTGATCAAACCAAACTGGTTTATTATTTTATTTGTTTCTTTGGTTCAGAGTCTTGAACCTTTCTTTCTCGCTTTCTTTCACTTTTATTCCCTGCTGTAAAAATCTCCACACACCTTTTTCTTCCTTTTTTTATGTGAAAACCTGTAAAAGATCAAAGAGCCATTTTCTGCTCCGCTTTTCTGTTTGTTGTTGCCACACTCTGGAGTATCTCCGCTCGTTGACTCACACACAGAAACTAGGACCAGGTCTTGCTGCAGAAACAGGTTTACACTCACTGAGGTTTATAATAAGCTCACAAATGAGACAACAATGAGAAAACACTAATGTTCACTTTTCTCTGTGTTTGTCAGACATTTGGGGACATTTCCTCTGATTCTGTTTTCACTCTAAGATGATGAAATGTGGAAGAAAAATTCAGCCGTTCATTTGAAGCTGCTGGTCTGAAAGATAATGAAAAAACAAAAGAATGAACAATGAACAAAACAGAATTAGAGTTTTTTATATGTGGAGAGAATACAGGGAAATATAGACGTAGATAAAACACTATAAATTTTCTACACATGCTTTTATTTTTCTGTTTCTGTAGGTAAAAATCTGTGAGGGGAGAGAGAGAAAGAGAGAGAGCCGTTTAAACATGTAGAAAAAAACCTCAAACTTTAACAAAAGACGTTAATTTAATATTAATACCTCATAAAAGCCAAAAATGGAGGCGTCCTGAGGTCAGTGTTCCTCTGCAGATTTAAGATAAAGGCTCCTTGTCCTCCTCTTTGTGTGTGTGTGTGTATGTGTAGGAGGATGAGGATGAAGAAGAGCGTGCACAGCTGAGCAGAGGCCGACATGTTTACTGTGACGGAGCTTTAATAAAGAAAGCAGAGAGTGTGAAATAGCACCGAGTTATTCTTCCACACAGCCTCTCAGCTGTGTGTGCTGCAGCCTCCTCTTCCTCTAATCACACACACACAAACACTCTCTCTCACACACACACACAAATGTTTGTTCTCTCCTAACAAGATTGTAAATTATTAATCGGATCTGAAGCCGATTCTCTAACCCGATTGTGGAGGTGGGATTGTTGGCGAGCGCTGCAGCAGCACACCATTTACTGTGATGTATGTGTCTGCACATCTTTAGATCCAATTTAATGTGATTCAGATAGATTTCAGAGGGACATCATAAAAGGCATTGCACTGACCCCGCCTGCAAGCTCCATACGACACCCCCCCCCCCCCCCACGTCCCAATATGTTGATTCAATTTGCTCAATTTGACTCTTATCCCGTGCTGATCCATACAAATGCAATGCAGGTAGGCTAAGTAAATATGAATACATTTCCAAATTGAATCGCGGTGAATGTAGTGCACAGAGGACATCATTTTAAAGCCGCTGTGCTGGGAACCCACCACTCAGGGCCGTAATGACTGAAGCTCTCTCTGAAGCACCATTACTGGACTCTAATGCCTTTAAAGACATTGTTCTGCCATCCTTTCTGTGCTCTGCAGTAATGTATGGAGGCTGAGGAGGGACAATACAGCCCTGAGAGAGGGATCGATACAGGCAGGCAGGCGGGGGAAGGACGGAGGACAGAGGAGCGCACTGTCCTCATTTAGACACCACCCTTTAAATCGACAGGAGCTGCAGGTTCAGGATCTTCATGTCAGAGACACCCCCCAAGACTGTCACTGTTCAAAAACCGCATGAAGGACGAATCATCAGCTGTTTTTATTTAAACCTTTAATTCAGAGGCTCTGTCACACTCTCATCTTGTTTTTACACAACACTAACTTGACTCTGATTTACACAAGATATCTTCATTTTAACAGCCCTACAAAATTAACCCTCCCTTACTGCTTTGGTATCTTGTTTGAAATGTCACCTGTTATATCTGCAAGATACTGTCTAGTTCAGTATATTATCTTGTTTGACCTTGTTTTAGTTTCTTTTTCTCCTTCTCTCTCCTTCTCTAAAATCACCCAAGATTTTAGTCATATCTTAACAAATCTTAAACACAAAAATGTTAAAAGTGTTTTGATTAAAAATCTTTCTTTCCTAGTTAATTCTCTTATTTGTAAAGAAAAACATTTTTGTGTTTATGATAAATTTATTTTTGGTGAGTGAGATCTTCTCCTGATCGTGTAAAAATGTGTGTTTGTTTTCAGGATTATCTTTTTTCTTAACAGCACAAGATGATATCTTGTTCATTTTGTAACTTTTTTGCAGGATTATCTTTAGTTTGTGAAAATACTTAGTACAAATATTTAGTACAAAAATGTAAAAAAAAGATTCTTGTTTGCAAACGTATAAAATGATTTCAGAGTGTTATCATTTCAAATGTGCAATAAAATCTGTGTTTCCACATTATCTTGCTCAAATATCTTGTTTTTGTTCATTCATTCACTCATTCATATGAATCAGTTTGTTATTTTGCTTGATTGAAGTGAGCAAGATATTCTCCCGCTTATTTAACAAACCCTAAACATCAACATTTTTGCACAAGATGATATCTTGTTCAAATGAGTTATATCTTGTTTTTGATTAATTCAGCCTGTTGTTCTTCTCTTTATCTTGTTTTGATGAATTATTGTTTTTTACACGTTTTCAGCTTCTTGAAACAAGATCCTATCTTGCTTTCCTTTTTGTGGTTTGTGGCATTTACAGCAAATTCTTGATTACAAATCGCTGATTTGTTTTTTTTTTTGTTTTGTCAGATATCTCATCTTTTTGGAACAAGAGAATTTCTCATTTCACTAAAAAAAATACCTTGTTTTGTCAAAGTAGTTTTCTCTTGACAGCACAAGATTATTTCTTCATCTCATTAGATCGTTTACAAGATATTGCTCTAGTCAAACCTTTTATCTTGTTTTAGCATGATTGCTGTTGTGCAAGAATTTTTCATCAGAAAATTGTTTTTTTTTTTTGAGTAACCTAATCTTGTTTTAGCGATAAAATTTGCCTTGTTTTGCAAGTGCATAGTTCCTCATCTAAGCGATAAGGACTCATGTTTACGCAAGATACTTTTTTGTCATAGAAATCTGATTTGTTGTCATTTCTTGCTTCATCTTTTTTTGGAAAGTATCAGCACAAGATTTTCACCTGCATTTGTAAGATTGTGTCTTGTTGGAACGGTGTCTTTCTCATACTAATTGGAGATATTTTGCTGGTCTCGTGTTGTTTATTTGACAAATGATTGTTGTTTTTATAAAATATCTTCCAACAAAATCAAGATACTATCTTCCTGCATATGAGGGCGTAGGAATAAGTCTGGTGTTTAGAGAAATTTATCGCTGCCGTGTAAAATTCGATCTTGTTCTGGGATGATAATCTGTAGGCTAATTTGATGCATCTATCATGTGTAATCTTGATAGATGTTGTTTGTTCCTGTTTTCTCAGATTGTGGTGATTGAATCGGAGCTGAACTAAAGTTTTTTCTCTTTTGAAATATAAGGATGAAAACGTGCAGCCTCTCTCCAGTCTTTCCTTGTTCTCTCATTCCCTTGTATCCTCGTTTCCTTGTTCCTCGGCCCCCTGCGTTTTGGTGGTCACGCTGCAGTCACGGCTGCAGAATCAAATGTGATGATTGTTGTTTTTTATAAAATATCTTCCAACAAAATCAAGAAACTATCTTCCTGCATATGAGGGCGTAGGAATAAGTCTGCTGTTTAGAGAAATTTATCGCTGTCGTGTAAAATCTGATATTTTTCTGGGATGACAATCTGAAGGCTGATTTGATGCATCTATCATGTTTAATCTTGATAGTGGTGATAAGATCGGAGTTGAACTAAAGTTTTGTTTTCTCTTCTGAAATACAAGGATGAAAATGTGCAGCCTCTCTCCTGCCTTTCCTCATTTCCTTGTATCCTCTGCCCCCTGTGTGTTGGCGGTCATGCCGCGGTCACGGTCGTAGAATCAAATGTGATGATTGTTGTGGTCACAGTCAAACAGGAAGAGAAGAAACCAAACACGGAGCGTCACAGCTGAATCAGAGGTTCTGATCAGACCTGGTCCTGGCGCTCTCTGAGTGGATCTGACCATTAGGGGGAAATATGAGACCGTGCCGTTTCCCAGCATGCCTCTGATTTGCATAGACTAATGAAAGGAGCTATAATTGGTCAGAATTGATTTTTTTTTCAGGCTTTGATTGAGTCTGAAGTTCTTCAAGTGGAGCTGGGATTGATTTGAGGTTGAATTCCAGTTTATTTAGTTTAGAAAATAATTATGTCCTCGCGCCGTGATTGGCCGGGTGGAAGAGAGCGAGCCGTGACCTCCTCCTCTTCCTCGTCCTCCTCCTCCTGTTTGTTATAAGAGGAATCATTTCTCCAATCTGTCCCACACCTTTCATTGTGTTTTACAGGTGGAGGAGGAGGAGTCACATGAAAAATGTCCCCCAGCGCGGTACATGAAGGTGTGAAATTGCAGACTCCTCTTTGGCCCCGGCCTGCAGCCTCAGAAGGTATTTCTTCTTTTATTGACAGAGTGTCTGCCGTTAGCTGACAGCCTCCTCCAACCCTGATTGCTTTTGTTTCCAGGTCACCTCCTATCTATTGCTGCAACTTTTCCAATTTCTCAGGGCTTGTTGTATGAAGACAGAAGGCGCTGAGAGGGAAACCAACATAAAGCTCCACGGAGAAAGGAGCACACAAAAGAAACACGCCCAAATCTTCAGGGCCCATCCATGCCACCACGTTTGGACTTCATCA